CTCAAAGACAAAGACGTGGTAGGAAAAAACGATGCGTACGTTGAAGTTTATGTGGATAAAGATTACAAGCAGCGAACGGTTACCGTCAAAGATACAAATGATCCAACATGGAACCAAAGATTTACTTTGTGAGTGGACGAAAAAAATATGTTCGAATAATCATGTGACTGGTTTTAGTAATTTGAAAAGCAATCCTGATTATTTGTATTTGAATGTTTACGACGAGGATGTGGTGGGCCGTGACTCCGTTGGTTCAGCAAAGATTGACTTGAGAAAGCATGTTTATGGCAAAAGTATGTATAATGTTTGGGTGCCATTGCCACAAATGCTCGGCCTTCGTTCCAATGGCGAGATTCATGTCATCGTCGAACATCGAGTAAGGTGTTCGACTTTTTTAATATTTATTCTAATTATCGTTTTGTGTATAGCCATAAAACTTATCAACATCAAGATGTGCTTCCTGAACTGATGAAAACTCTCTTTTTCTTCTCGAATATATTTATTGTATCATATTCCATCATATAAAATCGGTTCGTTTGATCATGAAAGTTGTCACTTACACCAGGAAATGTGTTGGTGTTTTGTTCCGATAACGGCATGTAATTCCATATTTGATTTTATATGAATGACATTTTCTAAGCTGCCAGTTGGCTTGAGTAGTGCTTGTGCTGTTTTATGTGCGTTATTAAACAATGACTTGACGTTATCGGAATGAATGAAAACGGGAGGGATCAGCTCAAATGGTTCCATCGTCAGTTTTCTTGTTGACTGAAGTAGCTGAGTGTTTCGAGATGAATAGATAAATGAAAAGAATAAATTTCTACGCAGTCTACAGGTATTCTCGCACAAATTTTCGATCGATGGATTTATTTTGCACGTCGCGACTTAATGAAAAGAGTGCAAACGCCACTTTAACAAATATAATTAATATGAAAAACATGTTTATCTGACCTTGAAATTATTCACAACCAATATGTTTACTCTGTATTATTCATAGAGCAGAAAAAATAATTAAAAACGTGTAGGTGCGCCATAGGTGGGTGTAAAACGAAGGTATATAGTATCAGTGAATATTCGTACACATTGGAATATTGAAGGCGGCAAGATGATCGGCAAAGTTATGATAGTTTGTTTTGCTTTAGCTATGATGGTATTTCTGGTGAATTGCAAAAGTTTCTATTCTGATAATGATGATGATAGTTTTGAACGACGCGACAACGTTGTGCAATCGTTATTACGAAGACGATTACAAAAGCGCGGAGAGTGTGGTGGTGATGATGATGACCTTCTCAAAGTTGGAAAACCCTGTCATCATCATTTTGAGTGTTGCAGCGCTTACTGTGCTCGTACTTGTAAACCTTGTGGTAATGTCGCTCATTGTTTAGATTGCAATCGTAAAGATATCAGTGGTCCCACTTGCTCTCTTTCACCTAGTAAGTACGCATACATTTAGCTCTACTGGTAAATTATATAATACAAATATCGTTCTAGGCGACGAGTGACGTGCTGAAGATATCGGTTTCCGTCATGAGGTGTTTTTTGTTTTTAATGTCATAAAAGAGTAAATAAAATAGCTGCATTCATACAACTACCATATCATTCTTTCATGGTATGTGAGTTACTTTTCAAGAGAACGAATGTTTGATTATGAATTATGCAGCCAAAGATATTGTTGATCATTCAGAAGGATTATTGCATCGAACGAATTTTTGGTTTACGTTCAATGTACGCGAGACGAGAGAACGATGAGAAATCGTTTTCTTGAAAATTGATGATGCTCGAGCAGGAAGCAAAGCGTCATTCACATATTACTCGAACATTTGGCTCTGTCCGTGATTCAAAGTATTCCCAATGAAGACAATACAATCATACTTTTGCAAGAACATGCGTTTGACGGGCGTCATTCGGAGAGAAATATTGTTAAAATTGTGGATCTCAGTCTCAGTAGACATAATCAACTCTACTTGAGACTTACATTGTTTAAATCATCAGTTGCTTAGGCCAAACACAGAACGAGATGAACATGGTGTTTCTCACCTGAAGATCGTCATACGTCTGGTGAACTGAAACATCTTTTTTTCCCAACAACCAAAAGAATATAGAGGACTCATTGAGTAGCAAGAGAAACAATATCTATCCAGTCACCACATCGAAATAAACCAAACTGCGGCGTTCAGCTTTTCTTACAAAGTGGGTCTTCTCCGCACTGCTTATTAATGTATGAAAAATCAAAGCGAATCGTACACAATACACATACGTTTGAAAAAATAGTGAAAAACGCTTCTATTGTCATTGCAGAGCAAGCATGAATCTACACTTCATGTTTATATATGACTGCTTTCATTCAATCTTTCGAATAATACTTTTACATACGAAAATCGCAAATGCTCAACCTTCATGTCTGCACTGTCATGCAAAAAATTTCATTTAGACTACACTCCCTACGATAACCATTTATTCAATCATATGAAAATTTAAACAATATTCATTATTCTTAACCACAACGACAATCGGGATAGTAACCACCACAAAATGCTGGGCAACCACCAGCAGAACGTTTATGACGACTAATCATATCATGAAATACGGCTTGCTGCTGCTCGCTGTTGTTGAAAGCCAATACATTCGCTAAATATTTCAAGAAAAGGCACTACAACAGACACGAAAGGTCATTGTTTTTACTTTCAGTTATCATTTCAAAAGAGAAAACAGCACCCAACAACAAAGTAATAAGAAGACCAGTGAAGATAAGTCGCTGCATGTTTCACAGTAGAAATTTAAATGAACGTTGATTAGACAACGTTCCGTTATATACAGAGTGTAAGTCATTGTTGTAGCGAAACAATGCTCGTCTGTCGATTTTATCGGTGAAAGACGAAACAAACGGTCAGCATCTCGAAAAGTGGACGCGTTGACATTCATTTCAGTTTCGAAAGCGTGTATGAAAAATTATTATGACATGTGCCTGATCCTAATCTAATCGTAAGATGTTCTCGGGCGTCGAACATTTCTCGTAACTGGTTGAGTGAAGGAACACGGCAATTCATTCTTTACACTAGATTTCTTTTTTTAGAAATCAAGTTTAAAAGGTAGAAGCAAAGTGTGCTGATTGAGGAAAAGAATTTCACTGACTTTGCTTCACGAGATTATTTGTGATAAAAATTGAAACGTCCTCACTACCGATTATTATTCTAGTTGAATTAGTTAATGAAAACTAAATGAAAGTGGAGGAGAAGCTTTTACTGGTATATAGGAATCGAAAAGGAGGGAGAGACTCGAGAGTTAGACGTTAAAAGCATAAAAACGTATGCTTCAGGTATTACAGAATGAGTTCTTTTTCAGAGAAAAAACTTATATTGAAACCATTAAGATACCTTTATATAACTTCAAAGTGCAGACTAAACGCTTCTCAACGTGTTTGGTATATCATGCAGAGCAGTACCACTTCGTCAATAAAACTACCGTTGACTTCTATATAAGTACACCTGAGCACGTCTAAAACGGGAAGACCTTTTATTAAGGGATCACTGGAAATGCTTTTTCAATAGTACGTTGTTTATAGAAAAAATTTACCTCGTTGTCTCTACTATCAGAGAGTGCAAAATAACGATTGATAAAAAAATATAAACAAACTTTATAACAATCGATGGGAATACCAAATATTTCATTCGTCGAATCAAATAATTTCTTTCTCGATAAAACGCACCTTGAAGTATCAAGCATTGTTTCTGTCGCGTTTAATGCAGTCAGACTCTACTTTCCTGAACACATTATTTCCAGTCTGTTATTCAATATATATATCGATAGCGACTGGAAATATCTGCACAAATTAGAATCTTTTATTTTGCAATGAAAAGATGCGACTGAAGAGCAGAAGTGTTATGTGAAAAACACAAGTTTGCTTTCAAAATCGAGTACTGTGAATGGATAACGAGACTGAATCAAGTTCAGACGGTTCCTTCACAACCAACTTCATTGTTTTTCTCGCAATGATAATTGCAGACGTTCTCGGACCCATATGTGCAATTTTCATTTTGGTATACATTTTTTCTCATTGGTATTCAATGATGAGGCAAACTCTCCATCAACATGCTATTTTTCTTCTACCTACTGTATCATTCTTATGTATGACATCAGACTTACCATTTTCTATTAGTCACTTCCGTCTTGCTTATGATTATTATCGATTACCATCATTTTGCCTTTGGTGGTATTGGATCGACGATGTACTTTTGTCCTCAAATCTTCTACTTGCCACAACAGCTAGCATTCAAAGACATTTTCTCATATTTCATCGTCATTGGTTTCGTATTAAACGCACACGATGGTTAATCCATTTTACGCCTTGGATCTTCTGTACGCTGTATCCAGTCGTATGGTATTGTATTTTTATTTATCTTTATCCTTTGTGTAACTGTTTTCGCTGAAGAAAAAAACAAAATGTAACTATCCTTGTTACATCGACATATATCTTGCGTATGATATCGGTTGGTCTCTAAACTACTTCGCACCGATATTTGTGATCGTTCTATCAAAGGTTGTATTATTATGTCGGGTTATATATTCGAGATACAAATTACGTCAACACCGAGGAAATACTTGGAAAAAACAAAGGAAATTAGCTTTACAATTACTTGGATTTTCACTACTTTTTATTTTTGGCTGGAGTCCAGCAGCATTCATAAAACCGGATCTTTTGATTATTAATTATTCTAACATAAGTACTGTTCAAAATTCTGTTTACTTAATTTGTCCACTGCAGACACTTATTTGTGTGTTTGCAATGCCGCAGATACGTAACTTTCTGAAAAATCCAGTAACTTACCGGCAAAGAGTTATATTCCTATAATGACTATGTGTTGTTATGAAGAAGAATATTGAAATTAACTCGAGCTTTTACATCCACCCTCAATAGTTTTATTCGGAATTGTTTCACATTTTTCTAAATGACGGAAAGAAATATTCGCCAATATAATGCGCCGATATCACGACGGGATTCATCTCGTAAGTGAATTTCCTTTTTTTCACTAATTTCATTTTTTTCCTTTCGCAGAAATCAAATTTAGTAAGCGGAAACGAGTTAGTTAACTCGTCATCAAAATTGTCTCGATAAAAATAGAAACTTGAGGGTGTGGGTGAGGGTGGTAGTTGAATAGTTTAAAACTGGAGTACTCGAATTCTAAACTGAAAGATTCAGAATTTCAACGATAGTTTCAATACCGGACTCGAGTTAACGATTTCTACAATATTCCAACATGGCGCAGAACGTAAACCAGGAAAATATGATTTTTCCGGGAAAGTCTGATGAAAAATGAGAAAAGGCTTTCTGCTATATTACTTCTTTTTCTTCGCATTGCATTCTCGCCAGACTTATAAACAAGAAAACCGATTCATTCAAGTAATTACCGATCATACATCGTCCACCATTACACTTGTTTTACCGATCTTTCTCATTGGGTTTACTTTGAATTAAAAAAAATGGCATCGATTTATAGTAGTGAATGGTTGTTGATTGGCATTCTCTTGCATTTGAGTGCGGGTAACGTATTTCCTAGTTACAATACAGTTGTAATTCTCTCTGTTTGAGCTTTTCGTATGGTGTAAGTGTTTCTACTTTTCTCTCTTAAGCAAAATAACATCTCGAGTTAATTTATATGACTGTCCTGCTGTTTATTCATCACAGATACAATATAGATTTTCTAATATTCGTAAAACATTGGTAAACATCAATTAAAATGTCTTTTATTAATAGGTATATCGTTCAATCAGCCAAAATTTTCTCCATGTGCGTACTGGAATCCGAATGGAACTTTTTTTGCTAATGCCAGCTCAAAACCTTTTGGATTGTTCGTCAGTGTGAACAACATTGTTTATGCCTCTGAACAAGCTACCAACCGTTTTCAGGTATGGTCTAATTCAGGTGACACTCCAATTAGAACAGCATCTGCTGGCCTGTCCAACCCAGCTGCTATCTTTGTTCATGACAATGGCGACGTTTATATTGACAAAGGCAGTACGGTTGCCAAGTGGACTTCCAACTCAACCAGCAGCATCGACGTGATGAATGTCGATGCACAATGCATGGGAATGTTTGTTGATATGAACAATGCGCTGTATTGCAGTGCTGGCGGCTCCAACAAAGTGCTGAAACGAGCCCTGAATTCCAGTACAATGAATGCAACGGTCATTGCCGGTAATGGCACTTGTTCATCGCAACCAAATACAATTTGTAATCCTCATGGAATCTTTATTGATAATAATCTCACTCTATATATAGCTGAATATGGTCTCAGTAGAATAAATCGCTTTAGGAACGGTGAAGTCAATGGAACAGCTATAGTTGGAAGCATGGTACCAGGAACATTTTCTTTAAGTTCTCCGATGGGTGTTGTGCTTGATGTCGATGGCTATCTCTTCATTGTGGATCAAGGAAATAATAGAATTGTTGGATCGGGACCACTTGGATTTCGATGTATAGTTGGATGTTCTGGTAGTAGTGGCTCAGCACTCAATCAGTTACAAGGTCCACGGTCACTTGCTTTCGATACTGATGGGAATTTATACGTTAGCGATCGGGAAAATGATCGCATCATGACATACACTTTATTTAACAGCTCATGTGGTAAGTTGCATCCAAATATTCTTGAATTAGTGATGGCGACCATGAGAGGATTATGTCTATGCTAGTGAGTACTATCAGTAAGGTTTACTTGAAACACAAGAGCATATGAAGATAGCCATAAAAGAGTCATAGGAAGTTGTTGTAGAGTCGATCTTGTTTCGTATTACGACACAATCATCGTTGATTCCGACTACGTAGTTGTAATACTTTATCAAGTTTCGTTTACTCATGGAATTCTGTCAAAGTTTTAAATAAGTCTAATATGAAAACGACAGTCAGTAATCAGCAGCAACTTGATTCTATTAAGTTAAGAAATTAGAACAAATGAGTCTTGTATAGTTTACACCACGACTACATCAACATCGACAAGTTCAACCTCGACAACCTCAACCTCGACAACGTCAACATCAACCTCAACAACGTCAACCTCAACAAGTTCAACCTCATCAACATCAACAACGTCAACCTCAACCTCAACAACGTCAACATCAACAAGTTCAACCTCAACAACATCAACAAAAACAACGTCAACATCAACATCAACAACGTCAACAAGTTCAACCTCATCAACATCAACAACGTCAACCTCAACCTCAACAACGTCAACATCAACAAGTTCAACCTCAACAACGTCAACATCAACAACGTCAACCTCAACAACATCAACAAAAACAACGTCGACATCAACATTAACAACGTCAACGAGTTCAACCTCATCAACATCAACAACGTCAACCTCAACCTCAACAACGTCAACATCAACCTCAACAAGTTCAACCTCATCAACAAAAACAACGTCAACATCAACATCAACATCAACAACGTCAACAAGTTCAACCTCAACAACATCAACAAGTTCAACCTCGACAACCTCAACATCAACAAAAACAACGTCAACATCAACATCAACAACATCAACATCAACCTCAACAACGTCAACATCAACAAGTTCAACCTCAACAACATCAACAAAAACAACGTCGACATCAACATTAACATCAACAACATCAATAATATCGACCTCAACGACGGTATACTCAGGTAAATGTGCTCTCTGTAATTTTAAATGATGTGAAGGAAAACTATAATTCAAATTTGGATAATGGTAATTGAAATGCGCATTATGATATTGAAAGTGTCGCCTCTTGTCTTTTGAATTATCGTTCTATGTAGCCAACTCTTCATGATTTATTCATAAATGTAACAACAATTAGTAGTTGATCGAAATTATCTCTCACGCTCTCGCTTATAAGATCATCTATATTTTTAGTCTCGAATGTCTCAAATTGCAGTTTCACGAAATATTCATCTTATCTTGTCTCAAACGTTAAATCAGATTTTACTAGTGCTCAAATCTGCTGTGAATCGATGAACATGACACTTATAGAAATCGAGTCAGCCAACGAGCAAGCGCGCATACTCAATATAACCACGTTGATACAAGCTCCTTTTCTCATCGGACTCAATCAAACATGTGGTACTAACAATTACAGTGCATGGCTTTCAGGCAAACCAGTTTTATTCAGTAATTTCGGTATGTTTAAAATTCGAATGCTATCAGATTGATTCCATTTCTCGCTTGAGCATCTAAGCTTTGTATATATTTAATACTAATAAATTTTTCCAACGAATATAATAATTGCTCGTTTTAGGCCAACCTTCAGACTGTTCACGCTCGAAACAGTGCTTCGTTTATGAGAACAATTCTGATGCTCGATGGATAGCTGTAAACTGTTCACTTTTATCCCATTTCGTTTGCGAATCCTATCAAGATATTTCTTATCAATGGAGGCGAAGTGCAGGTGATGGAACAAATAATATTCAAACTGCTTATTTATCTCACAAAAACGAGCGAACCACTGTATATCAGCAAGTTAATTTAGGAGAAACAAGTTTACTACGTTGTTCTAAATCATGTTTCAAGAACAGCAACTGTATCGCAATCAAATATGAGCAAAGCAACTGCCAGCTGTTTCTTAGCTGACCACTGAGACGTTTCTCAATCTAAACTTGAGTTTTTTCTTTTGCTTTAACTATCAATTCAATGAACTTCATCCAAAGTCTTTTCACTCGATGTATTGTGCACCATCCAGTTAACGTTTTATACTCAATAAATTCCACTAATCTTTCTGCTCAACTAATTTTTAACGATCAAAAAGGGTACTAGCTGAAACACTGTCAAATAGCGCGTCAAGTCTCATCTTTACCTTGAAAGTAGATAAAAAATATGTCATGTCTCACGATAGACTCCGCGCTTCATTGCACTCTAAAAACCGGAAACAATGTGTTATTAAAATTTTCTTGTTATCGTAAACATCTCTTCGCGCTGTTACCGACATGTACATGCACATATCTTCACATCCTTCTCTCCAACTGTTTCTGTTACCATCGCGATAGATTCTTTTGCTAGGTTTTTGAATCAATAGATTAAGTTTCGCTTCTTGAGCGAAGACAACACTACTAGTGTGCACGATGATAGGGTGTTAGTTTATAATCATCATGTGCTTTTATACCCACTTTCATCTAGGCATGTTCCAATCCCGACTTCAATTCTAGATTCGAAATCGAATGGAATTGATTCGAGGTAGACTCAAATATATTACTAGTTTTAACTCTACCAAGACTGGTTGCGAACAGTCTTCATTATTGTCAGACGAATCTCCAGTACGAACAGGCATGTAGAATTAGTTCTCTATTAGATCTCACGAAGTCGGTCAAAGTTGTTGACTATGTCATGCCAGTTTCAAATCAATTTCATTCGACTCTAGAATCGAGATTGTTGCATGCATATAATCCATCCTCAAATTCTTTTTTTTAAAGAAAATAGGCTGTCGAGCCGCAAAATTTTCTGACGTCTTATTTGCTTTAACCTCTTGAATACCACTATCCACAGGCTAAAGATAATATAGAGGCATAAAATATTCTCTTGCGTTCTATCACATTACTTGCCAGCTAAATTCGCTAAAGAGAGAGAGAGAACAACAACAACTCCCAATCATACAAAGAGAGAGAAGAAGCCCATTTTTTCAAAGAACGAGAATAAATCAACAGGTGAGTTTGTTTTGGATGAAAAAAATCATTTTCACTCCGACATGCAAAATTCCCACTGTCATCCAACTACGTTTTTTCGCTTTATTACAAAAAACTATAGTGATCCATACCTAACAATGTCAGTGAAATAGCAGATAGAATCATGTAAGCATATCCTTCTAGAGAATATCCTATTCGAGTAACTAATAAAACTTTAACCCAGAGCGTATATAGTTCTTTAAATAGTCTCAATTCAGCTTTAGCATATACATGAGGATGTCACTGTATATAGAGATATAAATCAGCTTGAAACTGAGGTACCGGCACCTACTCTCACTCATCTAGACATCACGCCTCGCATCTATCAAAATCCACCTACATCCAAAACTTCACCCACACTCACACCCTGTCTAACGTTGTATCGTGTGGTGTTAAACCCTATGAAAGAATGTCATGAATATTGAAATTTTCTTTTAAGATTACAATATTTGGTATTGATTATTCGATACACAGTTTTTTGAGTTTTTAAACATGGCACAAGCTACGCGCTCTGCGAAGAGCACAACTGCTAGTGCAGCTCCTAATGCTGTCATTCGAGAGATGACCTCTTCATTCGCTCGATCATTGGCAGATGCGAATTCCTCACTGATTCGACAATCGCTTGATCGCTTACGAACTTATATTGGTGATTCAGTCGATAGTGATGAAAATATTTCAAAAGCATTCAAGTACTTGAAAGATAGAATTCATCATGAGAGAGAAAGCGACGATGGTGAATCGCTTGCTTCCTTGATNTATCCGATGGGTGTTGTGCTTGATGTCGATGGATATCTCTTCATTGTGGATCAAGGAAATAATAGAATTGTTGGATCGGGACCACTTGGATTTCGATGTATAGTTGGATGTTCTGGTAGTAGTGGCTCAGCACTCAATCAGTTACAAGGTCCACGGTCACTTGCTTTCGATACTGATGGGAATTTATATGTTAGCGATCGGGAAAATGATCGCATCATGACATACACTTTATTTAACAGCTCATGTGGTAAGTTTCATCCAAATGTTCTTGAATTAGTGAGGGCGATCACGAGAGAATTATGTCTATGGTAGTGAGTACTGTCAGTAAGATTTACTTGAAACACAAGAGCATATGAAGATAACTATAAAAGAGTCATAGGAAGTTGTTGTAGAATCGATCTTGTTTCGTACTACGACACAATCATCGTTGACTCTGACTACGTAGTTGTAATACTTTATCAAGTTTCGTTTACTCATGGAATTTTGTCAAAGTTTTGAATAAGTCTAATGTGAAAACGACAGTCAGCAATCACCAGCAGCTTGATTCTATTAAGTTAAGAAATTAGAACAAATGAGTCTTGTATAGTTTACACCACGACTACATCAACATCAACAAGTTCAACCTCAACATCAACAACATCAACAAGTTCAACCTCAACATCAACAACATCAACACCAACAACGTCAACATCAACATCAACAAAAACAACGTCAACATCAACATCAACAACGTCAACAACGTCAACATCAACAAGTTCAACATCAACATCAACAAAAACAACGTCAACATCAACGACGGCATACTCAGGTAAATGTGCTGTCTGTAATTTAAAATGATGTGAAGGAAAATTATAATTTAAATTTGGATAATGGTAATTGAAATGCGCATTATGATATTGAAAGTGTCGCCTCTTGTCTTTTGAATCATCGTTCTATGTAGCCAACTCTTCACGATTCATTCATAAATGTAACAACAATTAGTAGTTGATCGAAGTTATCTCTCACGCTCTCGCTCACAAGATCATCTGTATTTTTAGTCTCGAACGTCTCAAATTGCAGTTTCACGAAGTATTCATCTTATCTTGTCTCAAACGTTAAATCAGATTTTACCAGTGCCCAAATCTGCTGTGAATCGATGAACATGACTCTTATAGAAATCGAGTCAGCCAACGAGCAAGCGCGCGTACTCAATATAACCACATTGATACAAGCTCCTTTTTTCATCGGACTCAATCAAACATGTGGTACTAACAATTACAGTACATGGCTCTCAGGCAAACCAGTTTTATTCAGTAATTTCGGTATGTTTCAAATTCGAATGCTATCAGATTGATTCCATTTCTCGCTTGAGCATCTAAGCTTTGTATCCATTTAATACTAATCAACTTTTCCAACGAATGCAATAATTGCTCGTTTTAGGTCAACCTTCAGACTGTTCACGCTCGAAACAGTGCTTCGTTTATGAAAACAATACTGATGCTCGATGGATAGCTGTAAACTGTTCACTTTTATTTCATTTCGTTTGCGAATCCTATCAAGATATTTCTTATCAATGGAGGCGAAGTGTAGGTAATGGAACAAATAATATTCAAACTGCTTATTTATCTCACAAAAACGAGCGAACCACTGTATATCAGCAAATTAATTTAGGAGAAACAAGTTTACTACGTTGTTCTAAATCATGTTTCAAGGACAGCAACTGTATCGCAATCAAATATGAGCAAAGCAACTGCCAGCTGTTTCTTAGCTGACCACTGAGACGTTTCTCAATCTAAACTTGAGTTTTTTCTTTTGCTTTGACTATCAATTCGATGAACTTCATCCAAAGTCTTTTCACTCGATGTATTGTGTTCCATCCAGTTAACGTTTTATACTCAATAAATTCTACTGATCTTTCTGCTCAAGTACTTTTTAACGACCAAAGAGGGTACTAGCTGAAACACTGTCAAATAGCGCGTCGAGTCTCATCTTTAGCTTGAAAGTAGATCAAAATATGTCGTGTCTCACGATAGACTTCGCGCTTCATTGTATTCTAAAAAACCGGCAACAATGTATTAATAAAATTTTCTTGTTGTCATAAATGCCTGTCTGTGCTGTTACCGACATGTAGATGCATACATGTAAAAGTCGAAGACTCGATTCGCGTATTAAAACTATAAATTCGAGTTTTAAACTCTTAACTAATTGGCTATTAAACATTCACTAACTAAATGCTAATTATTAAATGACTAACTACCTATCATCTACTAGCTAACTGATTAGCAATTATTAACTAATTGATTATCTTGAGGGTGAGGGTGAGGGTGTGGGTGCAGCGTACAACGGCACAGCCAGGGTCAATGTGAACGGCATTCGTTACCGTTAGTTGCTGATAACTGATAGTCTTATAGTTAATAAATGATTATGTAGTATTTTATAGTCATATGCCGATTACTTGATAGTCGGTTGACTGATAAGTAATTGCTTGGTAAATATCTAGTTAACTGTTACATAATAGGTAATAATTAGTCATTCAACGATTTACGGTTAATCACTGACGAATTGGTAAGCGGATAGCTCGAAACTTCGAATTATAGATTTATAAGTTTATAAGTTTAAAACTCGAGTGCTCGAATTCTAAACTGAAAGATTTAGAATTCGAATGAAAGTTTTAAAACTCGAATCGAATTAACGATTTCTACACTACTCTCGACCCTAGAATCGAGATTGTTGCATGCATATATCCATCCTCAAATTCTTTTTTTTTTCAAAGAAGACAGGCTGTCGAGTGGCAAAATTTTCTGACGTCTTATTTCCTTTAACCTCTTGAATACTGCTATCCACAGGCTGAAGAGAAGATAGAAGCACAATATTTTCTCTTGCGCTCTGTCACATTGTTTACCAGCTAAATTCGCTAGAGAGAGAGAACAACAACAACTCCCAATCATACAGAGAGAGAAGAAGCCCATTTTTTCAAAGAACGAGAATAAATCAACAAGTGAGTTTGTTTTGGATGAAAAAAAATCATTTTCACAACGACATACAAAATTCCCACTGTCATCCAGCTACGTTTTTTCGCTTTATTACAAAAAATATAGTGATCCATACCTAACAATGTCAGTGAAATAGCAGATAGAATCATGTAAGCATATCCTTTTAGAGAATATCCTTTTCGAGTAACTAATAAAACTTGAACCCAGAGTGTATATAGTTCTTTAAATAATCTCAACTCAGCTTTGGCATATACATGAGGATGTCACTGTATATAGAGATATGAATGAGCTCGAAACTGATGTGCCAGCACCTACTCTCACTCATCTAGACTCGACGCCTCGCATCTATCAAAATCCACCTACATCTAAAACTTCACCCACACCCACACTCTGTCTAACGTTGTATCGTGTGGTGTTAAGCCCTATGAAAGAATGTCATGAATATTGAAATTTTCTTTTAAGATTATAATATTTGGTATTGATTATTCGATACACAGTTTCTTGAGTTTTTAAACATGGCACAAGCTACGGGCTCTGCGAAGAGCACAACTGCTAGTGCAGCTCCTAGTGCTGTCATTCGAGAGATGACCTCTTCATTCGCTCGATCATTGGCAGACGAGAATCCCTCACTGATTCGACAATCGCTTGATCGCTTACGAACTTATATTGGTGATTCAGTCGATAGTGATGAAAATATTTCAAAAGCATTCAAGTACTTGAAAGATAGAATTCATCATGAGAGAGAAAGCGACGATGGTGAATCGCTTGCTTCCTTGATTACTGCCACATTGATCATTCCGTGTTATCGTTTCTATTCGACCAACGAGAAGTTTTCATTGCATTTTTTCCAATTATTCGAACTGATATTAACACATTCGTCGGTAGTGCGCAATGAAAACTTTCTCTTCTCAATTGCCGTATTTATTTCGCGTACAAATGTTTATCGACCAAACTTAGCTTTAACTCGACTTGATAAATGGACCATCAAAATGTGGCTTGGAAAACCGGTGAGTCAAAATCCCGCAACAAACAAAGTACGCTTTGCATCTGGCAAACCATTTCCGTTCACTCCCGACTCACCCGTTTGTACTGTTTTATGCGATAATACCAAGTACCCACTTGATATCACCAATCAATTCGATGTATTCATCGCCAAAGCCAGTGAAAATCAAAACACTAATGCGGACGAATTATTTACTCTTGAGAACATTCTCAATCAATTATTTCGCTGTCAATTCATTCTTCAAGCATTTTTAAATGCAGATCAATGCTTATCGTCGATGTTATCGTTTGCCGTTCGCCGTCAACGAATCGTAGACATTCGGTTAACAAATGAAAGCAACGCTCAAGCTCTAACGGAATTAACGTCAATCAAAGATCGAATGCTGAACAAGTTCAATTATTTACCAGGTTCATGCGAGGGAGATTTTAAATTTATTCAAAGCGAATGTCGAGTTCAATGGACTGATGGTAAAACATTCATCTATTCAACCAATACCATCCATCCGCGACCATCATTCTTGTCACCGATAGCGAAATTACTTCGCTATGCGCATCACCAACAGGAGAACATCGAAGATTCAGAAGCAAAAAAGCCTTGGAGTTTATTATTACAAACAATTCATCAAACAATTACGTCATATTTGGGAGATGCAACAACGAGTGATGCTATCAACGATTTCTTCGTCTATTTCCTGACTGACAACGATGAACAAATACGAAATATGGGTGGCAAACTTCTCACAACATTCGTCAACGAACTACTCATGTCAAGCGATGAAAATCTCCCTCCATTAATATCCTGTTCAATCCTAGAGAAGATTCTCCAATCAATGATAAATCATGAGCAATATACAATCAACGAAAGCCTGTTGAGCCAATGTTTACAGCCATCCTTAGAATGGCCCATCAATGATTTATGCTCGTTACTAACCATGTTAGCTGTGAAATCAATGCAAACAGCAGACCATTGGATACAATATTTCGTTAATTTAATGAATTTGAACCGAGAACAATGGGTGTCGTCATCAATAAAGACAAATCCAAGTTTTCTCGAGTTCTGTCGGCAAATTCCAGCGTCATTATTCACACGATTGTTCGAACCGATGATGAGAGACTCATTTCATGTTCTCAAATTCATAATTATCAACTGTAAAAAAGACTGGACTAAGGTTTTACTGGAAATCATGGAGACACAAATGAAAGACAATCGCCTACAAGAAAATCTTCATGAATTGCTGAAAGATGCTCGTTTACACGCATTTAGTAACTGGAAAGTCTCGTCAACTTTCGATCTTTTACTTTCATTAATCAAACTAACCACAGACAAATACCCATTATTGCTCTTCGAACTTCTCCTTCTCTTGGAGAAAGTCTACGATGAACACTTAAGTCCGAGAAACTTGAATATTCCTACAACAATTCAACCGATGGTTAATATTCTTCATTTAATATTTTCCAATGAGAGTTTTCTTTGCAACTCTACAACTCGTCGCGGTATTTTATTATCAACCACGTCGATTCTTCTTCATCTAATCGATCACATGAATCTGCAAGCATTCATCATGAATCCAGATGAAATGAAACAACTCATTCAATCAACAATAGTGTGCTCGATCAATTACAAACAAACGTTACGTTTGTTCAATTATGTCCTTCGATCCAAACAACAAATTTTGATCAAAGATTGGTTCGAACAACTACTAACCTTAGCATTATCAACAAATGATAATCTCTCAGACGATGAACAACCATCAACGGTTCACTTCAACCCATCGACAATAACCGAACTGATCGGTATGTACACTTATGAAATGATTGAACTATTACATGAGAAACTCGATCATACAAGAAATTTGATTTGCTTAACTACATTCAATTTTCTGTCGACTTTTATTCAACAATGTTTACCAACGTGTATTCAATGTTTGCTACATAGAAATGCTCGTATACGTATATCGATTGCACGATTGGTAGGTCGAGCGCTGAATATGCAATCGAGCGATCTTATCAAACTTCTGCAAAGTTTGCAAGATTCAACTGATGAACAAATTGACTTAACACCGGACACGTCATTAAACGTAATGAGTGATCAACAGCAAGCGGTTGCGCATATACATACGACGCCAGTGTATCTTCTCGAGCGTGAAAAGAAACGTTCGAAGTCTCAAATACCTTTCCGTACAATTAAACAGTCAGATTTTGGTTTATTATCAAAACATTTGAAAGCGTTAACACATGTCGAGGATGCATCAAACACTAACGCAGCAGATTTCGATGCGATTAAAAGTTCGATTAGCGAATGTTCAGAAGAATTCCGTCACCTTATACCAAGCCGTCGTCAGTTACCGTCGTTAGTGCAAACCAGTACAATGCGAAATAATCGGCAACGCATTGTCGAATGTATACGAACACCTATTCATTTGTTATTACAAGGCGAAACTGGGGTTGGAAAAAGTAGTTTGATACTCGACGTGGCTGCTGATCTTCGAAAACCATTAGTTCGTTTTAATCTTTCGTCGAAGACTGATATCGGCGCATTATTCGGGTCGGTCAAAATGAAAACAGTTAAGAGTGGGGATGGCCAACATCAGGAAATTGAATTAGAATATGAAGAAGGTCCATTTACGACGGCATATCGTCACGGGCACTGGCTTCTATTGGATGAAATGAATCTAGCACCACCGAATGTTCTTCAAGCAATTGAACAAGCGCTAGAATCCGGTGTTCTGACAATTCCGAATATTGAAGACGAGAATGATGTCAAAGATCAACCAAATCAAGTGAAACAGAACTGTCGTGTCTATCGAATACATTCAGATTTTCGTCTTTTCGCAACACAAAATCCATCCGCAGGCAAATATAAAGATGCGCGTGATACACAATCAACCGCTCTGTTAAACCGCTTTAGTATTTTCATCGTCGAAGGTCCAAAGGAGAACGAGTTAGGTGATATTGTCACAAATAAATTAAAAACCGAGAACTTTCCTTTTGTAACTCAAGCAGCACAAATGGTTGGATTGCATTTGAAAATCATGGCGACAATAAAAGAATCTAATTTCAAAGAACGAAATAGGAACTACTCCGAAATAACTATTCGTGAACTTTTCCGTTGGTGTCAAAGTTTATGTGACTATGAAAAAATGTTAATGAAATCTTCCCAAACCATTAGCAAGCTTCCTTCAAGCACGTTCAATGCCATTCTAACTGAACAAGCATATGCCATTTATGGTTTACGATTTCGTGAAGCACAAAGTCGAGAAGAAATAGCGCAAATGATTGAGAACTTTTTTCATGTCAATCCAATACCATCATCAAAATTGTCGATTGAACATCGTCCAAACAATAACACGGTTGCATTTCTGTCCCAACAACGTTTACTATTACAAATGCCAACGGTTTATCTCGAACGTATCGATCAAGACTGGCCATCAAATCTGAACCGATTGAGTAATTCAGAACTTACAAAAATGATCAAAATTCATAATTATGCGTTTCAATACTTTCATCATGAACATCTATTGCAAATTTATGATTGTTCTTACACATTATTCTGGTCAATGGTAGAACGGCGATCTCGCGAAAGTTCGACTCTAGTAGCCATCGTTGTTGAAACTTATACAAGTTTATGTCGAAATGAAAAGCAACGAAAAGAAATCGTCAAGTATATTTCAACAGAGTTCGGCGAACCGGAAAGCTCACTCGCAGAATACCAATCATCACTATCGTCGGCTCAATCATCATTTTACCTTGACGAAGAAGCCCATCGTATTGCACAATTTATTCTAGCTGCATCGCCCTCACAACCCATTCTCATCGTTGGCCCCGAAGGTTGTGGCAAAAGTCATCTCGTACAATCAATCGCTACACTAACAAATGTTCGTTGTCAACACTTATACCTAACGCCCCAGACTGAGCCTGCAGCTCTTGTCGGCTCTCTTGTACCACATCCCAAACTACCAAGTTGGCACGATGGTGCCGTAAGCGAAGCTGTCAGTAAAGGGCATTGGCTGGTTCTTGAAAATTTTTCCGAAGCGTCGTCTGCTGTTCTCGAGCGCTTAAATCCTGTTTTAGAACAGCCAGCTCAGTGGGTTAAAGTCGAAAACAATGAAACACAACCTGTCGCGGTTCATCCGAATTTTCGCATCATCGCAACGATGTCGCCGCCAACTGGTCGCTTACAAAATGCTTCAATTGAAACCAATCACGAACTTTCACCAGCTCTATACAATCGTTTTTTGATTATTTTTTATCAAGGCTTGAACTTATCGTCGCCGGACGTTTATAGAAACTTGTTCACAGCATACTTTCCAACTAATGAAATACAATTGATTGATACGCTTTGTGAGAAACTTCGTTCGGAGCAATTAACCCCGCGACAATTGGTTCAGTTTATTGACTGTGCGTTCAAATTACAACATTCAAGAGTTGTCACCGAACGCAAAATCGATTTACCCTCGGTTTTACTCTCCGCTTACGAACTTGTCTTCAGTAGTGATTCCAACAAACCATTAGCATCACCGGTTAAACTATACCTAGAAAAAGAAGCCCGACATGGTTCGATTAATTTCTTCAATTTATCTGTTTCTGAAAAAGCACGTAAAGAACATCGCGAACATATTATTGATCCTGACAAAACACCAACACGGTACGACGCTGCAAAACGCCTATGCGCATCGGTGATTTGTTCACGTCCAGTCCTTCTCGAAGGTCCGGCTGCCACGGGAAAAACCAGTTTAGTCGAATACTTAGCACACTGTGACAAAAAAAAACTCTACCGAGTTAACAATACTAAAGGTACGACTATCCAAGACTATTTTGGTTCGTATATGCCGAATGGCGAATTTTTGAATGGCGCGCTATCTAGTGCAATGCTTCGTGGTGATTGGTTTGTTGCCGATGAGTTTGATTTAGCTGAGCCAGCTGTCATGAATGTTTTGTATCCGATTTTAGAAGGACAAAAATGTCTCACTGTACCAAACACTGGCCAGACTCTAATTGCGCGAGATGGATTTCGGTTCTTTGCAACACAAAACGGTACAAGTTATGTCGGACGAAAACAGTTACCAAAAACATTACGTTCAAGATTCTTAGAAATACAATTTCACTCTTTTACAGAAAACGAATTGCAATTCATTATTGTTCAACGTAAATCAACGTCCACTGTTTCGAAATCATCGACAGCATTCGATGAAGATTTGAAAAAAGTCGCGCCGCAGATAGCATCAATGGTTAAAAATCTCAATCAACAAATCGACGAAAAGCAACTGCCGATCCTAGGCGCACCGAAACTCGGTCTAACAATGCGTGAAGTTATCAAATGGATTAATCGAAAACAACGAAAGGTCGATGTCGATTGGGATGAGCACGCACTAAGATTATTAGAATCACGTGTACCGAGAAAACATAGTACTGCATTTATCACGTGTCTTCAAATTTCATTTCCACATTTGATAGATTCACCATCTCAGGTGAAAATCGAGGGAAATAAAATCTCGCTCAATCGACCATCTCGTCTACCAATATCGTACACTTTTACAGATTTCGATGCAGCTATTCATTTACAATTGGCATCAGCATCGCAAAATTTGTTACTGGCACTTTGGCGTGTGTTCGCTGCTGCTGAACAGCATGAACCAGTTCTTCTACTAGGGCCAACTTGTTATAAATCTGAACTAATCAAAATCTGGTCGAAATTGATGGCAAAGGAGTCCGAAGTTTGTGTTATAAACTGCTCAACATCAACTGAAACAAATGATCTGATCGGATCGATCAGGTATTCGTAGGAAGTTATTCCATATTTAGGAAATGAGCTTGTTTTTTATTTAGACCTTATACACATGCCGATGCATTGAGTTTATTATTGAACTGTTTAAATCAACTGTATGAACGTGCGAAAAAGAATCTCGCAAGTGCTTCTCCAGCAGACATTGAAAGTTTTTCTCAATTTCGTACAAATTGTGATGAACTTGCAACTGACGTCGATAAATTTATCAGTGAAACCAAAAAACAGTCAGGAAAAAGAGCCGTTCGACAACGTCCGACAACAAAGCTTACCGAACAACCCCCTGGACCAGCCGTGGAATCTGAAGATACTGAAATTGATTGCGAACCAGATGAATTGAATAATTATACACCTCTACCAACATCTAGTTTACCCCCCAGGTCAATAGCAACAGCAGAACAATTGAGTAGCACAAAGAATCGTCCCTCTAGTGACGACGATGACGACGGTCAATATTTCGAAAAAGTTTATCGTACAAAAGAAGTCGTTGATATGATGACTAATGATGAAGATGAAGATGATCCATTTGCAATGCCGTACAACACTGAAGATGAAGAAGAAGACGAAATTGATCCTTTCAGCACTGCTTCCGCAAACGCTCCGAAGGAATCAGACGACAAAGAAGAAGCGATTGATCCTTTCAGCACTGCCCCTGCACACGTCCCTGTAAAATTAGACGCAGAAGAGGAAGAAGACGACCCATTCAGCACACAACAATCATCACAACTATCAGCTGAATTAAACATTTTAGACTTTTTCAATGCAGTACAGTTCGATGATCAACCAACAATGCACTCTTCGACTTCTTCATCACGAACGAATGGTAATCCTATTGCTGAAGCGTATCAATCTATAAAAAACCGATTGGAGATAATAGCCTCCAGTCTCAACGGTATATGCAGCATTGGATCAAACGAAAGTGGCATTTTGTTAATCAAAGTTCGTTGTGAAAGTATAATTAGCGAAGTTGAACGTGCAATTCAGCAAGGCAAATCGAATATCTTCTTATTTCAAGATGGTCCTGTTACAAGTGCTGTCAAAGAGGGTAAAGTCTTAGTTTTAGAGGATATTAACGAACCATCCCAAGCTGTCATCGAACGGCTGAATAGTTTATTCGAAACTGAACCGTCATTTATTCTCTATGAGGATTTTACTGCCCAAGGATCGAAAATAACTGCAATCGATCCGNGTCGATGTTATCGTTTGCCGTTCGCCGTCAACGAATCGTAGACATTCGGTTAACAAATGAAAGCAACGCTCAAGCTCTAACGGAATTAACGTCAATCAAAGATCGAATGCTGAACAAGTTCGATTATTTACCAGGTTCATGCGAGGGAGATTTTAAATTTATTCAAAGCGAATGTCGAGTTCAATGGACTGACGGTAAAACATTCATCTATTCAACCAATACTATCCATCCGCGACCATCATTCTTGTCACCGATAGCGAAATTACTTCGCTATGCGCATCACCAACAGGAGAACATCGAAGATTCAGAAGCCCAAAAGCCTTGGAGTTTATTATTACAAACAATTCATCAAACAATTACATCATATTTGGGAGATGCAACAACGAGCGATGCTATCAGCGATTTCTTCGTCTATTTCCTGACTGACAACGATGAACAAATACGAAATATGGGTGGCAAACTTCTCACAACATTCGTCCACGAACTACTCATATCAAGCGATGAAAATCTCCCTCCGTTAATATCCTGTTCAATCCTAGAGAAGATTCTCCAATCAATGATAAATCATGAGCAATATACAATCAACGAAAGCCTGTTGAACCAATGTTTACAGCCGTCGTTAGAATGGTCCATCAATGATTTATGCTCGTTACTAACCGTGTTAGCTGTGAAATCAATGCAAACAGCAGACCATTGGATACAATATTTCATTAATTTAATGAATTTGAACCGAGAACAATGGATGTCGTCATCAATAAAGACAAATCCAAGTTTTCTCGAGTTCTGTCGGCAAATTCCAGCGTCATTATTCACACGATTGTTCGAACCGATGATGCGAGACTCATTTCATGTTCTCAAATTCATCATTATCAACTGTAAAAAAGATTGGATTAAAGTCCTATTGGAAATCATCGATACACAAATGAAAGACAATCGCCTACAAGAAAATCTTCATGAATTATTAAAAGATGCTCGATTACATGCATTTGGCGATTGGAAAGTCGCATCAACGTTCGATCTTTTACTTTCATTAATCAAACTAACCACAGACAAATACCCATTATTGCTCTCCGAATTTCTCCTTCTCTTGGAGAAAGTCTTCGACGGACAACTAAGTCCGAGAAACTTCAACATTCCGTCAACAATTCAACCGATGGCTAATATTCTTAATTTAATATTTTCCAATGACAGCTTTCTTTGCAATTCCACAATTCGTCGCAGTATTCTTCTATCAACCACATCGATTCTTCTTCATCTAATCGATCACATGAATTTGCAAGCATTTGTCATGAATACCGATGATATGAAACAACTGATTCAATCGACAATATTCTGCTCGATCAATTATAAACAAACGTTACGTTTGTTCAATTATATCCTTCGATTAAAACAACAAATTTTGATCAAAGATTGGTTCGAACAACTACTAACCTTAGCATTATCAACAAATGATAATCTCTCAGACGATGAACGACCATCAACGGTTCACCTCAACCCATCGACAATAACCGAACTCATCGGTATGTACACGTATGAAATGATTGAACTATTACATGAGAAACTCGATCATACAAGAAATTTGATTTGCTTAACCACATTCAATTTTCTGTCGACTTTTATTCAACAATGTTTACCTACGTGTATTCAATGTTTGCTACATAGAAATGCTCGTATACGTATATCGATTGCACGATTGGTAGGCCGAGCGCTGAATATGCAATCGGGAGATCTTATCAAACTTCTACAAAGTTTACAAGATTCAACTGATGAACGAATTGACTTAACAACGGACACGTCATTAAACGTAATGAGCGATCAACAGCAAGCGGTTGCGCATATACATACGACGCCAGTGTATCTTCTCGAGCGTGAAAAGAAACGTTCGAAGTCTCAAATACCTTTCCGTACAATTAAACAGTCAGATTTTGGTTTATTATCAAAACATTTGAAAGCGTTAACACATGTCGAGGATGCATCAAACACTAACGCAGCAGATTTCGATGCGATTAAAAGTTCGATTAGCGAATGTTCAGANTATCACTAAAGGGCATTGGCTGGTTCTTGAAAATTTTTCCGAAGCATCGTCTGCTGTTCTCGAGCGCTTAAATCCTGTTCTAGAACAGCCAGCTCAGTGGGTTAAAGTCGAAAACAATGAAACACAACCCGTCGTGGTTCATCCGAATTTTCGCATCGTCGCAACGATGTCGCCGCCAACTGGTCGCTTACAAAATGCTTCAATTGAAACCAATCACGAACTTTCACCAGCTCTATACAATCGATTTTTGATTATTTTTTATCAAGGCTTGAATTTATCGTCGCCGGACGTTTATAAAAACTTGTTCACAGCATACTTGCCAACCAATGAAATACAACTGATTGATACGCTTTGTGAGAAACTTCGCTCGGAGCAATTAACCCCGCGACAATTGGTTCAATTTATTGACTGTGCATTCAAATTACAACATTCACGAGTCGTCACAGAACACAAAATCGATTTACCCTCGGTTTTACTCTCCGCTTACGAACTTGTCTTCAGTAGTGATTCCAACAAACCATTAGCATCACCGGTTAAACTATACCTAGAAAAAGAAGCCCAACATGGTTCGATAAATTTCTTCAATTTATCTGTTTCTGAAAAAGCACGTAAAGAACATCGCGAACATATCATTGATCCTGACAAAACACCAACACGATACGACGCTGCAAAACGCCTATGCGCATCGGTGATTTGCTCACGTCCAGTCCTTCTCGAAGGTCCGGCTGCCACGGGTAAAACTAGTTTAGTCGAATACTTAGCACACTGTGACAACAAAAAACTCTACAGAGTTAACAATACCAAAGGTACGACTATCCAAGACTATTTTGGTTCGTATATGCCGAATGGCGAATTTTTGAATGGCGCGCTATCTAGTGCAATGCTTCGTGGTGATTGGTTTGTTGCCGATGAGTTCGATTTAGCTGAGCCAGCTGTCATGAATGTTTTGTATCCGATTTTAGAGGGACAAAAATGTCTCACCGTACCAAACACTGGCCAGACTCTAGTTGCGCGGGATGGATTTCGATTTTTTGCAACACAAAACGGTACAAGTTATGTCGGACGAAAACAGCTACCAAAAACATTACGTTCAAGATTCTTAGAAATACAATTTCACTCTTTTACAGAAAACGAATTGCAATTCATTATTGTCCAACGTAAATCAACGTCCACCGCTCCGAAATCATCGACAGTATTCGATGAAGATCTGGAAAAAGTCGCACCACAGATAGCATCAATGGTTAAAAGTCTCAATCAACAAATCGACGAAAAGCAACTACCGATCCTAGGCGCACCGAAACTCGGTCTAACAATGCGTGAAGTTATCAAATGGATTAATCGAAAACAACGAAAGATCGATGTCGATTGGGATGAGCACGCACTAAGATTATTAGAATCACGTGTACCAAAAAAACATAGTACTGCATTCATCACGTGTCTTCAAACTTCATTTCCACATCTGATAGATTCACCATCTCAGGTGAAAATCGAAGGAAATAAAATCTCGCTGAATCGACCATCTCGTCTACCAATATCGTACACTTTTACAGATTTCGATGCAGCTATTCATTTACAATTGGCATCAGCATCGCAAAATTTGCTCCTGGCACTTTGGCGTGTGTTCGCTGCTGCTGAACAGCACGAACCAGTTCTTCTACTAGGGCCAACTTGTTATAAATCTGAACTAATCAAAATCTGGTCGAAATTGATGGCAAAGGAGTCCGAAGTTTGTGTTATAAACTGCTCAACATCAACTGAAACAAATGATCTGATCGGATCGATCAGGTATTCGTAGGAAGTTATTCCATATTTAGGCAATGAGCTTGTTTTTTATTTAGACCTTATACACATGCCGATGCATTGNTCGAGCAGGTATTCGTAGGAAGTTATTCCATATTTAGGCAATGAGCTTGTTTTTTATTTAGACCTTATACACATGCCGATGCATTGAGTTTATTATTGAACTGTTTAAATCAACTGTATGAACGTGCGAAAAAGAATCTCTCAAGTGCTTCTCCAGCAGACATTGAAAGTTTTTCTCAATTTCGTACAAATTGTGATGAACTTGCAATTGACGTCGATAAATTTATCAGCGAAACTAAAAAACAACCGGGTAAAAGAGCCGTTCGACAACGTCCGACAACAAAGCTTACCGAACAACCCCCTGGACCTGCTGTGGAATCTGAAGATACTGAAATTGATTGCGAATTAGATGAATTGAATAATTATACACCTCTGCCAACATCTAGTTTACCCCCAAGGTCAATAGCAACAGCAGAACAATTGAGCAGCACAAAGAATCGTCCCTCTAGTGACGACGATGACGACGGTCAATATTTCGAAAAAGTTTATCATACCAAAGACGTTGTTGATATGATGGCTAATGGTGAAGATGAAGATGATCCATTTGCCGTGCCGCACATCGCTGAAGATGAAGGAGAAGAAGTTGATCCTTTTAGCACTGTCTCCGCAAATGCTACCGAAGAAACAGAAGACAACGAGGAAGAAGCTGATCCTTTTAGCACTGCCCCTACAAACGTTCCTCTGACATCAGATAAAGAAGAGGAAGCTGACCCATTCAGTATACGACAATCATCACAGTTATCAGCTGATCTCGAAATTATAGACTTTTTCAATGGAATGCAGTTTGATGATCAATCAACAATATACTCCTCGACTTCTTCATCAGGAACGAACGGCAATCCTATTGCTGAGGCGTATGAATCAATTAAAAACCGACTGGAGATAATAACGTCTAGTCTCGATGGTATATGTCACGTTGGGTCGAAGGAAAGTGGTCTTTTGTTAATCAAAGTTCGTTGTGAAAGTATAATTAACGAAATTGAACGTGCAATTCAGCAAGGCAAATCGAATATCTTCTTATTTCAAGATGGTCCTGTTACAAGTGCTGTCAAAGAGGGTAAAGTCTTAGTTTTAGAGGATATTAACGAACCATCCCAAGCTGTCATCGAACGGCTGAATAGTTTATTCGAAACTGAACCGTCATTTATTCTCTATGAAGATTTTACTGCCCAAGGATCGAAAACAACTGCAATCGATCCGNTTGAACGTGCAATTCAGCAAGGCAAATCGAATATCTTCTTATTTCAAGATGGTCCTGTTACAAGTGCTGTCAAAGAGGGTAAAGTCTTAGTTTTAGAGGATATTAACGAACCATCCCAAGCTGTCATCGAACGGCTGAATAGTTTATTCGAAACTGAACCGTCATTTATTCTCTATGAGGATTTTACTGCCCAAGGATCGAAAATAACTGCAATCGATCCGCAACGTGCGAAATTTCCGATTTTACCAACATTCCAAGTCTTCGCTACAGTACACACCGATGAAAAGACCGAAAATCGTCTACAACTAAGTGCAGCCACGCGTTCACGAATGACAGAAATTCGTGTTCAACCCTACGATAACAGCGAATTGAAACAGTTGGCAATCAAATCAGCGATGAATAAATCTCTAGAGAAACACAACCAGAATGAAATCACGAAAGTTATCAATATTTTAGCTGATGATCTTGCCTTACAGCTTGCTCAAACAATGAAAATCGATTCCTTGGACTCGCGTCATTTTGTTCGATTTGGTGAATGTTTAGGTTTACACGCCGAGCATATGCCGGCTGCACAAGCAGCTGCTATTTGCGTGAAATTTCTCTTTCTTGACAGCGTTGTTGAACCGAAAAAAACCAAGAATTCCAATATTGATCCATCCACTAAAATCTGGCATAAAGTCTTGACCGCATTCAAATGTGAGATGAATTTTCTGTCAACCGATGAAAAGGATTCGACGAATGAGAATTCTGAGCAAGTGACTGTTTTTGCCGATTTAAGTAAATGGTGCTCGATCGAAGATATGACAATCATCGATCCGGAAACAAAACACCCGCGGGCACATTGGGGTTTAAGATTGAAATCAAATAATTTAATCGCACCATTTGCACCAAAAGTACAATCACGACCTGAAAATCTTTCGTTTGGTCTTGCACTAACGAAATCAGTATTGAATAACATTTCACGAATCGTATTTTCCTTACATTCATCCAATCGACAATTGCTCGCTGGGCCACCCGGTGTCGGAAAAACGAAGATTATCCAAGTTTTAGCTGAAATGTTAGGCTATGAAGTTGTTCGCATTAATTTTAGCAGTAATACTACGTTCGAAGATCTAATTGGGTCGTTTGTACCGCGTGTGGTCAATGGTCAACGAGTGTTTGAGTTTCAAGAAGGTCCACTGTGTACCTCGTTGAAGAAGAATCGTCGAAATACGGTTATTCTACTCGATGAATTGAATTTGGCACGAAAAGAATTGTTAAATCAGCTGATGCCATTATTTGCCAACGAGAGTCAACTGTTTATTCCAGCATTAGCCAAATCTATTCCGATCGATGGATCAATTATTGTAGCGGCAATGAATCCAGCATCGATCGGCGGCGGACGAGAGAAACTACCTCGATCAACTCAAGCACACTTTATTCAAGTTCAACTGTCAACCTTCGATGCACCTGAGCTAATGAATATTACAATCAAACTATTATCCGGTCATTTGATGGCGGGTTATCTAACCGGACCCTTAGTGGAAAAAATCAATATATTTCATTTTGAAATCGGTGAAAAAGCTCGATTAAGACAAATCGGACGAGTGGGCGGACCATATGACTTTAATCTTCGTGATATCGAGAAATTATCGCAATTGATTGGAGCGCTTTCTCTGACGCATCGTGCGCATATGAATCTTTCCGAGGAAGTCAAACCAACAAATCAAACTGATGACGAAAATCTGCGTCGAATCGAAGAACAAAATATCATTCGTAGCTTGCGGGTTTATCTTGACATTGTTTATGCTTCTCGATTCGAAAGTATTCAAGATCAGGATGAGGTACGTGATATGATTAAAAAGAGGTTTCCATTGGACACAAATCCGACTAGTTCAATAGCTCAGAACCAAACAGAACTGATTGATAGTGATTTAAATTTGCAAGGTTATGTCCGTCTCGGATTCGTCTATATTGAGAAAAAGGAATACCAGTCAGTTTATCGACCTTTAATTCACAGTCAACGAACATTAGAAAAACTACAATTATTAGCAGCAGCAACAGTCAGTAAAGCAACTGTCTTAATCGAAGGTGGTGATTGCTCAGGAAAAACTGCACTTGTGTGCGAACTGGCGCGATTGTGTGGTCGACGATTACTTGTTTTAAATTTAAATCATGAAACAACAACTTCCGATTTACTTGGCTCATGGACAGTCATTAACAAGCAATCATATGAAAAAAGGCGAAAGCAAACTAGCAAACAATTGCTCAGCGATATTGTTCGTTTTGCATTAGCAGTTCTTATTCCATTATCACAAAGATTTTATGAAATCGAACAACTCATTCGAACCATTACACGCTTGATCCATCAGTGGGAACACGGTAAGTAGAAATTTTCGACCTTATAAGGGTGTGGGTGAAATACACCTAAATGATCTTCTGTATTTGTTGACATTAAGGTTTTCGTTCTGAATTTGCTGAGTAATGTAAAGTGCAGAAATTTGATGAAAAAAAAACAGCTATTTTTAAAGATGCGGGTCTCAATTGAAGAGAATCAGCACATTACTAAACGAATTAACTAATCAGTTTTTTCCTCCATCTGTTCATTTACATAGTGACTCTTAGAAGACTAATCCGATTATGATGAACTGTTGAACACTACTGCTATTTTTCTATGATTCCTCGAGCCTTCTGTCTCATACAGTTTTTGCAGTACACATATCTTCAGGAAAAAAGCTGAAGTTTCCACATACGTTTGTAGAAAATACTGACCAAGCTCAAGATGCATTTCAACAATGTCGTTCATTTTTGGAACACGAATTGAAACAGGCGGATGAAGTTCATGGACAAGCGATTGTAGAAGAAATAGAGAAATATTTGAATACACTCGATCAAGTTGAAGATGAATTTAAATTGGTCAAAAATCTTGGTGAAGGGTTAACATTCACATTCAATAAAGGGCCATTGATCCAAGCAATGGAACGTGGAGATTGGATTCTATTCGACAATATCAATTGCGCACGTGGAGATGTTATTGAACGTCTCAATTCCTTAGCTGAAGCTGATCCCACATTGACTCTATACGAGTCATCAGAAGCAGAAGAATACAGCCGTGGCAACGGTATACATAAAGATTTTCGCTTATTTGCTATCGCCAATAATAATCGTAAGATGGCAAATAAATTATCCAGTGCTTGGCGAAATCGATGTTTAATTATTCGAATGCAGCCATTGGATAATCAATTAACATTTGAGAATATTCATAAGCATGACCTAGCTGATGTAGTCAAAGGAGAGTTACAAGGTATCAATGGTGGACAAGAGCTCGCACATACACTATTACGAACACACGCATCAGCCAGACAACTTTCCGATAAAAAAGAATTACAATTTATCACATCGTATCAATTATCTTATCAGAATCTCAAACGGTCAGCGCGTATTTTGCGCACCTATGTTTCCAATAAACACGATCCAGTATTTGCTATAAAACCGGCTGTTTTTCGAAGTTATCTTGATCCGATATTGAATGAAGGTGGAAAAACTGCGTTGCTTGATGCATTGGCCGTGCATTTATTACATTCGGAATTGAACAAAGCTTCGTTTACTACTCTACCAATCATAACCATCGAAGATCAACAACAACAAATGGATTGGTATGCTCCAGCACAGAACCTTCACGAATTGATCGCATCTATTGAAGAATGTGTGATTGATCTTCACTTGAAGATCGTCACGACTCACATACATGAAGACATATGTAAAAAACAAGAATTTACCGATTATGGCATCAGTCTACTTGATTATCTGCAACCGTTGGTCAAAACTAAACAAGAAAATCAATCTGATGAAGGTCTGCACTTCGAAGCATCGTCAATTCGATCGAAATTATTAACCAACGATGTACAACAGTCATTAGAATTCAGCTCGCATCTGAAAAAATGGTTCTTCAAAACACATCAGTATCTTCACNTGGAAAAAATCAATATATTTCATTTTGAAATCGGTGAAAAAGCTCGATTAAGACAAATCGGACGAGTGGGCGGACCATATGACTTTAATCTTCGTGATATCGAGAAATTATCGCAATTGATTGGAGCGCTTTCTCTGACGCATCGTGCGCATATGAATCTTTCCGAGGAAGTTAAACCAACCAATCAAGCTGATGACGAAAATCTGCGTCGAATCGAAGAACAAAATATCATTCGTAGCTTGCGGGTTTATCTTGACATTGTTTATGCTTCTCGATTCGAAAGTATTCAAGATCAGGGTGAGGTACGTGATATGATTAAAAAGATGTTTCCATTGGACACAAGTCCGACTAGTTCAATAGCTCAGAACCAAACAGAGCTGATTGACAGTGATTTAAATTTGCAAGGTTATGTCCGTCTCGGATTCGTCTATATCGAGAAAAAGGAATACCAGTCAGTTTATCGACCTTTAATTCACAGTCAACGAACATTAGAAAAACTACAATTATTAGCAGCAGCAACAGTCAGCAAAGCCACTGTCTTAATCGAAGGTGGTGACTGTTCAGGAAAAACTGCACTTGTGTGCGAACTGGCGCGATTGTGTGGTCGACGATTACTTGTTTTAAATTTAAATCATGAAACAACAACTTCCGATTTACTTGGCTCATGGACAGTGATTAACAAGCAATCATATGAAAAAAGGCGAAAGCAAACTAGCAAACAATTGCTCAGTGATATTGTTCGTTTTGCATTAGCAGTTCTTATTCCATTATCACAAAGATTTTATGAAATCGAGCAACTCATTCGAACGATTACACGCTTGATCCATCAGTGGGAACACGGTAAGTAGAAATTTTCGACCTTGAGGGTATGGGTGAAATTCACCCAAGTGATCTTCTGTGTTTGTTGTCATTAAGGTATTCGTTCTGAATTTGCTGAGTAATGTAAAGTGCAGAAATTTGATGAAAAAACACAGCTATTTTTAAAGATGCGGGTCTCAACTGGAGATAGTCAACGCATTACTAAAAGAATCAATCGATCAGTGTTTCCTCCATCTGTTCATTTACATAGTGACTCTTAGAAGAGTAATCCGATTATGATGAACTATTGAACACTACTGCTATTTTTCTATGATACCTCGAGTCTTCTGTCTCATACAGTTTTTGCAGTACACATATCTTTCAGGAAAAAAACTGAAGTTTCCACATATGTTTGTAGAAAATACTGACCAAGCTCAAGATGCTTTTCAACAATGTCGTTCATTTCTGGAACATGAATTGAAACAGGCGGATGAAGTTCATGGACAAGCGATCGTAGAAGAAATAGAGAAATATTTGAATACACTCGATCAAGTTGAAGATGAATTTAAATTGGTCAAAAATCTTGGTGAAGGGTTAACATTCACATTTAATAAAGGACCATTGATCCAAGCAATGGAACGTGGAGATTGGATTCTATTCGACAATATCAATTGCGCACGTGGAGATGTTATTGAACGTCTGAATTCCTTAGCTGAAGCCGATCCCACATTGACTCTATACGAGTCATCAGAAGCAGAACAATACAGCCGTGGCAACGGTATACATAAAGATTTTCGCTTATTTGCCATCGCCAATAATAATCGTAAGATGGCAAATAAATTATCCAGTGCTTGGCGAAATCGATGTTTAATTATTCGAATGCAGCCATTGGATAATCAATTAACATTTGAGAATATTCATCAACATGACCTAGCTGATGTAGTCAAAGGAGAGTTACAAGGTATCAATGGTGGACAAGAGCTTGCACATACACTATTACGAACACACGCATCAGCCAGACAACTTTCCGATAAAAAAGAATTGCAATTTATCACATCGTATCAATTATCTTATCAAAATCTCAAACGGTCAGCGCGTATTTTGCGCACCTATGTTTCGAATAAACACGATCCAGTATTTGCTATAAAACCGGCTGTCTTTCGAAGTTATCTTGATCCGATATTGAATGAAGGTGGAAAAGCTGCGTTGCTTGGTGCATTGGCCGTGCATTTATTACATTCGGAATTGAACAAAGCTTCGTTTACTACTCTACCAATCATAACCATCGAAGATCAACAACAACAAATGGCTTGGTATGCTCCAGCACAGAACCTTCACGAATTGATCGCATCTATTGAAGAATGTGTGATTGATCTTCACTTGAAGATCGTCACGACTCACATACATGAAGACATATGTAAAAAACAAGAATTTACCGATTATGGCATCAGTCTACTTGATTATCTGCAACCGTTGGTCAAAACTAAACAAGAAAATCAATCTGATGAAGGTCTGCACTTCGAAGCATCGTCAATTCGATCGAAATTATTAACCAACGATGTACAACAGTCATTAGAATTCAGCTCGCATCTGAAAAAATGGTTCTTCAAAACACATCAGTATCTTCACTCCAACAAGATTATTCTCTCATTCGATAGAACTGAAGATTCATTGAATTTACTAAATGTAACCAGTACCGAATGTTACAAACGAATCATTGAATTCGCACAAGGAACTTCATTTCTCGATGCACAACATCGTTTGACTGAATTACAGCAAGTCAATAACACAGTTAATCAATTATCCTCTCTTTCACGAAAACTCCAATCAATCTGCAAAATTTCTCATTCATTAAATCCACTGAAATGGTGCGCCCAAATTCAAGAGTCGATCAGTATCCTTTTGATCACTGAAACATATATGAAATGGGTTGCTTTTCCATGTCAACCAATGGCAAAGAACGATTTGCATATCGTTTCCCAAACTCAAGAATCCATTCGACAACGAAATCAAACGAATGTTGATGATGACCAACAGGAATCGAAGTCGGCTTTGAAACTAATCAATGTCCATTTACAGAAAGTTCAGTCCATTCCGATCATCTCATCTGCTGATCAACGTTTGGACATCATGTCAAAATTGTACCATTATCTATCCGTGACAGAAGATGACAAATACATTTTATTAGCGGCGTCGAAGTTAGAATTGAATGTTGCGTGTAAACTAACGATGAATTTCACGATCAAATCACAGTTTATCGAAAAGATGGATGAACAGCAAACATTATTAAATTCGTCGAATTTACTCGCGAGTTTGAACTGCCTGTATTTCATGCATACAATTCTGCGTGAGATCTACGCAGAGATCAAGTCATGCCATGGACAAATCGATAAAATTCGTGACAAATACGATTCCGAAAAAAATAAATTAAGTGGGAATGTCAGCGAGATTGATTTAGAAATCGAAAAGATTTGTGCGAAGCGAGATCAGTTATTCGAACCGCGATCTCCAAGTGATGAAACGATTAGCATCGAAGATGAACTAGAGAAACTTCGAAGTGAAGAACAAAAACTAGTCGATGAAAAAGAGCGTCATTCGCGTGCGCTGAAAGCAATTGAAGGCATCTATGAAGATGTGTACAATTTATTCTTATCACTACGAGAAAGTTTGAAGAAGTTTCAAGCAAACGGATGGTTCCAAACCATTCGGGAATACGGTCGACGTCGGCAAGAGAATCAAATAAGTGAATTGCTGGAAATCATGTCACGAATCTATAGAGCAGAATACGAATTGAACTTAACTTATTCATCGTCAAACAAAATTGACGAAGAACAAAAACAATTGAAACCGGAAGTTCTACGACAAACTGTTTTCAATCAAATGAACTTCGATGATATCAACACTCCGCATGGGCGTGCAAGTTTGACGCTGATGCAACTGATCTATCCAAATTTATTCCAGCAAAATATGTTAATCTATGTGTTGAAGGAAGATACACTGAAAACAATCATCGAAAAATGTTTAGAAACAGAAACGACAATCGATATTCTCATCAATGTTCAGCTAACAAATATTTTACTTGTCGATAAACGGAAGTATAACCGATATACGACAGATGAAACTGGAATGGCACGCTTAAACGAACAACTTCTTCTCCAACATTTTGCCATCAATTATGGAAGCGAGAAAACGTCACTTGACGATGTTTTCATTCAATTTGCTGATCGATTTGTCACTGAAGTCAAACAGCGGTCTTCAAGTACAGAAATCGATACACAACGACAAATTATTCCACTGGAAATCGATCCGACAATGTTTCAATTTGCTTTGTCATGTTTCATTCAGAAGATGATTGAACATCGACCCATGGAAGATTTTCTCATTGAACCCAGTCAGATCGAACGATTGGATCAAGATATTCAACGATGGATGCGAGAACAACAATCAGCAGGTACAATTCGTACTGAACAAGTCTACGACAATCAGGTGGAAAACGATATTCAGAAGGATATCTCATTTTTCTTGAATATCATCGAACAGACAGAATATGTTGCTAAACAAACATTGACATCTACCGATATTAACTTTAGAGAACTTATTCAAACGGTAAACAAAGCGCGAACCACTCTGACACTGCCGATTCTGGAGAAGCTCGAGAAGAAATTAGACGATACGTTAGTTCTATGTGTGCCGAAAGAACCCATTGCGAAAGCACGAACATTGACTATTGTCGAAGCAAAACAATTTCGTTATCCCGTTTTAAATCTTCTCAAATCACATCTCGCCGATTCAGAAACGAAATTTCATGCTTGCATTTCGACATTCATCGATCGTATCCACATGATTCAGGCGAAATTTCTACAAACTCTTTTGATGCACCAATCGAACATGAACGAAATCGATCTATATAAAAAATCGCATCAAATATCGAAGCTATTGATTTCAATTGTCGAATTCGTTATGAACAACATCGATGCGTATGGACTTACGACCTCAGTGGAACGTTTCTACCAAAGTATTCAATCATTCGAGCGCGAGATTATCGAACAAGTTGCGCATATACAGTCCAAACCAGAAGAAGAATTGACTGTAGAAGATAAGCATAGTTTCCAATTGTTTACGAAAACTGAACTCGAAGATGCGATTCAACATGTTGCTGTTAATTCAACTGAAAACAACAACCCGACAACAATCATGGAACAGACCGAACCGAAAATAACTAAGAAGAACGCCGAAGAAACGATGCTCGAACGTCAAAATGAAGAATTAACAAAAGTTGAAAAAGAGCTCGAGCAACTACGACAATTGGCGAAACAAAACGGCCTCTCCAGAATTCAGTATGCAATCGTTATGCTACTCATGGAATTGAATGAAATCAAACGTAATAAAAACGTGTTGAACGAAGTTAGTTTATTGAAATGGAGAAACTATCCAAAACAATTGCAACGTCGAATTGCGAGTGAATCAATCGAACATAAGAAAACCGATATTTTCAATATTAAACGAGTGAAATACGAGAAGACATTCGAAATCACTCCCGAAATGCTTGACAAATCGACTTATCATTCCAGTGGAAGCGAACATCGACTTTCCGAAGAAGATCGAAGAAATCTTTTGACTTCAGCGAACTCGTTAACCGATGGAACATGTTCAGAAAAGGATATCATATTGGAATTTCTCACTGAATACTTCCACCAACAAACATTCGAATCCATGTGGAAAAATGTCGAAAAGATAATCTATGACTTCTGCTCTCCAACGGAACAAAATCGCTCGAGCCAATGGATTATCGACAACTTAAAACATCTCATGGCAATCTTTATCTTTCTCGACTCAGCTTCACTAGCTGAAATTTGCAAAGATTTGTTGCAATTCTGCCAAGAGCACGCACACGATCAAACTGAACAATTTCATTTACCAACATCGAAATTAGAACTTCTTCGTACGAAAACTTTGGAAAACGCCATTCAGCAACGCGCGAGTCAATTGCAAAAGCTTAATCCATGTGACAAATCGAAACTTCTGCTGATCTCATTCGAGGATCAAGATAGTCAAACATATGAATTAGTACATATCTATCCACGTTTGATTCGATTATATGAGCAACATAAAACGCTAACACGAATTTTACATGATCAGTCAAATTATAATCAAGAAATAGGTTTGCAGCTGTTATACCTTCGACTATCCGATTGTATTGCTCTTCTTTTCCCTGAGTTGCCAATACTCTTCATGAGTTCACTACAATTAGATGACTTTGACTTCGAAAAAGTTCATCATCTAGAGACTTATCTCTCCAGTCAAGAATTTCGAATATCGATTAAAGATTTGTACGAGAAACGGTTTGTTTTACAAGCCACGACAGGTGATTCGATATCTCTTCTTTCCAGCAACAACGAAACAGCCAGTCAGACACTAATCGACGCGTTGAAAAACGTTGTTCAAACAATGACAAACGTGGCAACTATCGAAGATCTACATAAACATTGGCTCTCTCAGTTATTTGAAAGCAATGAATATCATGCATTTTTCGCATTGGAAATGCAGTTATTCGTAAGTAATTTCTTCGATGAAATGAAAGATAATCTATCGGAACTCAAAAATAAGTTCAACGATACAGGAACTGTCAAAGCAACGAACTACTTGAAATTTTCCGACTCGATTGTCACTGAATGTGGGCAAGAACTTCATCGATGCCGGTCGCGAAAAGTAACCGTTGAAAAAGAATTGAATGAATTACCGTCGTCTAGTACTAGACGAGATGATTTAGAAAGATCTGTTGAGAAGGCCACTCGAGAATATAACAACATCGAAAAAGAGTATCAAATGAAATTGAATAAAGTTGCGAACGAACAGATACGTCGACTGTTACAAGTCAATCGTCAGTTACAAGTCAAAGGAAGTGCTTTGTCATTGGAAATCATCGACAAGATCCAAAACAAACAGCGTGAAGGAGTTGAAAACCAAGACAAGCAACAGGTTTACACATCCAGCGAATTCTATGCGTATTTATTCCAGGCGAAAGCCACTCTACTCAAACTTGACAAGGCACAATTCGAGAAAGTCAGAACTCGAGTTCAGCAAATTCTCAAACAACTTCAGCAAGAACTCACACAATGCTACGATGATTATGAAAAAGCTCTGCAATGGCTTCAATCCGATGATAAGCTACACAAAATCTTCCACAATTATCTGCTCGCTTACAAATTAATCCACATTCAACTGTTTAATTCCGTACGAAATTGGCTACACGATATGAGCAATCAACGAAATTTGTATTTGCAACAAATGGAAGATGTGATCAATCGAACAAACACGGCGATTATCGAATCAACTGAGATGATCGAGCAGATTATCAAAGCACCACATATCACGGCGATTGCAACAAGTCTGGAGACAGTTCATGGAAGAGTCGAACATCTCAGTCAAATCGCCTTTCAGATTAATGAAGATGCAAATACCACACGTGTTGTCTATTCTTCGAAAGTACTTTCGACTTTACTACAATATTGCGCAGGTTTATACGCTCGTATCGCAATTTTCCTCTTTCAGCTGTTCAAAACTCAACAAACAAATCCATTAATTTTCGGTCAATTGAAAACCATGTCAATTCAAATCAATGATCAGTCATATGAATGGGAGGATCACATGAGACGATTGATCAGTCTCAGCGGATATCGTGAGCATTCGGATTTACCTGGCACAACCTTACCGGTCGATGAATATTCCTTAAAAGAATTTCATAAATCCCTCTCCTATGATTTTCGAATGTTGCAACATAGTTTCACCCTTCGATATAGCCATACATTCGGTGAAATCTGTTACAATCCGGCAGCACTAATCGATCATGTCGAACGAAAAATGAAAGATCTTTTACAAATTGGCGATTGGAATGAAGGTGGAAAGGCGACGGACGCACCAGCAAAAACATATCCTTTAGTGCAGGTCAGTTATAACCTTAATGTACTTGCTAATAATACTCAATGTTTGATATCAAAACTCCTGGAAAATCCGTCGGATATCTTGGAAAGCGACACGATCAAAAATTTACAACTATTTTTAGAGAATCTCAAACGTGCCATATGTTTATCGTGTTCATCGTCGTTAGACACAATGCATACGGAGTTCTTAGATTATATTCATAAAGATCATCTGGATCTTTTGTTAGAACAAGGCCTTCAATTCATGAAGTGCTTATTTAACGAACGAAAGAAATTGATCGAACCGTTGAGTCACATTCGATCAGTTTTAGAAAATTTCATCGACCAATTTATTCTATTTTTCATTCAGTTAATTCAACAACAGCAACAAAAACAAGTCGATATCTTGGAAAAAGATTACAACAAAACCATCAATACACGTGTGAGTTTCGAAGATATTCACTTATTAGAAACATTGTCCAAAGCGAATTTGATTCGTCATTTTCGACTTGTGGAAGGCATTGATGTAGAAATCGATTGGTACAGTCAACTGGTACAATTTCTTCTTCAAGGTTGGCTGCAAGCTTCGAAAATTCTTCGCGCATTTGCAGCTCCGTCCAGTGGAGAACATGATTCTACATCGAAGCGTTTACGCTATTCATTTGTCTTCAAATTATTAAACGACGAAGGGCAACAAATCTTCATATTTATCAGACAAACTATCGGACAACTAAAAGAAAAATATCCGAGAAGAGAAATGCTTAACGATGAACCTGTTGTTGTTTATTTGATTCGACTGACGAAATTACTTCGATATGAATTATTGCGAATGTCGACGGTTAATTTGAAAGACTTGAAAATTGAATTGAATAAAACAGTTCGAAACACTCTACGCCCGAATGCATCGCAAATTCAATCGATCAGTGATGATTGGAGAAAAGAAATTGATCTATTATTATTACAAAGAAAAAAAATCAAAGAATCATGGCTAGACAAAATTAGAACTGCATATAAATTTCGTGTTCAGACGATTGAAGAAGAAAATGCACGAAAAAAGAAGGAACATGATTTAGCATGTCGACAAGTGGAAGAAAGAATTCAACGTACAAAACAACTTTCATCTGACATATTCAATGATATTAAACTCATTGGACAACTTTTACACGAATCGAAATTTGCATCGAGTAAATTCGAGATTGACAATGTCGACACTCTACTTGGTGAGACAGTACAACTTGTAAGACGGCTGCTGAAAATTCAAGAAACCATTCCAAAAGAATGCCGACTGGACGATGACAAAGAAGGCAAAGAGTTAATGAATATGATTAGCATAGAGTCAATTCGAATTGAAGTGAAAGAAGTATGTTATGGGAATGTTAAACCTGACCACTTCCGAAGAGTATGGTACAAGGCGGACGATTGGGATAATCAAATTCGACTTGTTCTAGAGGCAGAAGATAAAAAAGAAATTGAAGGTATAGTAAAGCCATTAAATCATACACATTGGTCGAAAACGGTAAACAATCTATTTTCCCATTCAATACCGATATCATTCGATGGTATTTCAACTGAAGCACGTCAATTTTGGTATTTAGAACTCCGAGCCGGTGAAGAAAGTAAGAACAAATGGACGAAAATGACCCGTAAGCGTTTGCATGTTCTCGAATCTCCATTCTACGATCAAAAAACAGAATCTTACAATTTCGGATACCTTGATGGAGGGATCATTTCAGTACAATTTACGCCGAATATCAATATCGGCATTTTTCAGGTATCTGCTGAAGATGCTTTCAAAATGACCATTGGGCCTGATACTACAACTGAAGGAACAGTAATAGTTATAAGCGAAGACCGTTCCCTTACTTTAACTTTAAGATTAGAATATCAAAATCTTAGTTGCTTCGAAAGAAGAAGAAAACTGGAAAAATGGCTAATCGAGCTTCGATCGAAATGCGAAGATATCGAACGTAAAAAGCCGTATGACTTTGAGATGCCACGAGAACCCGTTGCCAAAGAGATACCTCCTCCGGAAACAACGGAGAATCTACCAGAGATTGGAATGAGAGCCGATATTCGAAACCTAGATGTTTTAACACCGCCCACGCATCATTGTCTCATGACTCAACTTCCACCGAAGCACGAACAATTAGATAAAATAATAACTCAAACGATAGACAATCTAAATAAGAGTATCAGCGATGATGAACTGAATAAGATTCAAGATGGTATTGTCCGACGATTTGATTCCGCTGATAATTTGAAACAAGGAATTAAAGTGTTCAAAGAAACGTTCCGTTTCGACAAATTATTATCCACTCTTTTACATCTCCATAAAATATCAATAGAAACACAAAAATCTCTTCGATCCGGCAAAGAATACGAAGAAAGATTAAAGAGCATTTGCGATGATCTGATACGACACAGTTTTCTCATCCGTTTATCTGAAAATGAAGGTACAATATCTCGAGAATCAATCGAAAAGCTCTACACGTCTGAAATGAAAACATTACTTCAAGAAGCAAGCTCGTTAGCAAAAAAAGAACTGACCTTCGGTATACTTGTCTATTGTTACTTGATTTCAACAGAATTGAATCTTATTCAACTGATCGTTTATTCACTTGAGACAAAAGAACACGCCGAACAAGCTCTACAAGAAATCGAAATAATCAAACAATACTGTCTCGACAAAACCCAACAGATATTCATTGACGATAAGCAGATTGATTCATGTCGACGAATTCTTCAAGATACGATCAATCAAATTCACGAACGAAAGAAACAGATTCGCACGACAGTCCATCAACCTACACGTCTAGCTAATTTGAATGAAATCAGCAAAGCCATCAATGTCAAATCGCTTTTGAAATCAACTGGATCACCATTCATGAATAAGATCACAATTGATAAACAAGACGGTGAATACTTTCCTTCACAAACATCGATAATAATTCAATTTGAACAAATTATTCAAAACTGGTCTTATGCACAATTGAAAACTAAAGCACTTGAACTTGTCAATAATACCGACGATGAGCTCGATTTTGAACTACTGTCTGTTACACAAGAACGTTCGTTGTCCGTCTTCACTGTCCAATCCTCATCGTCAACGATCGAGCCACATGATTCGAAAACTCTCAAGATACTACCCAAAAGCGAAGTAGGTGAAGGAAAATATCGAGAAGAATGGAAATTGCAACTGGCGAACAAACGATTGTCGATTGGGGTCAAGCTTTGTTGCGAAATCAAACAATTCTTTGTCGGGATTGATCTACCGTTAATGACAACGAGAAGTGCGGATGAGGAAATCAAAACTTATGAAATCAATTTCGGTACTGTTCTCGCCTGTCCTCGTGCACAGCGATCTCGTTCATTTACCATCGAAAATCCCATGTCTCTCGATCTCCGAGTTAAATTACGTCGAGAAGAAGGCGCAACTGGCAAATTCGAGATCGACAAAGCAGACTTCCATCTATTTGCTTATGAATCCAAAGAGATGACTATCGACTGGCATATTCTCGACGTGATACAAGATTCGAAATGTGTCTATGAAATCTACTTCAGTAAAGATCTCAAATATCGAATCATCTGTTTAGGAAAAATACGAAAGATCTGCTACGACATTCTGTATAAATCGATACATTTATCAGAGAAACAATATCGCAGTGAACTACCGGCATGTCTGCCTGATACAATTCATTACGAAGAATTGACAATACACAACACAGGAGAAGTCAAAATGACGATAGAATCAAAGGCGGAAAACAAATCCACAGACGCAGTGACGATCAGTTTATCACATAATCAAGTTGTTTTAGAGCCAAATGCATTGGCAGTGTTAAAAATCGAACTGCAAATGAATAAACCACACGGAAGTCTTGAAAATATTGTTAATTTGAACTTTCCTGACTCAACTCAACGATCAGCATTTAAATTCATTCTGAAAACCTCAGCTGGCTGGCCTGAATTAGATCAAGACCTTCTCAAGCCCTTGAAAATGTTGAAGGTCGAAGAAAATGCAAATGAAGAGACTGGTCAAATTGTTTTGTTCAACAAAGGTTTAGTTGAAATGCTAATTGATAAGTTTCATTCCACTTCATCACATGTATCCATCGAATATTCAAATCCCTATCCACATTCGATATTACCTCGTCAGAGGATTGAATATGACTTCGTTTACAAAGTTCTGAAGAAACTCCCTTCGTTCGATTGTGAGTTCGTCCTGCACACCAATTGTAAAGAATCCACACAGCGTATTCCGTTTCATTGTAAACGTTTAGCACCAATTATCGCTATCGATCAAAATGTTTTACATTGTGGCACAACACACCCTCTAGCGAAACATTCCTTCGAAATAAAAATGAAAAATGATGGACATGCACGTGGAATACTAGAATGCGAACCATACGAGAATGATAATGTTATTTCCTTCAGAGTCAGTAATGATACTAAAAGTGTTCCGATAGCTGCATTGGATTCACGAAAGATCAAGTGTATTGTCGAGATTAAAAAGGCTGCGCCATTAGGAGATTTCAAGATTGATATTCCGTTAGTAGTTTCATCGAGCACAGGCTTACCAAAGAAATACAAGTTGGTAGTAACTGGACGAACGAAACCAAAAGACGAATCGAAAGGATCGAGTTCACTTATTGATCTCCCATCATCATCGCAGCAGATAGCACAGTCAACGACTGGAAAACGATTGATGAGTTTACTTGAAGACGAAACCTATGCATATCGGCGACGTGCAGCAACTGCCATTGCTCCAATCATTACTCAACTCGATGAATTGATACATCATGAACCTAAACCTTCGGATATTCCCGATAATTTGACATGTGATGAAATTCTCTCTGAACTCGAATCCGATGAACGTGAAATATCTTCGTACACAGAAAAAGTTCAAGAGAGTGTCAAGAAAACCTTCGATCTGTTTTCTGGAAAGCACTGGAGTAGTCTATACAAAAGCATCGACGGTATTTTGAACGAACAATTGGCGCCGGCGATCATCGGNATCTGATGAAGGTCTGCACTTCGAAGCATCGTCAATTCGATCGAAATTATTAACCAACGATGTACAACAGTCATTAGAATTCAGCTCGCATCTGAAAAAATGGTTCTTCAAAACACATCAGCATCTTCACTCCAACAAAATTATTCTCTCATTCGATAGAACTGAAGATTCACTGAATTTACTAAGTGTAACCAGTGCCGAATGTTACAAACGAATCATCGAATTCGCGCAAGGAACTTCATTTCTCGATGCACAACATCGTTTGACTGAATTACAGCAAGTCAATAACACAGTCAACCAATTATCCTCTCTATCACGAAAACTGCAATCTATCTGCAAAATTTCTCATTCATTAAATCCACTGAAATGGTGCGCCCAAATTCAAGAGTCGATCAGTGTCCTTTTAATCACTGAAACATATATGAAATGGGTTGCTTTTCCGTGCCAACCAATGGCAAAGAACGATTTGCATATCGTTTCCCAAACTCAAGAATCCATTCGACAACGAAATCAAACGAATGTTGATGATGACCAACAGGAATCGAAATCGGCTTTGAAACTAATCAATGTTCATTTACAGAAAGTTCAATCCATTCCGATCATCTCATCTGCTGATCAACGTTTGGACATCATGTCGAAATTGTATCACTATCTGTCCGTGACGGAAGATGACAAGTACATTTTATTAGCGGCATCGAAGTTAGAATTGAATGTTGCGTGTAAACTAACGATGAATTTCACGATCAAATCACAGTTTATCGAAAAGATGGATGAGCAGCAAACGTTATTAAATTCGTCGAATTTACTCGCGAGTTTGAACTGTTTGTATTTCATGCATACAATTCTGCGTGAGATCTACGCAGAGATCAAGTCATGTCATGGACAAATCGATAAAATTCGTGACAAATACGATTCCGAAAGCAATAAATTAAGTGGGAATGTCAGCGAGATTGATTTAGAAATCGAAAAGATTCGTGTGAAACGAGAGAAGTTATTCGAACCGCGATCTCCCAGTGATGAAACGATTAACATCGACGAAGAACTAGAGAAACTTCGAAGTGAAGAACAAAAACTAGTCGACAAAAAAGAGCGTCATTCGCGTGCGCTGAAAGCAATCGAAGGCATCTATGAAGATGTGTACAATTTATTCTTATCACTACGAGAAAGTTTGAAGAAGTTTCAAGCGAACGGGTGGCTCCAAACCATTCGGGAATACGGTCGACGTCGACAGGAGAATCAGATAAGTGAATTGCTGGAGATCATCTCGCGAATCTATAGAGCAGAATACCAATTGAACCAAACCTATTCGTCGTCGAATAAAATCGATGACGAGCAAAAACAGCTGAAATCGGAGGTTCTACGACAATCTGTTTTCAATCAAATGAACTTTCATGATATCAATACTCCGCATGGGCGCGCAAGTTTGACGCTGATGCAACTGATCTATCCAAATTTATTCCAGCAAAATATGTTAATCTATGTGTTGAAGGAAGATACACTGAAAGCAATCATCGAAAGATGTTTAGAAACGGAAACGACAATCGATATTCTCATCAATGTTCAGCTAACTAATATTTTACTTGTCGATAAACGGAAGTACAACCGATATACGACAGATGAAACTGGAATGGCACGCTTAAACGAACAACTTCTTCTCCAGCATTTTGCCATCAATTATGGAAGCGAGAAAACGTCACTTGACGATGCTTTCATTCAATTTGCTGATCGATTTGTCACTGAAGTCAAACAGCGGTCTTCAAGTACAGAAATCGATACACAACGACAAATCATTCAACTGGAAATCGATGATCCGACAATGTTTCAATTTACTTTGTCATGTTTCATTCAGAAGATGATTGAACATCGACCAATGGAAGATTTTCTCATCGAACCCAGTCAGATCGAACGGTTAGATCAAGATATTCAACGATGGATTCGAGAACAACAATTGGCAGGCACAATTCGTACTGAACAAGTCTACGACAATCAGGTGGAAAACGATATTCAGAAAGATATCTCATTTTTCTTGAATATCATCGAACAGACAGAATATATTGCTAAACAAACATTGACATCTACTGATATTAACTTTAGAGAACTTATTCAAACGGTAAACAAAGCGCGAACCACTCTGACGCTGCCGATTCTGGAGAAGCTCGAGAAGAAATTAGACGATACGTTAGTCCTATGTGTGCCGAAAGAACCCATTGCGAAAGCACGAACATTGACTATTGTCGAAGCAAAACAGTTTCGTTATCCCGTTTTAAATCTTCTCAAATCACATCTCGCCGATTCAGAAACGAAATTTCATGCTTGTATTTCGACATTCATCGATCGTATCCACATGATTCAGGCGAAATTTCTACAAACTCTTTTGATGCACCGATCGAACATGAACGAAATCGATCTATATAAAAAATCGCATCAAATATCGAAGCTATTGATCTCAATTGTCGAATTCGTTATGAACAACATCGATGCGTACGGACTTACGACCTCAGTGGAACGTTTCTACGAAAGTATTCAATCATTCGAGCGCGAGATTATCGAACACGTTGCGCATATACAATCCAAACCAAAAGAAGAATTGACTGTAGACGATAAGCAGAGTTTCCAATTGTTTACGAAAACTGAACTCGAAGACGCGATTCAACATGTTGCTGTCAATTCAACTGAAAACAACAACCCGACAACAACCATGGAACAGACCGAACCGAAAATAACTAAGAAGAATGCCGAAGAAACGATGCTCGAACGTCAAAATGAAGAATTAACAAAAGTTGAAAAAGAGCTCGAGCAACTACGACAATTGGCGAAACAAAATGGCCTCTCTAGAATTCAGTATGCAATCGTTATGCTACTCATGGAATTGAATGAAATCAAACGTAATAAAAACGTGTTGAACGAAGTTAGTTTATTGAAATGGAGAAACTATCCAAAACAATTGCAACGTCGAATTGCGAGTGAATCAATCGAACATAAGAAAACCGATATTTTCAATATTAAACGAGTGAAATACGAGAAGACATTCGAAATCACTCCCGAAATGCTTGACAAATCGACTCATCATTCCAGTGGAAGCGAATATCGACTTTCCGAAGAAGATCGAAGAAATCTTTTGACTTTAGCGAACTCGTTAACCGATGGAACATGTTCAGAAAAGGATATCACATTGGAATTTCTCACTGAATACTTCCACCAACGAACATTCGAATCCATGTGGAAAAATGTCGAAAAGATGATCTATGACTTCTGCTCTCCAACAGAACAAAATCGCTCGGCTCAATGGATTATCGACAACTTAAAACATCTCATGGCAATCTTTATCTTTCTCGACTCAGCTTCGCTAGCTGAAATTTGCAAAGATTTGTTGCAATTCTGCCAAGAACACGCACACGATCAAACTGAGCAATTTCATTTGCCAGCATCGAAATTAGAACTTCTTCGTACGAAAACTTTGGAAAATGCCATTCAGCAGCGCGCGAGTCAATTACAAAAGCTCAATCCATGTGACAAATCGAAACTTCTGCTGATCTCATTTGAGGATCAAGATAGTCAAACATATGAATTAGTACATATCTATCCACGTTTGATTCGATTATATGAGCAACATAAAACGCTAACACGAATTTTATATGACCAGTCAAATTATAATCAAGAAATAGGTTTACAACTGTCATACCTTCGACTATCCGATTGTATTGCTCTTCTTTTCCCTGAATTGCCAATACTCTTCATGAGTTCACTACAATTAGATGACTTTGACTTCGAAAAAGTTCATCATCTAGAGACTTATCTCTCCAGTCAAGAATTTCGAATATCGATTAAAGATTTGTACGATAAACGTTTTGTTTTACAAGCCACGACAGGTGATTCAATATCTCTTCTTTCGAGCAACAACGAAACAGCCAGTCAGACACTAATCGACGCGTTGAAAGCCGTTGTTCAAACAATGACAAACGTGGCAACTACCGAAGATCTACATAAACATTGGCTCTCTCAGTTATTTGAAAGCAATGAATATCATGCATTTTTCGCATTGGAAATGCAGTTATTCGTGAGTAATTTCTTCGATGAAATGAAAGATAATCTATCGGAACTCAAAAATAAGTTCAACGATACAGGAACTATTATCAAAGCAACGAACTACTTGAAATTTTCCGACTCGATTGTCACTGAATGTGGACAAGAACTTCAACGATGCCGTTCGCGAAAAGTAACCGCTGAAAAAGAATTGAATGAATTACCATCGCACAGTGCTAGACGAGATGATTTACAAAGATCTGTTGAGAAGGCCAATCGAGAATATAACAACATCGAAAAAGAGTATCAAATGAAATTGAATAAAGTTGCGAACGAACAGATACGTCGATTGTTACAAGTCAATCGTCAGTTACAAGTCAAAGGAAGTGCTTTGTCATTGGAAATCATCGACAAGATCCAAGACAAACAGCGTGAAGGAGCTGAAAGCCAAGACAAGCAACAGGTTTACACATCCAGCGAATTCTATGCGTATTTATTCCAAGCGAAAGCCACTCTACTCAAACTTGACAAGGCACAATTCGAGAAAGTCAGAACTCGCGTTCAGCAAATTCTCAAACAACTTCAACAAGAACTCACACAATGCTACGACGATTATGAAAAGGCTCTGCAATGGCTTCAGTCCGATGATAAACTACACAAAATCTTTCACAATTATCTGCTCGCTTACAAATTAATCCACATTCAACTATTTAATTCCGTACGAAATTGGCTACACGATATGAACAATCAACGAAATTTGTATTTGCAACAAATGGAAGATGTGATCAATCGAACAAACACAGCGATTATCGAATCAACTGAGATAATCGAGCAGATTATCAAAGCACCACACATCACGGCGATTGCAACAAGTTTGGAGACAGTTCACGGAAGAGTCAAACGTCTCAGTCAAATCGCCTTTCAGATTAATGAAGATGCAAATACCACCCGTGTTGTCTATTCTTCGAAAGTACTTTCGACTTTACTACAATATTGCGCAGGTTTATACGCTCGTATCGCAATTTTCCTCGTTCAGCTGTTCAAAACTCAACAAACAAATCCATTAATTTTCGGTCAATTGAAAACCATGCCGATGCAAATCAATGATCAGTCATATGAATGGGAGGATCACATGAGACGATTGATCAGTCTCAGCGGATATCGTGAGCATTCGGATTTACCTGGCACAACCTTACCGGTCGATGAATATTCGTTAAAAGAATTTCATAAATCTCTCTCCTATGATTTTCGAATGTTGCAACATAGTTTCATCCTTCGATATAGCCATACATTCGGCGAAATCTGTTACAATCCAGCAGCACTGATCGATCATATCGAACGAAAAATGAAAGATCTTTTACAAATTGGCGATTGGAATGAAGGTGGAAAGGCGACGGACGCACCAGCAAAAACATATCCTTTAGTGCAGGTCAGTTATAACCTTAATGTACTTGCTAATAATACTCAATGTTTGATATCAAAACTCCTGGAAAATCCGTCGGATATGATGGAAAGTGACACGATCAAAAATTTACGACCATTTTTGGAGAATCTCAAACGTGCCATATGTTTATCGTGTTCATCGTCGTTAGACACAATGCATACGGAGTTCTTAGATTATATTCATAAAGATCATCTGGATCTTTTGTTAGAACAAGGCCTTCTATTCATGAAGTGTTTATTCGACGAACGAAAGAAATTGATCGAACCGCTGAGTCACATTCGATCAGTTTTAGAAAATTTCGTCGACCAATTTATTGTGTTTTTCATTCAGTTAATTCAACAACAGCAACAAAAACAAGTCGATATCTTGGAAAAAGATTACAACAAAACCATTAATATGCGTGTGAGTTTCGAAGATATTCACTTATTAGAAACATTGTCCAAAGCGAATTTGATTCGTCATTTTCGACATATGGAAGGCATTGACGTAGAAATCGATTGGTACAGTCAACTGGTACAATTTCTTCTTCAAGGTTGGCTACAAGCTTCGAAAATTCTTCGCGCATTTGCAGCTCCGTCCAGTGGAGAACATGATTCTACATCGAAGCGTTTACGCTATTCATTTGTCTTCAAATTATTAAATGACGAAGGGCAACAAATTTTCATATTTATCAGACAAACTATCGGACAACTAAAAGAAAAATATCCGAGAAGAGAAATGCTTAACGATGAACCTGTTGTTGTTTATTTGATTCGACTGACGAAATTACTTCGATATGAATTATTGCGAATGTCGACGGTTAATTTGAAAGACTTGAAAATTGAGTTGAACAAAACAGTTCGAAACACTCTACGCCCGAGTGCATCGCAAATCCAATCGATCAGTGATGATTGGAGAAAAGAAATTAATCTTCTATTATTGCAACGGAAAAAAACCAACGAATCTCTGTTAGAAAAAATAAAAGATCGATACAGAATTCATGTTCAAACGATTGAAGAAGAAAATGCAAGGAGAAAACAGGAACATGGTTTGGCATGTCGACAAGTGAAAGAAAGAATTCAACGTACAAAGCAACTTTCATGTGAGATTTTCAACGATATCAAACTCATCGGACAACTTTTACACGAATCGAAATTTGCATCGAGTAAATTCGAGATTGACAATGTCGACACTCTACTTGGTGAGACAGTACAACTTGTAAGACGGTTGCTGAAAATTCAAGAAACCATTCCAAAAGAATGCCGACTGGACGATGACAAAGAAGGCAAAGAGTTAATGAATATGATTAGCATAGAGTCAATTCGAATTGAAGTGAAAGAAGTATGTTATGGGGATATTAAGCCTGAACATCATAGAGGAATATTAGTTTATAATTGGGACAGTCAAATTCGACTTGTTTCAGAGGGAGAGAATAAAAAGGAAATTGAAGGTAAAGTGAAATCATTGAATCACACACATTTGTCGAAAACGGTATACAATCTATTCTCCGAAATAATACCTACTTTATTCGATGGTAGTTCAACGGAAGCACACCAATCTTGGTATTTAGAACTCCAAGCTGGTGAAGAAAGTAAAAATAAATGGACGAAGATGACTCGTAAGCGTTTGAATGTTCTCGATTCACCCTTCTATGATAAAAAAACCGAATCTTACAAATTCGGGTACCGTGACACTGGAACCATTTCAGTACAATTTACGCCGAATATCAATATTGGTATGTTTCAGGCATCCGCCGAAGATATGTGCAAAATGATAATTGAACCTGATACAACAATCGAAGGAACAACAGTGATTATAAGTGGAGATCGTTCCCTTGCTTTAAGGCTAGAATACCAAGACCTTACTCGATTTGATAGAAGAAGAAAACTGGAAAAATGGTTAACGGAGCTTCGACTTAAATGTGCGGATATCGAAAGTAATAAGTCGTATGACTTTGAGATGCCACGAGAGCCTGTTGCCAAAGAGATACCTCCTCCCGAAGCGACAAATGACCTACCAGAGATTGGAATGAGAGCCGATACCCAAAAACTGAACGTATCAACACCACCCACGCATCATTATCTCATGACTCAACTCCCGCCGAAACACGAACAATTAGATAAAATAATCACTCACACAATAGACACCTTGAATAAGAGTATCAGCGATGATGAACTGAATAAGATTCAAGATGGTATTGTCCGACGATTTGATTCCGCTGATGATTTGAAACAAGGAATTAAAATGTTCAAAGAAACGTTCCGTTTCGACAAATTATTATCCACTCTTTTGCATCTCCATAAAATATCAATAGAAACACAAAAATCTCTTCGATCCGGCAAAGAATACGAAGAAAGATTGAAGAGCATTTGCGATGACCTGATACGACACAATTTTCTCATCCGTTTATCTGAAAATGAAGGTACAATATCACGAGAATCAATAGAAAAGCTCCACACGTCTGAAATGAAAACATTACTTCAAGAAGCAAGCTCGTTAGCAAAAAAAGAACTGACCTTCGGTATACTTGTCTATCGTTACTTGATTTCAACAGAATTGAATCTTATTCAACTGATCGTTTATTCACTTGAAACAAAAGAAAATGCCGAACAAGCTCTACAAGAAATCGAAATAATCAAACAATACTGTCTCGACAAAACCCAACAGATATTCATTGGCGATAAGCAGATTGATTCATGTCGACGAATTCTTCAAGATACGATCAATCAAATTCACGAACGAAAGAAACAGATTCGCACGACAGTCCATCAACCTACACGTCTAGCCAATTTGAATGAAATAAGCAAAGCCATCAATGTCAAATCGCTTTTGAAATCAACTGGATCACCATCCATGAATAAGATCACAATTGATAAACAAGACGGTGAATACTTTCCTTCACAAACATCGATAATCATCCAATTCGAACAAATTATTCAAAACTGGTCTTATGCACAATTGAAAACTAAAGCGCTCGAACTTGTCAATAATACCGACGATGAGCTCGATTTCGAAATCCTACCTGTTACACAAGAACGTTCGTTGTCCATCTTCACTGTTCAACATCCGTCGTCAACGATCGAACCTCATGATTCGAACATTCTGAAGATAATCCCGAAAAGCGAAGTAGGTGAAGGGAAATATCGAGAAGAATGGAAAGCACAACTGGCGAACAAACGATTGTCGATTGTGGTCAAGCTTTGTTGCGAGATCAAACAGTTCTTTATCGGAATCGATTTACCATTGATGAAAACAAAAGGCGCAGATGACCAAATCAATACGTATGAAATCAATTTTGGTACTGTTCTCGCGTGTTCTCGTTCACGGCGATCTCGTTCGTTCACCATCGAAAATCCCATGTCTCTCGATCTCCGAGTTAAATTACGCCGAGAAGAAGGCGCAACTGGCAAATTCGAGATCGACAAAGCGGACTTCCATCTATTTGCTTATGAATCCAAAGAGATGACTATCGACTGGCATATTGTCGACATGATACAAGATTCAAAATGTGTCTATGAAATCTACTTCAGTAAAGATCTCAAATATCGAATCATCTGTTTAGGAAAAATACGAAAGATCTGCTACGACATTATGTATAAATCGATACATTTATCAGAGAAACAATATCGCAGTGAACTACCGGCATGTCTGCCTGATACAATTCATTACGAAGAATTGACAGTACACAACACAGGAGAAGTCAAAATGACAATAGAATCGAAGGCGGAAAACAAATCCACAGACGCAGTGACGATCAGTTTATCACATAATCAAGTTGTTTTAGAGCCAAATGCATTGGTGGTGTTAAAAATCGAACTGAAAGCGAGTAAATCACATGAAAGTCTTGAAAATGTTATTAATTTGAACTTTCCTGACGCAAATCAACGATCAGCATTTAAATTCATTCTGAAAACCTCAGCTGGCTGGCCTGAATTAGATCAAGATCTTCTCAAGCCCTTGAAAACGTTGAAGGTCGAAGAAAATGCAAATGAAGAGACCGGTCAAATTGTTTTGTTCAACAAAGGTTTAGTTGAAATGCTAATTGATGAGTTTCGTTCCACTTCACCACATGTATCCATCGAGAATTCAAATACCTATCTACATTCGATATTACCTCGTCAGAGAATTGAATATAAATTCATTTACAAAGTTCAGAAGAAATTTCCTTCATTCGATTGCGAATTTGTTCTTCACACCAATTGTAAAGAACCCATGCAACGTATTCCATTTAAGTGCAAACGTTTAGCACCAATCATCACTATCGATCAGAATGTTTTGCATTGTGGCACAACATATCCTTCTAACAAGCATATCTTCGAAATAGCAATGAAGAACGATGGACACGCACGTGGACAACTAGAATGCGAACCATATGAGAACGATGACGTCATTTCCTTCAGAATCACCAATGATACTAAAAGTGTTCCGATAGCTGCATTGGATTCACGAAAGATCAAATGTATTGTCGAGATTAAAAAGTCTGCGCCATTGGGAGATTTCAAGATTGACCTACCATTAACAATTCGATCAGGAACAGGTTTATCAAAGAAATACAAGTTGGTAGTAACTGGACGAACTAAACCAAAAGACGAATCGAAAGGACCGAGTTCACTTATTGATCTCCCATCATCATCGCAGCAGATAGCACAGTCAACGACTGGAAAACGATTGATGAATTTACTTGAAGATGAAACCTATGCATATCGGCGACGTGCAGCAACTGCTATTGCTCCAATCATTACTCAACTCGATGAATTAATACATCATGAACCTAAACCTTCGGATATTCCCGATAATTTGACATGTGATGAAATTCTCTCTGAACTCGAATCCGATGAACGTGAAATATCTTCGTACACAGAAAAAGTTCAAGAGAGTGTCAAGAAAACCTTCGATCTGTTTTCTGGAAAGCACTGGAGTAGTCTATACAAAAGCATCGACGGTATTTTGAACGAACAATTGGCGCCGGCGATCATCGGTTCACCCTATAAGAGCGAATCAGAGAATCTTCTATTACCTCTTGAATGTGCAAAGAAATTATCTGTTCTCTTCGAAGAACAATCACGAACAAGCGACAAGCAGATCCTAGGACGTCTATTGGAATATGAACATCATTCTTTCGAGAGAAATGCCGATGATTTGACAGCTAGAAAACGTTTACTCGATTACACAACGGAATTGATTTCAAATCAAAATACACAACTGACAGGCAAAGAGAAACAACAGATGAAAATGTTTACAGATAAAGTTGCGAATGTCGTGCAGTGTATCGAGGAAAAAGGCCATCCGGAACAAGCATTCAGTAACTTGATATCCGAAATGAAAACAGAAACTAATGGAAACTCTGTGAGTTTTCTCGATCAAATCTTACAATTAGCAGTGAATGAAACACCATTAGATGAGAAGACGGTTTTACAAAAACTATACGAATCCGATGTACCACTAGTCGACACGGAATTAGTTACACAAGCCATTTCCGCTTCGGAAAATGAACTTTCAGCTAGATCAGCACTCGACTTCCTGCAAACACATTTGGATGATTCAGAGGAGGCAATGAATGCAATTGAATTAATGAAGCTAAGTGAAAAATTATCACATGAAGATTATCAACCATCCGTGAGAGATATCGCAACACTACCCTATGTCATGGCTTCATTGTCATCAGATTTAGAAGCGAATGAAAAAGAAAATATTCGTGGTTTCCAACGTCTAATCTCAAACTTAACTAATGGTATTAAAAAATTAGCCGATTCGAGTTGTGACTGGTCGAAGTTCATCGAAGATCTATGTGCGACATTGAGTCTACATATTGATAAAACAATCGTCAATTCATTGAGAACTGTTTTGACTATAGTCCTATTAGTAGATCGAACATCTATCTGCAGCAAGGAAACGTATATTGCTATCGTTTCAGCAATGTTAAATTTTGGCAATGATCGTTGCCGAAGTTTATCATCCGATTTGGAAAAACTAACTGTACAAAGAGATCCATTTGATCTCTTTGAAACAATCTTATCAGTTACTTACAATTGCCGTCGATTGAAAGCAACACAAGTTACATGGATCAAAGTGATTCGTGATACAATGACAACATTTCGATCGCCATCTCATTCACCAAAATCGCTCGTCAGTCTCGTTAGAACATTGGAAGATTCGTTGCTAGAACAATTAGGAGTATCTGAGCATAAGAAATTGCATGATACTCTCGCAGCGATCATATCCGATATGGAAAAAAGCCACACTCTTGGAGTAATGCAAAGTGTTTCTGATCTATGTGACTTGATGCATCCGGAAAATACCGAACAAAAAGCAAACAGTGTATTCATACAAATCATCTCGAATATCGATACAGTGGCCATGACGCAAATGGAAGTGTTAGAACTAGGTATTCAGTTAACGAGCCGGTTAAATGATGGTGGCAACGGACGCAAGACTCTCGATCATTTGAATACATTACTCGAGTCTTATCAAAATTTAATGCCCGTGATGAACGGTGAATTAACTCGATCCAACGTGTCACAGTTAGTTGAACAAACGATTCAGTGCATTCCTGATGAAACTACCAAAGAACTTTTGAGACCAATTTCAACTGTCTTGCATAGATTGAGTACCAGTGAACGTGTCACTATGGAGACTGTTGTTAATCTTCTAGATATCATTCCAGATCAACATTTATCCGAACATGTCAAATGTATTTTCTCAACGGCACCGGAAATACTCAATGGTGACATCAAGCAGTCGGTGATGGAATTAGCACAACAACTAATTAGTAGCGAACTGGCAGATGTTAGTGAAATAAGTCTGAAAACAATCATGGATCAAGGCGTTTCTGCACCAACGAAAGCATTAAAATCNAGCTAGAAAACGTTTACTCGATTACACAACGGAATTGATTTCAAATCAAAATACACAACTGACAGGCAAAGAGAAACAACAGATGAAAATGTTTACAGATAAAGTTGCGAATGTCGTGCAGCGTATCGAGGAAAAAGGCCGTCCGGAACAAGCACTCAGTAACCTGATATCCGAAATGAAAACAGAAACTAATGGAAACTCTGTGAGTTTTCTTGATCAAATCTTACAATTAGCAGCGAATGAAACACCATTAGATGAGAAGACGGTTTTACAAAAACTATACGAATCCGATGTACCATTAGTCGACACGGAATTAGTTACACAAGCCATTTCCGCTTCGGAAAATGAACTTTCAGCTAGTTCAGCACTGGACTTCCTGCAAACACATTTGGATGATTCAGAGGAGACAATGAATGCAATTGAATTAATGAAGCTAAGTGAAAAATTGTCACATGAAGATTATCAACCATCCGTGAGAGATATCGCAACACTACCCTATGTCATGGCTTTATTGTCATCAGATTTAGAAGCGAATGAAAAAGAAAATATTCGTGGTTTCCAACGTCTGATCTCAAACTTAACTAATGGTATTAAAAAATTAGCCGATTCGAGCTGTGACTGGTCGAAGTTCATCGAAGATCTATGTGCGACATTGAGTCTACACATTGATAAAACAGTTGTCAATTCATTAAGAACTGTTTTGACTATTGTCCTATTAGTAGATCGGACATCTATCTGCATCAATGAAACGTATATTACTATCGTTTCAGCAATGTTAAATTTTGGTAATGATCGTTGCCGAAGTTTATCATCCGATTTGGAAAAACTAACTGTACAAAGAGATCCATTTGATCTGTTTGAAACAATCTTATCAGTTACTTACAATTGCCGTCGGTTGAAAGCAACACAGGTTACATGGATCAAAGTGATTCGTGATACAATGACAACATTTCGATCGCCATCTCATTCACCAAAATCGCTCGGCAGTCTCGTTACAATATTGGAAGATTCATTGCTAGAACAATTAGGAGTATCTGAGCATAAGAAATTGCATGATACTCTCGCAGCGATCATATCCGATATGGAAAAAAGCCACATCCTTGGAGTAATGCAAAGTGTTTCTGATCTATGTGACTTGATGCATCCGGAAAATACCGAACAAAAAGCAAACAGTGTATTCATACAAATCATTTCGAATATCGATACAGTGGCCATGACGCAAATGGAAGTGTTAGAACTAGGTATTCAGTTAACGACCCGGTTAAATGATGGTGGCAACGGACGGAAGACTCTCGATCATTTGAATACATTACTCGAGTCTTATCAAAATTTAATGCCCGTGATGAACGGTGAATTAACTCGATCCAATGTGTCAGAATTAGTTGAACAAACGATTCAGTGTATTCCTGACGAAACTATCAAGGAACTGTTGAGACCAATTTCAACTGTCTTGCACAGATTGAGTACCAGTGAACATATCACTATGGGAACTGTTGTTAATCTTCTAGATATCATTCCAGATCAACATTTATCCGAACATGTCAAATGTATTTTCTCAACGGCACCGGAAATACTCAATGGTGACATCAAGCAGTCGGTGATGGAATTAGCACAACAACTAATTAGTAGCGAACTGGCAGATGTTAGTGAAATAAGTCTGAAAACAATCATGGATCAAGGCGTTTCTGCACCAACGAAAGCATTAAAATCAATCTCTGCTCGGCTTCCTGACGGTCTTCGACTTGGATTCAATTTCGGCATCGAACAATTGTCTTCGACAAAACTCTCGCAAGAACAAATTGTTAAGGAAGTGTCTAAGCTATACAATCAAGACACAGCAAATGCTTTACAAACTTCATTTAATGTGTTGACTGCTTTGAAAACCGACAAATTGCAAGCATTGAGAAGTCTTGTAGAATTGGTACCAGACGAACGTGCAAAAGCAATCTTCGATGCTCTCGAGCATATCAGCAAACGTGAGTCATGTGATATGCAAGATGTGATTAAGACAACATTAGAACTGGCATCGATAATGGCACCGAAGAAAATGTCGGAAACATTCGAAACGATCGGCAATGTTTATGTGAAAATAGTCAGTCATCAAGAAATTGATGCAATTAAAGATGCACTTCGACTTCTGCCATTTGTTCCGGAACAAGCTCATCATGTTATAGATTCGTTAACTAATCTATCGAAACAAGAGATAACAGCAGAAAATGTACTCAGTTGTGCATTTGATACAACACTTAACATCGTTGATCCGAAAACTGCAAAAGCATTACGCACTGTACGAATTGTGATCGATCAAGTACAAAACCATGATGTACAAGGGGCAGTGCATTCGATTGCTAGTGAATTCTTTCCTGAATATGCTACGAGGATCAATACTGCGATGGAAATCACAAGTTCAATTACTGATACATTGTCGCGAACAAATGATCCTTTGCAAGCATTGGACAGTCTGATGAATAATGAGAAATTAAAGTCATATCTACCATCGGAAATTCAAAACGTTTATGATATAGCACAAGAACTACGAAGTATTATTGATAGCAAAGATATAGCGAAAGAAGAACTAACTAAACGTGCATTGCAACTAGGCGCTTCATTTTTACCACCGGAACACGCCAAGAAAGTCAACGACGTCGTTAAATTGATCGATGCAGTTCGTTCTGATGACCCACAGAAAATACTAGATCAATCATTGAACGTTGCTGCAAGTTATCTTCCACCCGAAATCAACAATCATATTCAACCAGTGATACCAATAATACGTAAAAAGCTCAACAATCAAAAGATCAGCTATGAAGACGTAATGGATGTAGCCGGTTCATACATTGGTGGACGAGGACAACAAATAATTAACGCTGCTAAACCTTTCGTATCAGCATTAATAAATGGAAAGCGCTTGTCAGGTGATCAATATCTTGATCTTCTTGACACTGCCATGACTACTTTGGGTGTGAAAAAAGAAGTAATGGACATAGTACACAAAGCTAAAACCGTATACAAAAATGTTCGCCAAATACAACAAGCCACATCGGCGCTGATGAAAGCAACCACAATAGCATCGAAAGCAGCGCAGATTAGTTCAATAGCAGCAGCTGCCCTGTCATTGCTGACTGAACTTATACCCGACTTGCCAGAAGATGTTAAAACAGCTATTGATATAATCGCCGGAATTGCGTTACTCTTAACCGCCACAAATCCTGTTGGACTCGTACTAGCAGCCATCGGTCTAGTGTTCTCCCTCTCCAAACTATTTGGTGGAGGCAAAGGTGGTGGTGGTGGCGGAGGTTCCGGTGGAAAATCTGGTGGAGCAGGTTCAGGCGGCGCAGGTCAAGGCGGTAATAGTGGAGGCGCATCTGGTGGTGGTACCGGTGGAAAATCTGGTGGAGCAGGCTCAGGCAGTAGTAGTGGAGGAGCAACTAGTGGTGGTACCAGTGGAAAATCTGGTGGCGCAGGTTCAGGCGGCGCAGGTCAAGGCGGTAATAGTGGAGGCGCATCTGGTGGTGGTACCGGTGGAAAATCTGGTGGAGCAGGCTCAGGCGGTAGTAGTGGAGGAGCATCTGGTAGTGGTACAGCCGCAGGCGCAAGCTCAGGAAAAAGTAGTGCTGGTGCAAGTGGCGGAAGCTCTTCTCATGCTACTACGGGCGCAGGTAAAGATGGTGCTAGTAGTGCCAGTTCTAGCGGCGGCGGAAGTACAAACTCGGGCAAAGGTGGTGCCGGTACAAGTGGCAGTGTAGGTTCAAGTTCTACTGGTGCTACTGGTACAAGTACGGGCAAAGTTAAAACGAGTGAAGGTTCTATTCATCCGACAAAGGCATATACAAGTAAGGGCGACAGCGGTAGTAGCTACGGTGAAGATGCACATTATCCTGGAGCTGAAGATACAGGTGATCCTACTATTCCGGCGAGTCCACTGTTAATGGATGAAATCGGTTTAGGAGCAAGAGAAGCCGCAAAAAACAAAGTAGAAACACTCGCATCAGAAGCAGCTACATTAAACGAAGAATCAGAAGCACAAGTATCAAACATAATAAAACAGGATGAATTGTTATTACCAGAAACAATCACATGTTTGACAACAGCAGCTAAAATCAACAACAAAATTCAAGCAACTATGCATGCTGTTCAGCAAATGGCAGCCAACAATATGAGAAAAGAAATAGACAATCTAGCCAAAACAACTTTACCTAAAGTTATTCAAACATCACTACAATTATATCAATCGTTGGAATTCATTGATTCATGTTCAGGTGATGTCAATGGTCACATAAGACGAACTTGCCAAGAAATACAAAGAGATTTAATCCAAGTGTTGGATAAATTAAGCGAATCAGAATCCTTACGTAAATTATGCAAACTAAGCAAGAAGAACGATTTGGCGGCTGACTACGATATACCCGAAGACAGCCACGTTTCGGAGTTGAACTATCAGGGACAAGGCCAGCAACAACAAACAAATTTGGACAATATCAAACAACTCTTAAAAGGATTCGAAGATTCAAAATTTGAGCAAGGCCAAATAATGGGTGACCCGTTATTACATCAACTGGGTATTCGGCTCGATAATCTTCTAGCAAATTATGACAATGACCTAGCCACTGGTCTCGACGAAACGAGCAAAGATGGAGACAAAAAAAAAGATCCTTCTACACCGATTGCTGAACCTCCAACAACCGCGAATCGTGATATAGTTCTAGAGATAAACGACGACGGAATGACGACCAAAGCTGGATCAGAAAATGTAACCACAGTCAAAGATGGTAATAAATTTTCTGGAGTGATCCGCGTTGATTTTGGTCCAAGTTTAGATGGAGGCCCATCACCAGATAAAAAACGGACGAAACACGACAGTTCAAAAGTCAGCATTAGCAAGGAACAATTAGAGACTTTCCAGAAGCGATCTGCGGACATGTGCTCTGCTCTTTTACTATCAGCCAACAAATATGATATTGGAACCATCACTGAACAGTGTGATCCCGAACATTTACCAGAAACGGCATTAGATAAACCCCGTTATGCTCTACTTGCTCGCATTACACGAAATATACAGTTAATGTTATTCACGCGTTTGCGTTCGGCATTACAAAAACAATACGGCAAACAACAAACAACACCCAACGATGATTTACAATTCGAATTCATTTTCTGTGTGGATAACAGTGGAAGTATGAGTGGAAAAAAGATTCGCGAAGCATTAAATACATTAGTTATTCTAATTGAAACATTTCATCGTCTCGAATGGAAATTCGGCGTTGTTCGATTCGGTGCGGAACAAAAGATACTTAAACCCTTGGGACATGAATCCATGTATAGCACAGTATCAACGACAAGCTCTACTCAAAGCGTCCAGCAAGCAGCCATCGCACGGGGACAATATATTCTTGAATCGTTCACAACCGACGAAAAGACCTTACCAGCAACAGCCTTGAAACAAATTGCTACGAACAAAGATCTATACGGTACTCAAATTAAACCAAACGTCAAGCGATATATCGTTATGATCACTGATGGTATTTCATCTCAAGATGAAACTGATATGTACACGAATCAATTACGCCAGGCCAATGCCGATCTCTATGTGGTTTGTATTATCCCCGAAAAGCCGAAGGACGACGATGCAAAATTTTCCAACGAATACAAACAATTTGCCATTGAACATGAGAGAAAGGCAAATGATTTTATTCGACGTATAGCACCTGAACGAAATCGACTTATTGAAACGGGACAATTAGATAACTTAACAAAGGAAGTTGTCAATGATCTTTTTCATATGATCGAACAATCGATTGTTCTCTACACAAGTCGACCCGTTGATCCTTCCAAAATCTCTATGGCACTGAGTACAAATGACGGACTGAAATTTCATCCAATGATCCCATTTGTCCTCTCCGACGTAAAAGACATCACATTATGGGGACATGGAGCAATTCCATACATCGGTCAATTCTATGTCAATGATGCGCAAGAAAAACTCAAACAGCAAACGTTTCAACAACAGATAAATATGAATTTCACGTCGGACTCAGATGAATATATCAAGCATTTCGACGAAACACTCGATGCACTGGAAAAAAGTTATTCAAATCTAGAACTGCATGATGCAGTTCTCGCACAAACTGATCGAATTTTGCAACAAACCGAACAACAGTTTGACGAATATATCAGTGAGTTAGTTCGTGCGATGGAAGATTACGTTCTTCCAGCGTATAAACCAACACAATCGTTGCCCGACACACGAGGAAGTCGATTATACATCCCGGGTATAGTGAAATTCATTTGTACGCAAGGACAATACAATCGAATCTATTTGAATCAAATCGGCTCGCAAAAACCCGAGTACCGCATTGCCTTACTTCTCGATCAATCGGTTTCAATGACTGGGCCAACGTACTTCGCATCAGTTGATATTTTACTTTCAATGTGTGCAGCATTAAATCGAATCGGTATTGAAGATTTCAATGTTTTGACATTCGGAAGACGAGTCGAATTAATTAAAAGTTACAAACAAAAATACGATCGTTCATTCATACATCATCTCACCAATTCATTGAAAATCGATGGTGAAACAACGCTATTATGCGATGCAATATTTGCCGCGACTGAATTGCTACAACAACAAGCCTCATACAATAACAATCACGGTCCAATGTTCATTTTTGCACTTACCGATGGCTATGATAAACGAGGAAGTTTCATACAGACCGTCATTGCGTATGCTGAACAACGCTCGGTCACAGTGATTGGAATCGGCGTTGGCCTCGAGGCCACCGGTGTTTCGCTAGCATTTAACGACTGGATCATCGCACAAAATCCACGTTTACTCTCTGATGCACTAATCAATTGGTCGAATGAACAAAGTAATGGAGAAAAACCGTACGAATCACCTTATATAGATAAGACAACAGACTTTCAAGGAGAAGACGGAAAAAAATATTCCACCACAGATGACGTTTGGAACGAAGAAATGAAGACACATTTTGATGCGATAACACAAAGTACAAAACGTACGATTGACTTAACATTTTCTAACAATACTCATAGTTCACCGTTAACAGTGGAGATTTGTTTCGTTATGGATTGTACTGGTTCGATGGGACGTTGGATTGCGGCATGTAAACAACATATCAAAGCTATTGCTGATGGCATACAGAAGGAAATGAAAGAAAAGTATGACAAAGATAGTGTTCTACGCATGGCATTTGTTGCCTATCGTGATTATGGAGATTCGAATCGTTTTGATGTAATTGATTTCCATCAGACACCGAACCTTGCACCAGTTGAAGCAAAAATTGCGAGTCAACAAGCCAGTGGTGGTGCAGATGAATGTGAAGATGTTCAAGGTGGTTTTGACAAAGCATTGAAATTAAGTTGGACAAAAGACAAAAGTTCACGAGCGGCACAGATATTGNACTGGTACAAGTACGGGCAAAGTTAAAACGAGTGAAGGTTCTATTCATCCGACAAAGGCATATACAAGTAAGGGCGACAGCGGTAGTAGCTACGGTGAAGATGCACATTATCCTGGAGCTGGAGATACAGTTGATCCTACTATTCCGGCGAGTCCACTGTTAATGGATGAAATTGGTTTAGGAGCAAGAGAAGCAGCAAAAAATAAAGTAGAAACACTCGCATCAGAGGCAGCTGAATTAAATAAAGAATCAGAAGCACAAGTATCAAATATAATAAAACAGGATGAGCTATTGCTACCAGAAACAATCACATGTTTGACAACAGCTGCTAAAATTAATAATAAGATTCAAGCAACTATGAATGCTGTTCAACAAATGGCAGCCAACAATATGAGAAAAGAAATAGACAATTTGGCCAAGACAACTTTGCCCAAAGTTATTCAGACATCATTACAATTATATCAATCGTTGGAATTCATTGATTCATGTTCAGGTGATGTCAGTGGTCACATAAAACGAAGTTGCCAAGAAATACAAAGAGATTTAATACAAGTTTTGGATAAATTAAGCGAATCAGAATCCTTACGTAAGCTGTGCAAACTAAGCAAGAAGAACGATCTGGCGGCTGACTACGATATACCTGAAGACAGCCACGTTTCGGAGTTGAACTATCAGGGACAAGGCCAGCAACAGCAAACAAATTTGGATAATATTAAACAGCTCTTAAAAGGATTCGAAGATTCAAAATTTGAGCAAGGTCAGATGATGGGTGACCCGTTACTACATCAACTGGGTATTCGGCTCGATAATCTTCTAGCAAATTATGACACTGACCTAGCCACTGGTCTCGACGAAACGAACAAAGATGGAGACAACAAAAAAGATCCTTCTACACCGCTTGTTGAACTTCCAACAACCGCGAATCGCGATATAGTTCTAGAGATAAACGATGACGGAAAGACGACCAAAGCTGGATCAGAAAATGTAACAACAGTCAAAGATGGTAATAAATTTTCTGGAGTGATCCGCGTTGATTTCGGCTCAAGTTCAGATGGAGGCCCATCACCAGAGAAAAAACCGACGAAACACGACAGTTCAAAAGTCAGCATTAGCAAGGAACAATTGGAGACTTTCCAGAAGCGATCTGCGGACATGTGCTCTGCTCTTTTACTATCAGCCAACAAGTATGATATTGGAACCATCACTGAACAGTGTGATCCCGAACATTTACCAGAAACGGCATTAGATAAACCCCGTTATGCTCTACTTGCTCGCATTACGCGAAATATACAGTTAATGTTATTCACGCGGTTGCGCTCGGCATTGCAAAAACAATACGGCAAACAACAAACAACACCCAACGATGATTTACAATTCGAATTCATTTTCTGTGTGGATAACAGTGGAAGTATGAGTGGAAAAAAGATTCGCGAAGCATTAAATACATTAGTTATTCTAATTGAAACATTTCATCGTCTCGAATGGAAATTCGGCGTTGTTCGATTCGGTGCGGAACAAAAGATACTTAAACCCTTGGGACATGAATCCATGTATAGCACAGTATCAACGACAAGCTCTACTCAAAGCGTCCAGCAAGCAGCCATCGCACGGGGACAATATATTCTTGAATCGTTCACAACCGACGAAAAGACCTTACCAGCAACAGCGTTGAAACAAATTGCTACGAACAAAGATCTATACGGTACTCAAATTAAACCAAATGTCAAGCGATATATCGTTATGATCACTGATGGTATTTCATCTCAAGATGAAACTGATATGTACACGAATCAATTACGCCAGGCCAATGCTGATCTCTATGTGGTTTGTATTATCCCCGAAAAGCCGAAGGACGACGACGCAAAATTTTCCAACGAATACAAACAATTTGCCATTGAACATGAGAGAAAGGCAAATGATTTTATTCGACGTATAGCACCTGAACGAAATCGACTTATTGAAACGGGACAATTAGATAACTTAACAAAAGAAGTTGTCAATGATCTTTTTCATATGATCGAACAATCGATTGTTCTCTACACAAGTCGACCCGTTGATCCTTCCAAAATCTCTATGGCACTGAGTACAAATGACGGCATGAAATTTCATCCAATGATCCCATTTGTCCTCTCCGACGTAAAAGACATCACATTATGGGTACATGGAGCAATTCCATACACCGGTCAATTCTATGTCAATGATGCGCAAGAAAAACTCAAACAGCAAACGTTTCAACAACAGATAAATATGAATTTCACGTCGGACTCAGATGAATATATCAAGCATTTCGACGAAACACTCGATGCACTGGAAAAAAGTTATTCAAATCTAGAACTGCATGATGCAGTCCTCGCACTAACAGATCGAATTTTGCAACAAACCGAACAACAGTTTGACGAATATATCAGTGAGTTAGTTCGTGCGATGGAAGATTACGTTCTTCCAGCGTATAAACCAACACAGTCGTTACCCGACACACGAGGAAGTCGATTATACATTCCGGGCATAGTGAAATTCATTTGTACTCAAGGACAATACAATCGAATCTATTTGAATCAAATCGGCTCGCAAAAACCCGAGTACCGCATTGCCTTACTTCTCGATCAATCGGTTTCAATGACTGGGCCAACATACTTCGCATCAGTTGATATTTTACTTTCGATGTGTGCAGCATTGAATCGAATCGGTATTGAAGATTTCAATGTTTTGACATTCGGAAGACGAGTCGAATTAATTAAAAGTTACAAGCAAAAATACGATCGTTCATTCATACATCATCTCACCAATTCATTGAAAATCGATGGTGAAACAACGCTACTATGCGATGCAATATTCGCCGCAACTGAATTGCTACAACAACAAGCCTCATACAATAATAATCACGGTCCAATGTTCATTTTTGCACTTACCGATGGTTATGATAAACGAGGAAGTTTCATACAGACCGTCATTGCGTATGCTGAACAACGCTCGGTCACAGTGATTGGAATCGGCGTTGGCCTCGAGGCCACCGGTGTTTCGCTAGCGTTTAACGACTGGATCATCGCACAAAATCCACGTTTACTCTCTGATGCACTAATCAATTGGTCGAATGAACAAAGCAATGGAGAAAAACCGTACGAATCACCTTATATAGACAAGACAACAGACTTTCAAGGAGAAGACGGAAAAAAATATTCCACCACAGATGATGTTTGGAACGAAGAAATGAAGACACATTTTGATGCGATAACACAAAGTGCAAAACGTACGATTGACTTAACATTCTCCAACAATACCCATAGTTCACCGTTAACAGTGGAGATTTGTTTCGTTATGGACTGTACTGGTTCGATGGGATGTTGGATCGCGGCATGTAAACAACATATCAAAGCTATTGCTGATGGTATACAGAAGGAAATGAAAGAAAAGTATGACAAAGATAGTGTTTTACGCATGGCATTTGTTGCCTATCGTGATTATGGAGATTCGAATCGTTTTGATGTAATTGATTTCCATCAGACACCGAACCTTGCACCAGTTGAAGCAAAAATTGCGAGTCAACAAGCCAGTGGTGGTGCGGATGAATGTGAAGATGTTCAAGGTGGTTTTGACAAAGCACTGAAATTAAGTTGGACAAAAGACAAAAGTTCACGAGCGGCACAGATATTGGTTTGGGTTGCAGATGCACCCGGACATACGCCGTTTTGCAGCGGTGGTACAGCTGGCGACAGTCACCCAGGTGGATTACCCGATGTTCCACGAATGGAAACTCTGGTGGAAGAAATCAAAAATCGCGGATACTTTCTATTACTATCTGACTTTACTGCGAATGTTCAAGCAATGTTGCGAAATATTGAAGCTATTTTCCAAAGAGATGGCAAGCAGAATCAAGTGAAGCGCGTCAAACTAAACAATGCCGATACATCGACATTATTGAAAGAGGTCATGCAACAAGTCAACACAATTATTGCCAGTGAATTTATGTAACTGAAAGAACTTAGTCGACATTCATACATTGCGTGCGTGTGTTTTTCTCGTTTTTATAGCATTTAATCATGAAATAAAAGATTTGCCAATATAGTTACTATTTACCACGTGCCTATAGACGGTGATAAAACGCACTATGGTATTGTAGATAAGTAAGAGTCGAAGACCTTCGTTTTTTTTATCGTATGCACGACTAAAATTGAGAAGAAAAAGTATTCGTAATACGTAGTTGTTTTACGCCATGTTTATACTTCTTCAGTTATTTCTACTTCTTTTAACCAGTCTATTATACTATAAGGGTTCTACTAATCCAAATTTAAGCTCCCACGATGATTACACTCCATCTGAAGGCCTTGGTTCTAAATATGCAGTCAAATTGATGCCCCGAATAGGTCAACTTTTCGTATGGTCATCTACACTATACCAATCGTTGTATCTCTTTCTTCAGGCTTTCTCACCAACTGCAATAACGATGTTTTTCCCACAGGCATCAACATCAGCCCATCTTCTATCACTTACATCAATCTCGATGGTTGGCTACCTCTTAATGATTGTCGGTGGTCTGGGAAGACTATGGTGTTATAGAACATTAGGAAGGTTTTTTACATTTGAAATAACTATTCGTAATTCTCATAAGTTAATCAAGACTGGTCCATATACCTATGTACGTCATCCATCGTACACATTTGCTTTTATGTTAACGACTGGAATGTTTCTTGTGCATCGAAGAATAGCAAACTTCTTTCCCGATACGTACCGGTTAAAAGGATTCATGTTGAGCCCTGTTGGTGTTGTGACATTCTGTGTGGTATTCTACTTGCTTCTTTTGAAACGTGTTACAACTGAAGAAAAAGCGTTAGCAAAAGCATTCGGCAAAGAATGGAATGAATATACGTCAAAGACAAAACGATTTATACCCACCATTATGTAAGTCGCAACAGTTGCATCCTATGAACTAAATGAAATAGTTCGTTTTTCTTCCTCCAATGTTTTCAAAGTATCTTTCTGTCAAACGCAAAGAATTTGTTCGAAAAGTTCATGCGATGAGAAGCACAGCTTGTTTCCAGTCAGTTCGAACTTTTTTTCACAAATAAATGCTTGATCTCCTTCAATGCTGCTATTACTCATTGTGTACAGTATCGATAATAGCATACGGGAGCTGCGTATAATCCATGAACATAAAATCGATTGCAATTCGTTATTTGAATGCCGTAGATATAACCAAAACATGGATTATCATCGAATGCAAAACAGACAATAACATCTATCGTTAAGCCAGCAATTGATGGATATCCTGAAATTGTCCAACCTGAAGCATTATTCGGTGTTGTTGTAGCTAATTGTGTGCCACTGGGATTGACAAATCGAACGTATTGTCGAAATATCAGAAGATCTGTTGTTAAACGTGTTTCATTCACGATCGTTGTATAATTGTAGCATTGTTGTGGCAGTGACACAGTATTAGTAATACTTGTAGCTAAATAGGCCAAAATTGTATGAATCTCGGCGTATCCGACAATTCAAAATGGTCTTTTGCTAGCTTGAGGAGATGATACTGGTGCCCGTGGTTGTGACTGTAGAAAAGTCTGGAAGAAAAATATAATTAGTCTGTCAGACATTCACTCACGACTATAAGTGTACTCTCGTGTTTTTTTCTCAAATAATTTGGTTTGTTTAGATGAGAAGTAGAACAAGAGTGATGATAGAGACGAAAAAAAAAACTCGTTGAAAAAAAGAGAGAAGGGTGTTCATCTTCAACTGACTCGCTTGTTCATATCTGTTGTGCGATGGATGTTATAGTTATAATAGCTTCACTGTTGCAACGCTTATTGTTACGATGAAAGGCTTTCTTTTATTCCAAGAACTGATATATTTACATATGAACGATCAGTTTAAATGAGAATAAACTTCACTTTTACCGATTTTTTTGTATGGCAACACCGGGATTGACGAGCTACGGAGTGAAAATAGAAGACAAAGAACTTTCATACCGACAAGGCTTTAGTTATTCACGGATGCCGCAACTTTAGCCCCATGAGACGTCTTAGGTCGAATGAAAGATTCAACTAAGATAGTGATATTCCCGATACGTTTCTTTCAACTTGTTTTTACGCAAATAATGCGTTTCCCGTCAGTTTCGTTGGACAGTTTCAGCAGGTATCTGATGCGAAACTGTCGTTAGAAAAAGTTTAGGCAATGAATAATGAACTCGATCTATTTAATATAAGTCAACTATATTTGACTCTGATCTTTTTTCTTTGAATCATGTATCGAGATCGAAACCTTTTCACTTGGCAAAAGAAACAAAGTACACGAAGTTCATTCAACCGTTTACACGGTAACTTTCGAAAGGAATGTCCGATTCCGCTGAAATGTTCGATACACAGTAGAAAATGAGATTGATTTATGAGCTACTGTGAAAGTGTTGATATTTCCCAATGTTTCGTCATACATTTATCGTTATTAAATTTCATATTTCGAGTCATTCTTTCTTCTGCCTTTTCATCAAAATAAATCTCATTTCCATGCCGAATCAAACTATCGTCCACTAACTGACAACACAAATTTTGATTTAACGAAGGTTGTTTCAAAACTACGTGAATTATTCGTCCTCGCACAAGAGAAAAAAAAGGATGTGAAATAACTTTATCTGAATATTTCAATTGAGATGGTTCGTCTAGATTGGATCATTTACATGAGAATTTCTCTTTCTTCCAAGTTTGATAAATAAAACTTTTCCTTTTGGATTAAGTTCTCTGTCGGATTGTTTTATGAACGTATTAAGTCAAATCTTTGGATTCGATTATTTCCACTATCAGCGACATACAGATTTCCTCCATCGTCAAATGATAAACCACGAGGAAACTGTAATTGGTTTGATCCATTTTCGTGTCCATTTCCACCAACAATAATTTCACCCTCCTCGTCTCCTTCACTCCAGCGCATTATTCGATGATTCCTACAATCTGCAACATAAGTTCGACCCAAACCATCAACAATGATTCCTTGAGGATCATTCAATTGATTTAGATTATGTCCATCTCCATTTCCATCGGCTACAACAATTCCTTCGTTCGCATCATTTTTCCATTTCATCACACGAGCATTCTGAAAATCTGCTACATATATAGAATGTTCATCATCAACAAAGATAAAATTGGACTCATTCAGTTGATTCCCTTTTCCATTTCCACCAGCAACTACTTTCCCTTCACCTTTCTCTTCAATCTTCCATCTCCTCACATCGTGTTTCTCATCATCAGAAACATAAAGAAATCCAAATTTGTCTATTTTGTTAACCGACAACACTTGATATTGTCAATGAGAATCTCTTGCTGCTTTCCATCGAACCATCGTATCACTCGTTTGTTCCCCAATCCGCAATGATGAGTGAATTGTTTTGTTGATCAACAATCACGTCTGTTGGCGTATCTAATCGATCCATTCCGCTCCCTTGTCCATTGCCTCGAGCCACAATCCTTTTCTTGATTTTCATTCGTTTTCCATTTCCTGCAGCAACAGTGATTGCGTGTTGTTTCCATTCGTTGAAAATTAACTCTAAAGGACAAAATTGTATTTTTTGTTCATTTTCTTCAAACACGTTCTTTTCTGAACTGAAATGAACCATAAAATCCTTTTCATTCTTTTCGACGTACTTTTCGATGCTCTGATTAAAATTTCTTTGATAAATCCTTGTGAATCATTTTCTCCAACAGAAATAGTGAACATCCTGCACAACGATAAGTGACTTTGGCTCTGTTTTACAAATGAAACAATGTGATGTATTGTTGACCATTCTAATGGCAAAGAATATCGAAATGTTAAATTAAAAAATCTAAGATAAAAATGAAGGAAAATTTGTTTTTCTCAAACAACGGAGTCAAACTGTTGAATGTGTGAGTATGTACATTAAGTGAGATATTTTTGAGTATTCTGTGTTGAATGGTGTCGGCTTTGAAGCGCATCATCGGAAGAGAAAAATAGTGCTTCAACCTCAAGATTTGCACTTAAGGTCTTCCTATGATATAATCATTCTAACCAACTTACTTTATCTATAATAATTTTCAACATATTTTGTTATCTATGTGACGAAAGTTTTTTACTTGACGATAAGACTGTCGTCAAAAAAGAAAATCTTATCTTACAAGATGGTAGGTGAGAATGAGATGTGAACGACATATTCTAGCCATTATTTCTTGTTCTTGGATATAAAACTATCAACTAAAAATTTATATCGAGAATTACATGGATCTTCGAATATTATTCGATTAAAAACCGCGTTGTTCACAAAAAAACAATCAAAAGAAATATGGAGAAAAAATTTCGATGTTTCGAAATGCGTTAGTATTATGAAGTAGTGGCTATAACATTGTTACATTTGTTCAAAAACACGGATACTTTTTCCGATTGACTATTCGTGACAATTACATCGATCTTGTTGTCTTTATTCAGATCCCCAATCGCAATATCACTTGGTTGAACACCAGTTGCATATTTAACCTGCGACGAAAACGTTCGATTTCCATTTCCCAATAGAACACTGATGGTATTATCACCGTAATTAATCGTGATCACATCCAAATATCCATCATTATCTAAATCTGCCGTTGTCGCCTTACTAGGATATTTGCCAACTGTTTGATTTAGTTGTTGAGAAAATGTTCCATCGCCTCTGCCAAAAAGAATAGTTACAGTATTTCGACCATTGTTAGTAACTACTAAATCGAGGAAACTATCATTATCCAAGTCACTTGACACTGTCGANCAAGCAGAATCAAGTGAAGCGCGTCAAACTAAACAATGCCGATACATCGACATTATTGAAAGAGGTCATGCAACAAGTCAACACAATTATTGCCAGTGAATTTATGTAACTGAAAGAACTTAGTCGACATTCATACATTGCGTGCGTGTGTTTTTCTTGATTTTTATAGCATTTAATCATGAAATAAAAGATTTGCCAATATAAGAGAAATATTCTTAAATAGTTAGTTCATATCTAAAATATAAGTCAAATGAGAACATGTACTGATATGACTACAGGACATTATAGCGGTTGATACAGCTTTTACGGAAGCAGCTTGAGTAACGCAAATCAACATAAAAGAAGACGAAATCAATGTTTTTTCGAAAATATCAAGGAACAATTGTGACAGTTATGGAAAAACATGTATCAAATTTCCCAACGAAAACTCATGATAGTTCAAGCAGTGTTTTCTCACATCAGTAATGCTAAACATTGGGAGTCACAAAACGGGATAACAGTCAGCACGTCGACTCCTTTGTATACATTCAAAAAGTACACACGCAACACTTCTAAAGGTGATGGATAAAGACGCGAAATAAGAAAATATATACCACGTGCCTATAGACAGTGATAAAATACACCATGTTATTGTAGATAAGTAAGAGTCGAAGACCTTCGTTTTTTATCGTATGTACGACTAAAACTGAGGAAGAAAAAGTATTTGTAATACGTAGTTGTTTTCCGTCATGTTTATACTTCTTCAGTCATTTCTACTTCTTTTAACCAGTCTATTATACTATAAGGGTTCTACTAATCCTAACTTAAGCTCCAAAGATGATTACACTCCATCTGAAGGCCTTGGTTCTAAATATGCAGTCAAATTGATGCCCCAAATCGGTCAACTTTTCGTATGGTCATCGACACTATACCAATCGCTGTATCTCTTCCTGCAGGCTTTCTCACCAACTGCAATAACGATGTTTTTCCCACAGGCATCAGCATCAGTCCATCTTCTATCACTTACATCAATCTCGATGGTTGGCTACCTCTTAATGATTGTCGGTGGTCTGGGAAGACTATGGTGTTATAGAACATTAGGGAGGTTTTTTACATTTGAAATAACTATTCGCAATTCTCATAAGTTAATCAAGACTGGCCCATATGCCTATGTACGTCATCCATCGTACACATTTGCTTTTATGTTAACGACTGGAATGTTTCTTGTGCATCGAAGAATAGCAAACTTCTTTCCCGATACGTACCGATTAAAAGGATTTATGCTGAGTCCTGTTTGTGCTGTGACATTCTGCGTGGTATTCTACTTGCTTCTTTTGAAACGTGTTACAACTGAAGAAAAAGCGTTAGCCAAAGCATTCGGCAAAGAATGGAATGAATATACATCAAAGACAAAACGATTTATACCCACGATTATGTAAGTCGCAACAGTTGCACTCTATGAACTAAATGAAATAATTCGTTTTTCTTCCTCCAATGTTTTCAAAGTATTTTTCTGTCAAACGCAAAGAACTTGTTCGGAAAGTTCATGCGATGAAAAGCACAGCTTGTTTTCAGTCAGTTCGAACTTTTCTCACAAATAAATGATTGATCTCCTTCAATGCTGCTATTATTCATTGTGTACAGCATCGATAATAGCATACTGGAGTTGCGTATGATACATGAACATAAAATCCATTCCAAATCGTTATTTGAATGCTGTAGATATAACCAAAGCATGGATTACCATCGAATGCAAAACAGACAATAACATCTATCGTTAAGCCAGCAGTTGAAGGATATCCTGAAATTGTCCAACATGAAGCATTATTCGGTGTTGTTGTAGCTAATTGTGTGCCACTAGGATTGACAAATCGAACGTATGTCGAAATATCAGAAGATCTGTTGTTAAACGTGCTTCATTCGCGATCGTTGTATAATTGTAGCATTGCTGTGGCAGTGAAACAGTATCAGTAATACTTGTAGCTAAATAGACCAAAATTGTATGCCTCTCGGCGTATCCGACAATTCAAAATGGTCGTTTGCTTGCTTGAGGAGATGATACTGATGCCCGTGGTTGTTACTGTAGAGAAGTCTGGAAGAAAAATATAATTAGTCTGTCAGACATTCACTCACGACTATAAGTGTACTCTCGGTTTTTTTCTCAAATACTTTGGTTTGTCTAGACGAGAAGTAGAACAAGAGTGATGACAGAGACCAAAAAAAAACTCGTTAAAAAAAAGAGAGAAAGGCGTTCATCTTCAACTGACTCGCTTGTTCATATCTGTTATGCGATGAATGTTGCAGTTATAATAGCTTCATTATTGCGACGTTTATTGTTACGATGAAATGCTTTCCTTTATACCAAGAACTGATATATTTACACATGAACGATCAGACCAAATGAGAATAAACTTCATTTTTACCGATTTTTCTGTATGGTAACACCGGAATTGACGGGCTACGAAGTGGAAATCAATAGATGAAAATAGAAGACAAAATAATTTCATACCGACAAAGCTTTAGCTATCACAGATGCCGCAACTTTAGTCCCATGAGACGTCTTAGGTCGAATATAAGATTCAACTAAGGTAGTGATATTCTCGATACATTTCTTTCAAATTGTTCTTACGCAAATAATGAGTTTCCCATCAGTTTCGTTGGACAGTTTCAGCATGTATCTGATGCGAAACTGTCATTAGAAAAAGTTTAGGCAATGAACGCTAAGCGTAATTGTTTTGAATAATGAACTCGATCTATTTAATATGAGTCAACTATATTTGACTCTGCTCTTTTTCCTTTGAGTCATGTATTGAGATCGAAACCTTTTTCACTCGGCAAAAGAAACAAAGTACACGAAGCTCATTCAATCGTTTACACGGTAACTTTCGAAAGGAAAGTCCGATTCCGCTGAAATGTTCGATACACAGTAGAAAATGAAATTGATTTACGAGCTACTATGAAAGTGTTGATATTTCCCAATGTTTCGTCATACATTTATCGTGTTTAAATTTGCTATTTCGAGTCATTCGTGCGAAATTGTAAAAACATGAAATCATCGTTGACTGTTTTATCCAAAAAACATTTTTTCTTCTGACTTTTCATCAAAATAGATCTCGTTTTCATGTCGAATCGAAATATCGTCCAATATTTGACATAAATTTTGATTTAACGAAGGTTATTTTTCAAAACTATGAATTATTCGTCTTCGTACAAGAGAAAAAAGGATGTGCAATAACTTTACCTGAATATTTCAATTCAGATTGTTCGTCTAGATCGCATCATTTACATGCGAATTTCTCTTTCTTCCAAGTTTGATAAATAAAGCTCTTCCTTTTATATTCAATTCTCTGTCGGATTGTTTTATGAACGTATTACGTCAAATCTTTGGATTCGATTATTTCCACTATCAGCGACGTACAGATTTCCTCCATCGTCAAATGATAAACCACGAGGAAACTGTAATTGCTTTGATCCATTTTCTTGTTCATTTCTACCAACAATAATTTCACCTTTCTCTTCGATCTTCCATCTCCTCACATCGTGTTTCTCATCATCAGAAACATAAAGAAATCCAAATTTGTCTATTGTTAACCGACAACACTTGATATTTTCAATGAGAATCTCTTGCTGCTTTCCATCGAACCATCGTATCACTCGTTTGTTCCCCAATCGGCGATGATGAGTGAATCTTGAGGGTGTGGGTGAGATGTGAATGACATATTTTAGCCATTATTTTTTGTTCTTGGATATAAAACTATCAACTAAAAATTCATATCGAGAAATATATGGATCTTCGAATATTATTCGATTAAAAACCATTGTTCACAAAAAAAATCAAAGGAAATATAGAGAAAAAATGTCGATAAGTCCAAATGCGTTAGTATTATGAGGTAGTGGCTATAATATTGTTACATTTGTTCAAAAATACGGATACTTTTTCCGACTGACTATTCGTGACAATTACATCGATTTTGTTGTCTTTATTCAGATCCCCAATCCCAATATCACTTGGTTGAACACCAGTTGCATATTTAACCTGCGACGAAAACGTTCGATTTCCATTCCCCAATAGAACACTGATGGTATTATCACCGTAATTAATCGTGATCACATCCAAATATCCATCATTATCTAAATCTGCCGTTGCCGCCTTACTAGGATATTTGCCAACTGTTTGATTTAGTTGTTGAGAAAATGTTCCATCGCCTCTGCCAAAAAGAATAGTTACAGTATTTCGACCATTGTTAGTAACTACTAAATCGAGGAAACTATNTCGATTTCCATTTCCCAATAGAACACTGATGGTATTATCACCGTAATTAATCGTGATCACATCCAAATATCCATCATTATCTAAATCTGCCGTTGTCGCCTTACTAGGATATTTGCCAACTGTTTGATTTAGTTGTTGAGAAAATGTTCCATCGCCTCTGCCAAAAAGAATAGTTACAGTATTTCGACCATTGTTAGTAACTACTAAATCGAGGAAACTATCATTATCCAAGTCACTTGACACTGTCGAAGATGGTGCTCTACCAACGAAATAATCCGCCTTGTGCTGAAAATGTCCACGGCCATCACTCAGATAAGTGCTGATACTATTATTACCTGGATTAACAAACACCAGATCGACGTTTTTGTCACCATTCAAATCAGTGGATATGAAAGATATCGGTCTACTGTCAACTACGATGTCATCTCCTTTGTGAAAGACTCCAGTGCCGTCACCTAGAAATACTTTGATGTGATTGTCAGCTACAATAATCACTGCAATATCTAGTTTATTATCATCGTTCAAATCACTTGTTACTATAGCTATCGGAGTAGTATTGAGTAAATAGTTGACAGCATCGAGAAATATACCTGATCCATTGCTGATTAAAACACTGAAACTGGTGCTATTGGTGTTAATTACCGCTAGATCTAATTTTTGGTCGCCATTGAAATCAGCGGTTACCAGAGAGGTTGGTGCTACGCCAACACTATATGTTAACGGAGCACGAAATACTCCATCTCCATAATTATATAAAATACTAATCGTGTTGTCATATTGATTGCTCACTGCTAAATCTGGTTTCTTATCTTTGTTTAGAGGTTCCAAGATTACAGATGACGGATATAAACCTGTATCATAAGAATACTGTTCAGTAAAAGCACCATATCCTGTACCAAAAAAGACCTTCACCTTATTTTCATTAGAGATGGTTACTACAAAATCCGAATTTCCATCATCATTAAAATCAGTTACCACGACAGCCGTTGGGTTATATCCAACATATACTGTCCCACTTGATGTATATGTTGGCGTAGTAGATGCATCTTTATATGATCTACTATCATCTCCAAATGACCTGCTACCACTGCCAAGTGATCCACTACCATCTCCAGATGATCCGCTGCCATCTCCAGACGATCCACTACCATCTCCAGATGATCCACTGCCACTGCCACTGCCACTACCACTACCACTACCACTACCACTACCAGAATACGATCCGCTACCGTAGTAATAGTACCCGCTACCACCTTGATATGGATATCCAAATGATCCATCGTTATTTCCAAACAAAACGTTGATATATCCACCATATGTGGACGCTACAATTAAATCCAATTTCGTATCATTATCAAAATACCCGGATACTAAAAAGGACGGATAATAGTTTGCGTACGATGCTTTAGGATAATTAAACGTTCCATTTTTATTGCCAAGTAGGACGTTAACAGTGCCATCGACTTGAATCGTCACAGCAAGGTCCAAGAAGGAATCATTATTAAAATCGTCCGTTATGACCATATACGGTGAATAACTAAGACTATATGTAACTGGATATTGAAAAGTACCATTTCTCTGACCAATCAAAACTGACACAACATTATCATACGTGTTAGTTACTGCCAAATCTAATATATTATCATCATTAAAGAGACCTACTGCTATCGATGATGGATTAGGATTCACATAAAATGTGTTCCAAAGTGAAAGTGACCCATCACCAGCACCTACAAATAGCCGAGCATAGTTTTCATATTGATCAAGAACTATCACGTCCAGTTTTTCATCGCCATTGAAGTCATTAGCAGCAATACAAAATGGTGATTGCCCTGCGTCATAGTCGTTTCCCACCGTAAGTCCTCCGTTTCCATTGTTAATCAACATACGAATGGTGTTATCATCACGATCTACTACGACTATATCCGTAAGACCATCATTATTATAATCGCCCGATGCCATTGCCACAGGCGACGTACTAGTGTCGCCTCGAGCAATATTTAAACTTCCGCGCCCGTCACCAACTAAGAGACCAACGTTATTATCTTTCGTGTTTGACACCGCGATATCGAGTTGTTGAAGATTCGTAAAGTGTCCTATTACTAAAGAATTTGGCGAATGTCCAGTGTTGTAAAAGTCACTCGCTTGAAATGGACTTGTACATTTAATCACTGAAAAAAAGAAATCAACATAAAAACATGTTTGTCTATTGAAAATAGCATTGAAGCGAAACAAGCAAATCATACGTGTTGATTTAGTATTTGATTTTGTCCCTAGTACAACACCCACAACAACCCCAACGATGATTAGAATGGCCAACGCACAGAACGGAATCGTAAATTTCTTCTTCCGATACCAAGGACGGCTTACAAATAAAAGAAAAACAAAAGTGAATATCCTAAGACAAGAAACTTTACCTGATTTTCGGATAAATATGTGCACCTAAAGCATAAAACGATCTAGTTCGAATCATATTCAAATAACATAATACCTGGATAGGGTGGTTCGAGTAATGTCTCTTCCGGAATAACTTGCTTCAAATGAATAATAAAAAGTTGAGCAGCTGGCGAAAGTTGTGACTGAACGACCATATGAGTACCCGGTAAAAGTAAAATTTCATCTTCTGTAACAAAGTGTGAATGTGCTTTGATGGTTCGACCATTGATCGCTTCAACTGAAAACAATGTTCGATCACCTTGGTTACCTAAATACATATTGTTTTCCAGTACAGTCATTTCACTTGTTGTTGACGAAAATGCCCACCACGTGATGCTTGTGCCAGGTTGGAAATCTTTACTTAAGTTCTTTGTTACACCTCTCCAAACAGTCAACGGTGGAACACACGGTAATTTAACAAGAGCAGTTATGAACAATTTCAAATATTTGTAATAGGGTAAAAGCTTTTCTCGATCGAGATTTTTCAAATGAAAATTTACCATGGAATAAAGACTTCGATGTGGATGATCCCATTCGATTGTGTAAAGACGAATTGCAGCACTCTCATCGATTGTTAAATCATCTGGTGGAGCATCAGGTGTTTCACTCAATGCTAATTCAACATAGAATGACACATTATGCAGAAGATCAGTTAGTGGTTCACATGCTTCAACAAGGGATACAAGAGGCTCTTCAGCATATCCAGCAATAGGATTTACTGGCTCCATTTCTACAATTGATACGTCTTTCGGACTATCTTCGGTTGCTTTTTTATTGGGGTCTGCATCTGGTTCATCGACAAGCGCTCGTTGTCCTCGAATTGGTGGTGCTTGAATCTGATCTCTTTGTTCATCAACAAGTTTATCAGATGAAANAAGCTTTTCTCGATCGAGATTTTTCAAATGAAAATTTACCATGGAATAAAGACTTCGATGTGGATGATCCCATTCGATTGTGTAAAGACGAATTGCAGCACTCTCATCGATTGTTAAGTCATCCGGTGGAACAGCAGGTGTTTCACTCAATGCTAATTCAACATAGAATGACACATTATGTAGAAGATCAGTTAGCGGTTCACATGCTTCGACAAGGGATACAAGAGGCTCTTCGGCATATCCAGCAATAGGATTTACTGGCTCCATTTCTACAATTGATACGTCTTTCGGACTATCTTCGGTTGCTTTTTTATTGGGATCGACATCTGGTTCATCGACAAGCGCTCGTTGTCCTCGACTTGGTGGTGCTTGAATCTGATCTCTTTGTTCATCAACAAGTTTATCAGATGAAACGGGTCGATCTCTATTTCGTGAATATCGATGGAAGTCGCTTGATTGATCATCAAGTTCAGCTGCTGTTAACATCGTTTGTACTCGAGCATTTTTACTTTTGACATGTCGTCGAGGATAATCGTTTTCATCTGGTGCGAATGAAGTTTGGATACGAGCATTCTTGGTTGGTACACCTTGCCGATATAAGATTATTTCATCATCAAGTGAAGTTTGTAAGTACGGAGCGATTTTTGATCTACGTCTACCGTCTAAATAATCCATTGGATTGCTGATACTGAAAAAGAAAAGAGAGATAGATAGAAAAGAAAACAGTGCAACACGCATGAAATATGTAAAATGAAGTGTATAAAACAAATGATTAATGTTATCTATCCTCCGATACACTAAATGAGCAAAGTACGTCATGCTTATTTTCCGTAATTACAAAATATATAATAAAAAATGCCTTTCTTTATCTTATCTTCTGGCTAATGTCATGGAGATAGATAAATAACGCGATAAAATTTTGTTTTTTATTTCTATTTTTCTTGATGTGTTTTTTGTACATATGCCTATTCCTTTCTTTTACTTTCTGTCGAGAAATTGACGATGCGACACCTGTTACATTCAACCAACGAGCCGTCCTACGCACATAAACATGTAAATAATTATAATAGCAACAGGTATTTTACACACGTGTTTCTCTTCAATATTACTGTTTTACACAATTTTGTCGTTTATATGTACCTCTTTTACCAGTAATCAAATACGACAATGAGAACTGTAAACGGACCGAGCGATCGTCTAGATACTTTTGTAACACTATTCCAAAATACTCGACGAGTGGGAAAGAAACTATCCGCCCAAGGGATATTATATTCGAACGATCGAAGCTCAAACAGATGATGATGAGATAAGGGCGAAGGTTCGCATTGTAAAATACGTTTGATTGATTTGTTAATCCCACTGTGAGTTCTCATCATGTTTGAACATCGATATTACAACATGTTCAGTTTGATTACACTTTCGTGCGATCCACTTTAAGGCAACGATTGCATATAGATTGTGCGATAGTTGCTAAATCTAGTAACATGAAATGTTATTCCAGTATTATATTCAAGTACACCAATCGATGTGAAACAAGACAGAAGTATATTTTACTATAGAATGGATGAGCTTTTTATCGTGGAAAAGCATTTGAATAGAGGCGCCTGAAATACGACAACGGATCTGTGATTGTTCAGCTGAAGCACACTTATAATAAAGTATTAAAAGTTCATCAACGTTAAAAGTTGAATTGTAGTATTAGTTAGAGTCAGTTTTCTGCTTCGTAATTGATTCCTGCTGTTCGACGAGTAGCTTGATGCAAATGTCGCACCGCAAACAACGCTTGTTAACAACGCATACGAAAGTTTACTATTTGCGAGATTCGCTCGTGATTATCGAGGCATTTTACTTAATTTTTGGTATTTTTCGTTGTGATGGATCATAATCAATAAATATAACCACCGTATCTACATATTTGTTTCTTCCTTTTTTCGAGAGAAGCAATAATCTTCTTCTTCTTCTTCTTCTAATAGTAGAAACAAAGTCAACTACTGATAAAATGGAAATCACGAGTACTATTCGTTGCAGTTGTCTTTCTCTCATTCGCTATATCGAAAATGGTTATGTCGTCTGCGCAAATTTTGCACTTCCTGCTTTATCTTGCCATTGACAAAGGTTTTGTAAAATAATTTCATTTTGTTGTACTTTATCTTTTCACTTAGATTATTTCCGAGCTCAAACCACACAACTATCAGATCATTTATGTTCTAATGCAAATGTTGATGTCACATTTACATTATCTACGTCAAGGCATTCTGCATATGATTTGTCATCAAATTGTTCTCTACAAAAATGTAACGTCTTCTATAGTATCAGTGGGACTTGCCATTCGTCATCGACGCCGTATTTTGCCTATCTTTTAGTAGATAATAATAATACGTATTATACTCCTGGTATTCTTTGTTCTGAGGTAGATCCATGCGATCACGTTACACATACATGTACCTCGATGGAATCGGTACGTGTTGTTCATCGCATAACATATGTTTGCCATCGACGGTAACAAACTTCTGTAAAAAGGTAATGCTAAGTTTGTATTCTGAATGTATCGACATAATTTCGCTGCTTTGTTTCGGGATGGCATAGCACTGGAAACATGACTTTTGCACTAGTTGATTTCACCGCCCCTGTATTAACTAATGGAAAAGTATTAATGATCGGTGGGTATAAGAATAGTGCTGAAGTGCACGATTCATTTGCAGGAATATGGGCATCTCTCCTGGTAGTATGAGCGTAGTACGGTACATGTTTACATCAACCCTATTAAATAGTGGGAAAGTATTTGTCTCTGGTGATTATGATAGTACGGCTGAATTATATGATCCATCTACAGAAGCGTGGACAAGTAGGGGTAACATGACTATGGCACGATGTAGGCATACATCAACTTTGCTAAACAATGACTGGTGCCATTAGTTATCAAATAAGTTACCACGCTGCATGTTTGTTATTCAACGGAAAAGTGCTGAATTGTATGATCCATCGACAGGAGTTTGGACGCCCGTTGAGAATATGGTGTATGCACGCCGTAGCCACGGAACGTTTGTGTTGTCAAATGGGGAACTGCTGATGAGTGGTGGACGAGGTGACAGTGAAAGTATGTTGAATAGTGCTGAATTATGTTATTTAGATTGAAAAAATTGTTCTTGGTGCGACAACAGTTTAATTAGCTTGATATCCACAAACTAGATCTTCGTAGATATCATCCACCGCTTTAAAATGAAAAACTACTCTTTTATCCTCTACTCTGCTAGTTGTAAGTTCGTTTACGATTGAGAAAAAGTCTCAAGAGAAAATTCTTAATCAAATTTGACGTGATAGACCGTCGGAGTAAGCTTGTCTATTCGCGTGCTTCTCGCCTTATCTATTCAACGAAGTCAAAACCCTTCGAAACATTTCATATCAAACTTGGGTGTATTATAAGAATGGTCGAAGATTCATTAATATTTCTTGGAAGCTTTGTGAAGAAAGTACGAAGAACAAAACGAGACATATAATTATGTGCCAGTATATATTTCACCGCGTCCAAAAATAATAACACTGTTCAATGACTGTCATAGCCTTTGCTGGTTGTGACATCAATGTAATTCGTGTTTATATTATATCCTATGTATCTCTAAATTAGACAACTAAACACAGGCGAACGCACAGTTCAATAAATAATAGATCTCCCTGAATTTCAGACTTATGGTACATACGGTTAAAAAGCTTGAACTTCAAAGCGATGGTCACTAGGCAGAATTGAAATATTCTCGGAAGATTTCACCAAGCATCTATAGATTTCAGAGAATCAAATGCACACAATGATATCAGTATTATGAAACATCAGAATATTATTATAATCTGGTTGACCAATGATACACATCATAACGATCCAGACCTCCAGAATATAATAATTGTACAACTTCAACATATTGTCAGCGACGTCCATATATTTAATGATAATGATCAATGTATCGAGTTTATTGTAAGTATTACTGACAGCAAAGTGTGTCTGACCACTTCAGGATCACTTGGATCGTACATAGTACCATCTATTCACGATATTTCTCAAATTGGTTTATTTTTTATCATTTGTAACGACAAGGACCAATCTGTGCAGTGGACAAGACGTGTTCTAAAATCATCAGTGTTTCTGATGACATACCAAGCATCTACGAAGAGTTAAAGCTAATAATACGTCAATGTGGGCAAAATACTCTACCCATGAGCTTTGTGTCACCAGGAAAAAATCTAAATTAGTTAGATCCATTATTTATGTACACACGGATTATCAAAGAAGTATTATTAACTGCTGAATTCCATAGTATACACATAAGAGAATTCGTTAAGTAATTCATCAACAAAACCATGTGACGAGTCGTACGAAAGAAAAGTGTAATAAATTGAGTTGAGACGTAATCTACCGACACCCTCATGAAAGAGTAAATTATGAAAGTCAGATCATTTCAGACAATCAATTTAGCTTTAATGCAACAGTCTTGACTAGAAAAGGCCATTTGAATATTCGCGGCATACTTGTACTGACTAAAAGTCATATGGGGTAGTTTTCGTATGAAACTAGTAATTCTACACCAATACACTCTGTCATTCACTTCTGATTGTTATGGTGATGGTTCATCTTAGAATTTAGTTTTGTATTGATGCATTCATTTGTCATAAGTGTTTCTTTACTGAAGTCGATAAGAAGAGACCAATGAAATTTCAAGGGAAATATCATTTATTTGAGGACAAATATGTGCAAATTAGAACGGTGTTTTTTTTCTCTATGAAGGAATGCACGCTGTACGGAAATCAACATTAGCATTTATCAAAAGCTTTTTCTAACTATGATTTTATGAACATACACGTTAGATTTGTATTTATCAGTAGTCAATATTCTTTCCATTTATTCTGTATTTCCTAATCACATTATGTATTTTGTCACCTGCGCAGCATTTTTATCTGATAATAAATTTATACATCCCTTATGAGATTAATTTCTCAGTTGTGACGATAGAGACTCGGCTACAACAATCTACTATTTCATATTTCTAAATAATGAAAGCAACCACTAAAAGACCGACAAGTAGAATCAAACGATTACACAACTATGTTCTAAAACTAAACATCTATGGTGATGAAAGTGATTCAACACTCATTGATCAATTATTATCGACACGAATATTCCTCCTTCTCTTATTCCTCCTTCTGCTTCTTATTATAGTTTATATCATTCTTAGTGTTCAAACTCATTCGGTGACTATTCAGTCTCCTTCGGAATCCACTTTCACACAACTGTCTCAACAGTATCCAAGCACACTCTCATGCCCATGTTTACACACATCTATTCGACATGATCGGTTCCTCTCGCTCAATCCTCTGTATCATCCCATTTGTACAAGTCGATTAGTTAATCAATCATTTATTTCATTATTATCTTCTGCGAATGTGAGTGAGTATCACAGCAAAGATTATCGAAAAATGGCAACATCTCATTTTCAAATTCTTGGTTTACTTTGTCGAACAGTTCGACAAATGATTGATGATTCTTTGAGTGAACTCCTCTCACAACATTTCACTACTTCAGAAGTTGTCTCAAACGAAACATTCAATGCTCAGATGAATCATCTTGTAGAACAATTGAAAACAACAAATATTGCCAATATAAAATATATAAGCGATTTTTTGTGGTTGAACATGTTCTACAATGCAATTTTATCGGGATTGAAAACAAACTTTTACCTTAAATACTCAAATGCTGGCACTATGGACTACAATTTTTATTCTTATTTTGATTTTTCAAATGCAAAATGCGATTGTCATCGATCTATTGATTGCACTGCACAAGCTGCAATCACAAAGTTAGTACCGTCTAATGCAACTGTAAATCCAACGACAGCTGCGCAGAATCCAGTCAAACTCTTTAGCATATCTGGCCTAAGAGTTGGTTGTCTGCCATACAGCTCATTACTTCAATCAACTCTTGAATGTTTCTTCAAACAGTCATGCATTGACCGAATTCAAAAGTACCTGCCTGCATTAGCCTTCGTCTCTCCGCTCTCTGTTCACTCTCGTTTCCATCAAAAGGCAACCGTCAAGCATCTTCTCGATCAACTCTTCATCGAATCATGGAACCAAATCAACAATTTCACTGCTTATTTTCAGAGTTGTTCTCCTCACTCATGCACATATTCATATGATCAACGATTCAATATTCTTTATGTCATTGTCAAACTCATTGGCATTTTTGGTGGCTTGAAGATGGTGTTGAAGTTCTCTGCTCCACTCATTGTGAAACTTATTCGACGTGTTCAAACGTGTCGATGCATTTCTGAGGCAATAGACAAAAATGAAATACCTGTTCAACAAAGTGAGCTATTTCTTTTCATACCAATATTCATTTTTTATTTTACATGAAATAGGTGTAGAGCAGTATCTTGTATCTCTTGTACAGAAAATAAAAACAAAACTGAAGACACTGAATCTGTTTCCATTGTTATCTGATGAAACAGACGGATTGTATTCGACACGACTCTACATNTAGTGGTTCACATGCTTCAACAAGGGATACAAGAGGCTCTTCAGCATATCCAGCAATAGGATTTACTGGCTCCATTTCTACAATTGATACGTCTTTCGGACTATCTTCGGTTGCTTTTTTATTGGGGTCTGCATCTGGTTCATCGACAAGCGCTCGTTGTCCTCGAATTGGTGGTGCTTGAATCTGATCTCTTTGTTCATCAACAAGTTTATCAGATGAAACGGGTCGATCTCTATTTCGTGAATATCGATGGAAGTCATTTGATTGATCATCAAGTTCAGCTGCTGTTAACATCGTTTGTACTCGAGCATTTTTACTTTTGACATGTCGTCGAGGATGATCGTTTTCGTCTGGTGTGAATGAAGTTTGGATACGAGCATTTTTCGTTGTTATACCTTGTCGATATAAGATTATTTCATCATCAGGTGAACCTTCTAAGTACGGAGAGATTTTTGATCTATGTCTACCGTCTAAACGATCCATTGAATTACTGATACTGAAAAAGAAAAGAGAGATAGATAAAGAAGAAAATAGTGCGGCATGTATGGAACATGTCAATTCAAGCGTATAAAATAAATGATTATGTTTATTTACCTTCCGATACGCTAAATGATCAAAGTACGTCATGCTTTTTTCTGTAATTACAAAGTATATAACGAAAAATGCCTTTTCTTCTCTTATCTACTCACTAATCTCACGAAGATAGATAAGTAACACAATAAAATCTTGTTTTTTTTAATTTTTCTCTATGTGTTTTTGTACATATGCATAGCTATTTCTTTTTACTTTTCGTGGAGAAAATTGGTGATGTGACACCTGTTACATTTAACCAACGATCCGTCCTATTGCCCATAAACATGTCAATAATTATAATAGCAACAGGTATTTTACACACGTGTTTCTTTCCAATCTTACTGTTTTATACAATTTTGTCTTTTTTTCTGTATCTTTTTTTATCAGTAATCAAGCATGACGATGTCAACTGGAAACAGAACGAGCGATGGTTTAGGTTCTTTTGTAACACCATTCTAAAATCTTCGACGGATGGGAAAGAAACTATTCCCCCGAATGATATTATATCTGAACGATTAAAGCTCTAACAGATGATGATGAGATAAAGGCGAACGTTCGCATTGTAGAATACGTTTGATTGATTTGCTAATCTCACTGTGAGTTCTCTTCATGTTTAAACATCGTTATTACAATACGTTCGGTTTAATTAAACTTTCGTGTGATCCATTTTAAGACAACGTTTGCATATGGATATGCGGCAGTTACTAAATCTAGTAACACGAAACGTTATTTCAGTATTATATACAAGAACACCAATCGATATGAAACATAACAGAAGTATGTTTTACTAATAGAATAGATGAGCTTTTCATCGTGCAAAAGCATTTGAATAGAGGCGCCTGAAATACGGCAATGCCTTCGTCTAACAACAATGAATCTGCGATTGTTCAGTTGAAGCATACTTATAATAAAGTGTAAAAAGTTCATCAACGTTAAAAATTGAACTGTAGTATTAGTTAGAGTCAATTTTCAGCTTCGTAATTGATTCTTGCTGTTCGACAAGTAGCTTGATGCAAATCTCGCACGGCAAACAACGCTTGTTAACAACGTATACGAAAGTTTACTATTTGCGAGATTCGCTCGTGATTATCGAGACATTCTACTTAATTTTTAGTATTTTTCGTTGCGATGGATCATAATCAATAAAGATAACAAGCTTACCATTACCTACATATTTATTTCTTCCTTTTTTTCAAGAGAGGCAATAATCTTCTTCCCCTGATAGTAGAAACAAAGTCAACTACAAAATATACTTGAGTAAACTGTTGACGCCGTGTTTTGCCTATTATTCAGAAGATAATAATACGTATTATGCTCCTGGTATTCTTTGTTCTGAAATAGAACCATGCGATCACGTTACACATACATGTACATCAACGGGATCGATATGTGTTGTTGACTCGTGTTGTTCATCGCATGCCATATGTTTGCCATTGGTGGTAACAAGCTTCTGTAAAAAAGGTAATGCTAAGTCTGTATTCAGAGCGTATCGACATGCTTTCGCTGCTTTGTTTCAGGATAGCATAGCACTGGAAACATGACTTTTGCGCGAGTTGATTTCGCCGCCTCTCTATTAACTAATGGAAAAATATTAATGATCGGTGGGTATAAGAAGAGTGCTGAAGTATACGATCCATTTACAGGAATATGGGCATCTACTGGTAGTATGAGCGTAGTACGGTACATGTTTGCATCAACCCTGTTAGATAATAGGAAAGTATTTGTCTCTGGTGGTTATGATAGCACGGCTGAATTATATGATCCATCTACAGAAGCGTGGACAAGTACGGGTAACATGACTATGGCGCGATGTAGGCATACATCAACTTCGCTGAACAATGGCAAAGTTTTGGTGACTGGTGGTACTGTAGATGCTATTAGATGTAATGGTAATTGGTCGACTAGTGCAGAATTATACGATCTACTAACAGGAACATGGACCAGTACAAATAGTACGAATCATCTACGGCATAGCCATATAGCAATCGCATTTAGAACCGGTCAAATATTGGTCACTGGTGGATCGTTTCCAACTAACGCTGAGTTATATAATCTGTTGACACAGGTCTGGACAATGACTGGTGCTATTAGTTATCAAATAAGTTACCACGTTGCATGTTTGTGATTCAACGGAAAAGTGCTGATTAGCGATGGATTCGATAGTCGTACTGTTCGCAATAGTGCTGAATTGTATGATCCATCGACAAGTGTCTGGACTGAAACCGGTATATTAAGTACTCGTCGTATTAAGCAATGGTAAAGTGTTAGCAAACGGTGGATGCAGTAATATTAACCTAAATAGTGCTGAAATATATGACCCATCGACAGGAGTTTGGACGCCCGTTGAGAATATGGCGTATGCACGTCGTAGCCACGCAACATTTGTGTTGTCAAATGGGGAACTGCTGGTGAGTGGTGGACGAGGTGACAGTGAAAGTATGTTGAATAGTGCTGCATTATTTTACTACTCTGAAATAAATTGATCAGTATTTATTGCATTCTCAATACTATAAATATAAATTTGACTATAAATATTATTTAGTTTGAAAAAAATTGTCCTTGGAGCGACAACAGTTTAATTAGCTTGATACCCCCAAACTAGATCTTCGTAGACATCATCCACGGCTTTCAAACGAAAAACTACTCTTGTATCTTCTACTCTGCTAGTTGTAAGTTCGTTTACGATTGAGAAAAAGTCTCAACAAAAAATTCTTAATCAAATTCGGCATGATAGGCCGTCGGAGTAAGTTTGTCTATTCGGGAGCTTATCGCCTTATCTATTCAACGAAGTCAAAACTCTTCGAAACATTTCATATCAAACTTGGGTGTATTATAAGAATGGTCAGAGATGCATTAATATTTCTTCGAAGCTTTGTGAAAAAAGTACGAAGAACAAAACGAGACATATTCATTTCTTATGTATGTTGCGGCATAACACGAAAATAATTCAACTAGCATGGCTCTTTCTTCTCAGCTTGTGCTTAACCGTTCTTGGATCTCGATTAATGATTATATGATTTCTTTGAATGAAAGCTTCGACTCGAGTCGTTTTGTATTGTAATAGGTAAAAATGACAAACACTCTAGTGAGTACGTTTGACTTTACCTTGATGTAATCTTATCGGATTTATTAATCGTTATATTTATCAAATCTTTGCTGAAGACAAACTGATAATGTTAGATGACGACAGTAGTGTTCGTTAATCGAAATACACCTTGAATCCACTCTAATTCTTTCGCATTAAACTTATTTTCTTGAATGTATATTGCTTTCAAACCTTGAATTGAGTAGATCGAATCAGGTAATGTTGTCAGCAGATTATTAGACAAATACAAATGTTCAAGTCTGATAATTTTTGACAATGCAACACTGGAAATAGATGTAATTCTGTTGTTATTAAGTGAAAACAAAGTACTGTTGACTGATGTAATTGTTTCGAGACCGTCCAGAGATGTCAGTTGATTGTTATTCAATTCAATAGTACGCAAATTTGGAATGTTATTCGGTATATGATTGATTATGCAGTTCGACGCTCGCAGAGTATTGAGTGATATTGATCCAGCAAGTACATCGAGCGAAGAAAGACGACTGTTGTTATTGATTGATAGCGTTGTGAGAGACGGTAATTTATTCAAACTCCATGGAAGACTAACGAGAAGATTTTCATCGAGAGTCAATTGATTGAGCGAACTCAATCTTCCGACATCTTCTGATAGTGCTTCTAAACCACAATTGACGATCGACAATGTTGATAAACGACTCAAATTGTATAACTCAGCTGGAAGAGGAGCTGATCGAGAAACTTGCGACATCGTCAAAGACTGCAGCGATGCAGAAAGACGATCAATTTCCGATGGAATTGCTACAGTAGGAGAATCAAAAATCGAAAGTTCTTGTAAATTACTCAAGCAAAACAGCCCAGGAGGAATGCTCGGAATATTCACTAGAGTCAAGTTGATTACACGACGATTCGTATCGACAGTAGCATAGCTAAACTTTGGTGGTGATGGTAGAGGTTGCAAAGGATTGATAGAGACAGAAAATGGAAAAGATTGAATGATTTGTTTGTCTGATGTGTAAACAGTGCCATTTATTGTGCAGTTCTGTTGCGGTGGAACTCCTGCAGAACAAAAGCACACATAAGTGTTCTGGCTCGATAAAATCATCAAAATGTAGTTTATTAAATATAGAAACAAAATATTCCTATAGTGAAATATTGGAGCTGTTCAATATTAGACCCTGTTAAAGGATAGGAGATTTGTTTACCTTTACATCCATCCCAACAAGCACATTTGTTAATCAAACGGAATTTGTAAAAGTTTATTGGACCTTCTCCTAGCACGTCTAACTGATTGGTTTCATCAGTTGCACACATTAATTGAATGGAAGCTTGCTTTCCATCATAAGTATATGTAATAGACGGAATTGTGCCCAAACCACTGCCTGGATTCCACTCAGCGCTATCTTGCTTGCCAAGAATAAACGTAAACTGTTTATCCTTTGAAACTAAATACGAAAGATATGAAGAGAAACTATACGATATTACAAACTTTGACAAACAGCTACGTTATTGCAAGTTGCACCTTCGGAGAACGGCTTGCATGGATTATAACTGTATACTAAGATCCAATAACACACAAAAAATATATATATACAGAGTGGAAGGTTTAGCATACAGTAATTAGATCCCGTAGGTGGGTATTCATCAGGATATGCAGGTGTTCCGTCAATTCTACCTAAAGATGATAGATCAATAGTACCTTTTGTATGTTCAAATCGGCATGGATCTTCAGCAGTAATCAATGCAGATAGAACAACAAAAAGGCTTATAAAAGTTTTGAGCCGAAACATCGTTCTTTTTTGAAACTAAATGTCAATTAAAATGCAGTTATATGTCCACCAATATTGAATAACACTTGTTATTGGAGTCGATAAAAAATACTTTTATCAATCTCTTCGTAGCCTTTCTTATAACAAAAACAAATATTTATACAGACAAAGCCATTTGTTTGGTTTTCTCTTACAGAAAATATTAACCTTTCCAACACTTATAATTTTAAAAGATAAAAGGAAAGTGTATTCTTGTGTATAAGATTTATCTACCACAGCGCAACGAATTGCCTGCAACCGGTGGTACTGTATCGAATGTAACTGAACAAGAGTACGCTTGACGTACAGATAAGGACATGAATTAGAAAGAAAGGGTTCTAGACATTGAAAGAACGGCTTTGGCAAACATTTCATCTCGGACTATTGACAATAGGCGTAAGAACAATGATACGTAGATAAAAAAAAAAGTATTTTGGGAATATTTCAACGATTCACTTCAACGTATCAATGTTGTGCACGTCGAACGATTGTCAAAACACAATGGAGTTGAAAAATATTTTTGGTAGTTGTTGCAATATTTGTTTTTCTTGTGAAAGAACTCGCGGATGAGTAAGTGATTTGTATTTTGATTACCAACCGAAAAGTAAAGAAAAGCTTTTTGTCATGGTAAAGAACAATAATGCATTTTGTCACAGTACGACGTAGAAAGTAATTCTTTTTTCTTTCTTTATGTGATTTTTTGAATGAATCAAACATGCCGAATGAAAATCAATTTCAAATAGAATATTTTATCAATAAAATCTGCTCTTGCGAACAGGTTTCGCCTGAATTGATCGTCAAGACGCAATCGTAAGTTCGCTCCATTCATCACTAATTCGAATTCTTTTCTTCTTCTAGGATCATATCCGATCCTGAGTACATAACGACATGCCTTGAAAGCACTTTGAATGATTTATCCGAAGTAAAATCTTCTTTTACTTACATCACCTTCAAATTTTTCTCGTTTTAGAATGCTCGACTGATGTCCGATGTTGATCTATTGGTTTTCTATATAAAACATTGGAAAAACTATCGGCTCATGTGTGATGCATTGTATACGAGTTGTTTATCGTTAAATTTACAACGTATTCAGTATAACTTCAGTCAGGAAGAAAAGCAAATCGAAAATATCAGTGTGGTATGTTCACATTTTTCTTTCAAATAGAGATTTATGTCCGTATTTGCTAGACTTCGCAACGTTTATGGGAAACGATTTTGATCAAATCGCTATTCTCCCGTGTGACAAAAGCGTGTTTAAATGCAATCGATGAACATCGGAATAATCGATTAAATCTCGATCCGAATATCATCAAAGATGTTCTCAATATTTATTGTAACAGACAAATCTTTTTTTTTCCTTTTGACAAACGAACTTTTTTTTGTTCGCGTTTTAGCTGATGAAAATTTATACATATTAATCAAACAAGACAAGATCAATCGAACGATCACTGACATCTACATTGATTGCTTCGAAAGCCAATACCTTCAAAATGCACAAAAATTCTTCACCGATCGAAAAAATCATTTACGAACAGATGAATTAATCGAATATCTCATATCGGTAAGTATAACCATTCGGAACATATTTTCTGTAAGAAAGTCGCATCTTAGATATCGAATTATCTTCACAATGAATTGACATTTGCTAAACGTTATCTACCAGCAGAAAGATCGACATATAGCGATTTAACTGATATATTAGAGCATTTGTTTTTCTTCGGAAATATTTTTCATAATGTCTGGAACGACTTAGAGTTACTCGTCGAACAAGAAAATTATTTTCAAAGTAAATCAACGATTTTTCGATTGATTCGATTGAAACATTTTCTTGGATTCAGTTGCGAATTTTTACAAAGCGATCAATCAAGTGCCGAGGATCAAAAATGTGGTTGTAGAATTGATTGAAACGGAGTTTTATCACAGTGGTCGCAGAACTTTTCGATCAGTGGATAAAGATGCCATGGAGGTAAATTGACCTTCATTGTCTATGAAGTCAAAGTACGATCCACGATTTCTTTTCAGGACCNACTAACGAGAAGATTTTCATCGAGAGTCAATTGATTGAGCGAACTCAATCTTCCGACATCTTCTGATAGTGCTTCTAAACCACAATTGACGATCGACAATGTTGATAAACGACTCAAATTGAATAACTCAGCTGGAAGAGGAGCTGATCGAGAAACTTGCGACATCGTCAAAGACTGCAGCGATGTAGAAAGACGACCAATTTCCGATGGAATTGTTACGGAAGGAGAGTCAAAAATCGAAAGTTCTTGTAAATTACCCAAGCAAAACAGCCCAGGAGGAATGCTAGGAATATTCACTAGAGTCAAGTTGATTACACGACGATTCGTATCGACAGTAGCATAGCTAAACTTTGGTGGTGATGGTAGAGATTGCGAAGGATTGATAGAGACAGGAAATGGAAAAGATTGAATGATTTGTTTGTCTGATGTGTAAACAGTGCCATTTATTGTGCAGTTCTGTTGCGGTGGAACTCCTGCAGAACAAAAGCACACATAAGTGTTATGACTCGTTAAAGTCATCAAGATGTAGTGTATTAAATATAGAAACAAAATATTCGTAGTGAAATATTGGAGCTATTAAAGGATAAGAGATTTGTTTACCTTTACATCCATCCCAACAAGCACATTTGTTAATCAAACGGAATTTGTAAAAGTTTGTTGGACCTTCTCCTAGCACCTCTAACTGATTGGTTTCATCAGTTGCACACATTAATTGAATGGAAGCTTGCTTTGTATCATAAGTATATGTAATAGACGGATTTGTGCCCAAACCACGGCCTGGATTCCACTCAGCGCTCTCTTGCTTGCCAAGAATAAACGTAAACTGTTTATCCTTTGAAACTAAACACGAAAAATATGAAGCGAAACTATACGATATTACGAACTTTGACAAACAGCTACGTTATTGCAAGTTGCACCTTCGGAGAACGGCTTGCATGGATTATAACTATATACTAAGATCCAATAACACAAAAAAAATATATATATATATATACAGAGTGGAAGGTTTAGCATACGGTAATTAGATCCCACAGGTGGGTATTCATCAGGATATGCAGGTTTTCCGTCAATTCTACCTAAAGATGATAGATCAATAGTACCTTTTGTATGTTCAAATCGGCATGGATCTTCAGCAGTAATCAATGCAGATAGAACAACGAAAAGGCTTATAAAAGTTTTGAGCCGAAACATCGTTCTTTTCTGAAACTAAATGTCAATTAAAATGCAGTTATATGTGCACCAATATTGAATAACGCTTTTTATCGGAGTCGATAAAAAAACCTTTTATCAATCTCTTCGTAGACTTTCTTATAATAAAAACAAATATTTATACAGATAAAGACACGAACTAAAAAAAAAGTATTTTGGGAATATTTCAACGATTCACTTCAACGTATCAATGTTGTGCACATCGAACGATTGTCAAAACACAATGGAGTTGAAAAATATTTTTGGTAGTTGTTGCAACCTTTGTTTTTCTTGTGAAAGAACTCGCGGATGAGTAAGTGATTTGTATTTTGATTACCAACCGAAAGTAAAGAAAAGCTTTTGTCATGGTAAAGAACAATAATACATTTTGTAACAGTACGACGTAGAAAGTAATTCTTTTTTCTTTCTTTATTTGATTTTTTGAATGAATCAAACATGTCGAATGAAAATCAATTTCAAATACAATATTTTATCAATCAAATCTGCTCTTGTGAACAGGTTTCGCCAAAATTGATCGTCAAGACGCAATCGTAAGTTCGCTCCGTTCATCGCTAATTCGAATTTTTTTCTTCTTCTTCTTCTTCTAGGATCATATCCGATCCTGAGTACGTAAAGGCGTGCCTTGAAAGCACTTTGAATGATTTATCCGAAGTAAAAAACTTCTTTTGCTTACATTACCTTCAAATTTTTCTCGTTTTAGAATGCTCAACTGATGTCCGATGTTGATCTACTGGTTTTCTATATAAAACATTGGAAAAACTATCGGCTCATGTGTGATGCATTGTATGCGAGTTGTTTATCGTTAAATTTACGACGTATTCAGTATAACTACAGTCAGGAAGAAAAACAAATCGAAAACATCAGTGTGGTATGTTCACAATTTTTCTTTCAAATAGAGATTTATGTCCGTATTTGCTAGACTTCGCAACGCATATGGGAAAAAATTTTGATCAAATCGTTATTCTCCCGTGTGACAAAAGCGTGTTTGAATGCAATCGATGAACATCGGAATAATCGATTAAATCTCGATCCGAATATCATCAATGATGTTCTCAATATTTATTGTAACAGACAAACTTTTTCCTTTTGACAAACGAACTTTTGTTCGCGTTTTAGCTGATGAAAATTTATACAAATTAATCAAACAAGACAAGATCAACCGAACGATCACTGACATCTACATCGATTGCTTCGAAAGTCAATACCTTCAAAATGCACAAAAGTTCTTCTCCGATCGAAAAAACCACTTACGAGCAGGTGAAATAATCGAATATCTCATATCGGTAAGTATAACTATTCGGAACATATTTTTCTGTAAGAAAGTCGTATTTTAGATATCGAATTATCTTCACAATGAATTGACATTTGCCAGACGTTATCTACCAGAAGAAAGATCCACATTTAGCGATTTAACTGATATATTAGAACATTTGTTCTTCTTCGGAAATATTTTCCATAATGTATGGAACGATTTGGAGTTACTCGCCGAACAAGAAAATCATTTTCAAAGTAAATCAACGCGTTTGCCATTGATTCGATTGAAACATTTTCTTGGATTCAGTTGCGAATTTTTACAAAGCGATCAATCAAGTGCCGAGGATCAAAAATGTGGTTGTAGAATTGATTGAAACGGAGTTTTATCACAGTGGTCGCAGAACTTTTCGATCAGTNTTTTTCATAATGTCTGGAACGACTTAGAGTTACTCGTCGAACAAGAAAATTATTTTCAAAGTAAATCAACGATTTTTCGATTGATTCGATTGAAACATTTTCTTGGATTCAGTTGCGAATTTTTACAAAGCGATCAATCAAGTGCCGAGGATCAAAAATGTGGTTGTAGAATTGATTGAAACGGAGTTTTATCACAGTGGTCGCAGAACTTTTCGATCAGTGGATAAAGATGCCATGGAGGTAAATTGACCTTCATTGTCTATGAAGTCAAAGTACGATCCACGATTTCTTTTCAGGACCCGAAAGTTTATCTCGACACAATGATAAACATTCGCATGAAATTGGCAAAATTTATGCAAGATGATTTAAATAATGAACTTGGACTGAAAAATATCTTCGATAAAGTAATGAAATTTTCCGAAAACAGTTCGTTTCGTGTAGCCAATCAACTAGGTTTGTCTGCAACTGATGCGTACAAATGTTCTGAAGCCAATAGGAAAGAAATTATCTGAATCATTATGTGAATATTTGGATGTACTGTTGAGAAAAGAGTATGTGAGAGTAACATCTATATTTGAAGAGTAATACTCATGCTTTTTTTTCGTAGCATTCGAACGTTAGAAAAAGCGAATTTGACAGAAAAACTAAATGAATCGACGGTAATCGCGTATTTATCATAAATAAGGCAATAATATAGTTGATGATTGCTAGATATTTTATGATTACATCGAAGACATCGATACATTTGAAAATCTATATCAAAAGCGATTGATGCAACGCTTGTTTCGACAACTGAGTATCTCAATTGAACTTGAATTACTTTTAATAACAAATTTACAGGTACAAACTCTAGTTGTCACTTTCACTCTGACCTTGTACTTCTTTTCCAAAGGAAATCTGCGAACATGAATCAACGAAGAAATTTAGACAAATGTGCAAAGATATTTCCAACAGTGACAGACTGAATATGTACTATGGAAAGTATCCCGAATCTGGTATGATCTATTGAAAAACAAAAGCGCATTTCTAACATGATTTTTCGTTTTAGAAAAGATTTTCGTAACGATTCTCAGTTCAACAGTCTGGCCGTTTTCGCCTCCAGATGAAATTCTTCTCCCACACGAAGTAAAATTGTTTACATAGGATGTATTCCGACGACTCTTCTCGTTTCTTTTCTAGTTAAAAATCAGCTACGATCACTTTTCCAAGTGTTTTACCAACTATTCCAAACGAAAAGTTCTCATTTTACTTCCTCAATATTCACATGGCGAATTGGAAGTTTGTTTTAACTCACTCAAATACATTTTCCAAGTTTCTCTCTATCAAATGCTTGTTCTATTGTTATTCAACGCCAATGCGACTATCACGATCAAACAAATACAAACTGAAACACAAATGTCGCTCAACGTTATACACGACGTGCTCTGCAATTTATCGGAAAAGAAAATCATTGTTTGTGATGAGTTCGAGAATTTAAATCGTCAGAAATCGTCCATTCGATTAACCAAAGATTTTCAAAACACGAAAATGCACGTGAAATTATGCGCGCCATTTAATTGTACTGAAGCAACGAAGAACAACGATAAGAAATTTGCGATTCAGGCAGTCATCATTCAAATCATGAAAACGAAAGAAACGTTATTTATCGAGTCATTAATTGATGAAGTAATGACCGAAATGAATCAACCGAATGAAAATATTATTCGAGTATACCTTCAAAGTGAAAAATTAAGAAATTGTTTTGAATATATTTGTTTCTCATTTAGAATTGCATTGATCGATTGATCGAACAGGAATATTTAGAACGCGATTCAAGACGAAGTAACCTTCTACATTATTTATTGTGAAAAGAAAATATAAAGTTTATACTCTTTCACTTTCACTCGAAATATATCCATTGTTGTTTTGTTTTGAACTAAGATTGTTCTTTTTATTGAACATTTCTGCGACTAATGCCCGGTACGTCGCATCTTTTTCCTCCATCTTTTTGCGATGTCGCATCGGTACGCACAAGAACCACGTGACAATAAAAACATGCAAGACAATAAACAAACCGACTAACACATAGAACGCTCCATGGTCTAAATAGGCCAGTGACATATCACTCGTCACACGGTAATCAGGAGTACGTGTCCATGCGAGTACACTGATAATGGCGTGCCAAAACGAATGAAGAACTAGATTTGTTATACATATAATTGCATATTTATCCAAGGATGTTAAATATGACACAGTTGGCTAACAAAGAAAGTTGATCATGAGGATTTTTGTGTTCGAAGAAAGACTTACAAGTGATCGATTGACTGTCCAACGGAAAGTGATTGATGTGAGAAGAAGTGTACAGGATACCTGAAGTCGATTGATAGCAACTCTAAAACGAACAATGAATTTCTTCAAAATAAAGTTAATGTACAAAAAACCTACTGCATTGGCATTCCAAATGTACAGAAAGACACAGAAGTAATTAATAGAATAAGAAAATAACCATTCCAATAGAAATATTCGGATTGACGTGCTGAAACAGAATTCGATATAATTTAGATGGAGAAAGTGTACTCTACATACCAGCATGGCACGTGACTGTCAAAGTCGAACGTTTTGGTTCTTCTTTGTTCATTTGATATTTCATGTGTTGTTCATCATCATCATTCGCATCGGTAAGAAAAAGAAAATCTTTTACAAACCGCTCTTCGGCATCAACATGTTCGTACAAAGACCATTCTTGTTGATCAACAAACGCCTCGCGATTCACTCCACTTAGATTATATGGATCGGGATGTAGCATAACTTTATCTTGATACAACATCGAAGTAACTGAGATGGATAAATCTTGAACATCATTTGGAAAATGATGTAATTCTAATTTCTCCCAGAATAAACCTTTGATAATTCGATGTTCACACACATAAATATGATTATCGTGAGCATTTCGTTTCGCACTGTATTTGATTTGTTCTTTTAAATCGCCCAGACTGTTTTCAATAAAAAGTTGTGGATGCCAATGAGAATCGGCATATTTCTCAAGAATGATTGTTTTGCCATTCATTAGACGATTTCGATCGTCGACCGAAATAATCGCGAGTAATGCATTTGATTCAACTGTCCAACGAGATTCAATCGAAGCGTGTGCTTGATACTTTTCATTTAATGTATCGATTTCACCTATAGATACATGGTAATACATTGAAAAGGTCTTTTCAAATAATTACCTATCCGAAGAAACACTAGACGAATGAAAACAGGAATGGCTTTCTCATTTTGCATTCCCGATGACAATGGATTGATATCAATAGCTGTTTGTTTCATAACTACAAAGCAAATCGAAATCAATTGATTATCAATGAAATACGAGAGCGGTGTGTGTATGATACCTGCTGAAGACATAATTTCAAATTGTTCAAACAAATTGAAATAGACGACTTTCTTATATACGACAAAAAAAAACAAGTATATTCACATTACTTATGCAAGAAAAGCGTGACAATTACACGACAAAATGATCGAAGGAAATCAAATTTTTTTTCACAATTTCAGCAAGTGTATCAGAGCAATGTATTTCTAACAGGTAATCGAAAACAAATCAAAAATCAGTAATTATGTGCCTATGATGAAATGAAGTGGGTTGAAGGTAGGATGTCATCCTGGCTTCTTTTCTCGCTAATCATCAGATGTCTCATGGCTTACGCTTGATATACTTGAAAATATCGATTCATCTCAGTTTAATTAACGTCTACCCTCCTCCATATTTGTTTTCTTCTATTATGTAAACACGAAAATCAACTTGAGCCGTCATGTCTTTTCGAATATCTGATTTTACAAAGAAACATATTCGTCTGTCAACTTTAATATGTATCTTTTCTCCACTCTCATCCGTAAAGTATTTCTTTCGTCGTTAAAAATCAAAATTATAAGACAAAAAGTCAAACTTAGAATATGTTACAAATAATGAACGAATTCCTTCGCATGTTGATAAACGAATATTTGGTATTGACATGAAAGAAAGTATATAAGCAAATTACAGGCGATTATTTTAATGACGACCTGCGCATCTGTACGATGTTTTTTTGCGTTCTGACAGAACGTCGAAAGAAAAGAAGAAAAAATTCTCTCTTGAGCGCAGTCGTGTCACATTTGAAAACAAATCGAACGTTTTATTATTATTAATCTAACGAGGCAATCAACAGTTTGAATCGAAATTCTATGTAATGCTTCACAGTGACTATATACTTTGAGTTTCAATGATTTCGAAACGGACATTCTATCGGTGCTTCACGTGGAGACATCTGTTAATATTTGTTTTTGACTCATAATTATGAGTGAGTAACGCTTGACATACTGTGTCATTGAAAAATCACTTTTTTTTCCTGCTAGTGTGAGTTTAAATGCAACGTTCAGGATTTCTAATGCCATGTGTGCTCGAACTGTATAAAAAGTTTACTGCGACCTTGAAAAAGTGCTCTGATCTCTGCACTTTATTTAAAATGCTAGAAATCGATTGAAAAAAGGACATATGCACAGCAACAATTAGGTATTTATTGTAGATGCAAGTCGACGTTCGTCTTCAAGTCTCAGGTACGGTCCTCGATAAGTCAGTAACACCACCGCACTAATGACACAACAGCACAGGATAAACACCGAGGTGGGTGTGAAGACCAGTGGTGAGGTCGACAGAGGATCTAATTTAAGTAAAGCATCGAGAACGAAAATAAATACTCCGCCAAAAATATTCCCTAGACACATCAACATGCCAGTTGACCATTCAGCAGAAATCGGATATGTACATTCGACAGCACATTCAAATGCAACAGGTAACAATGGAAGTAAAAAGAAACCCATTAAACCGATAGAGACAGCTAAAGGGTAATATTGATTCGGTTGAAGGATCAAAACAAAGTAGAGACTCGACGCACATGCACCGATTAATAAAGCTTTCAATATGAAACGGTAAGCGTGTGTTCGGTCCATGATGATCCCAACTAAGAATGCGCTGGTTAACCCAGAGAGAATAATTACCGCACCGAAGATTCCGGCATCATCACTTGTATATCCAACTGGTTGAATAATTTGATAGAGCAATGCGACGAGTGCACTGAAAAGCGCTAAACCAAGGGAAAAACTAAAGAGAAGTATTAAATAATGACGATTCTTCAACAGATTGATAACATCTGTTCGAAGATTGATCTTGGTATGATGTTCTACGGATGACGATGGTGGCGTGGGCGGCTCCGATCGAAATAAGAATATAACGATTAATGCTACTAAGGCACTGAAACCAGCTTCAACGATTAAAAGAATGAAAAAATCTATTGATGTATATCCATTCGATACAATTAATGACGGTAAAAGTGATCCAACTGCCAAGCCTACAAATATTTGTTTTCGTAAAATTCAATCAAGAAATTTGTTTTGTGTTTACCTAATGGATTTGACATGGAAGAAATAGCTGTAGCTACATCGCGTTGTTTAGGTGGAAACCACCGTGCAGCAAATAAAGGAGTAATATTGATAAATAAGGGTGTAGCAATTGCAGGAAATATTTGACCGATAATTAATGCAGGATAACCATTGGATGGCGAAATTAACGAAAACAGGCGAATAAATGTACCGAGATTTAACAAACTCCCAATGAGAATAACCGTACGTACAGAGAGTACACGATATAACCAGAATGATAAAATTGTGCCAACAACGTAAAGAAACTGAAAGACGATTGCTAATACATTGACCTGAAGAGTTGTGAGATCATAGAACGTTGATGTTTGAGATTGTATTGGAGCAAATGTCATGTTGTGTATAGCATTGGTAAATGTTGCTAAAACAAATATGAATAGTTGAAACCATCGTGCACGATAAACACGATAGTTGATTGCTTCGAGTTCAGCCATCCTTTTCTCGTTACGCGTAGAGAAAAAGGGAGTCGAATCGTGTGTTTTACTATTTTTCTTTCTTTCGTTCTTTTTATTTTTGTGACATGTAATTATCGGCAACTGTGTGTTGCATGTTTTTGCATTTGTAAAAGTACATTCTGATGACAAAGTGAATCTAAACAAATAGGTCAATCCAATATTTACCCAGAATAATATCCTCCTACGTTTGTGTAATTTTAAATAGACTTATAAATGGAAAACTTTACACGTTTTTCTAGAAAGTCGACAGTCCAAACGACGGTACATCAAATTTTTCTCCCTGTCATTGGCTTCTTTTTGGATCTAGAGAAACATATACTATGAAAAGTTTGCTAATGGCATCTAAGAGATTGAATTTAATCAAGATCTGAAACATACACAAGTCGATAAGAGAGAAAAATGTTTTCTACTTTCATCTATCATCACATTACATGACAAAATTCTTCGTTCACTTTTAGATCGAACTCATGACATACTAACAGTAATGTAACAAGGTAGATCATCCTTTTGTTGGTTACATAAACACGGGCGCGTAGTTGACTGAGAAATTACCTAGAACAGAAAATGTTTGAATGACTTAAATAAGTTTGTGCCTGCTTATTGTTTAGATAATCAATCGACAAAGTAATAATTAATCTTTCCGTTTGACTTTCTGGTATATTTCTATTTCATGAGTGAACATCTCTTTGATTCGTTCGATTATTGCGTATATCCATGTCCACTTTGCAACATGCAACACGCTCATCATACACAGGACGTCAATATTGTTTTCTAAATAAGAAAACTTCTTCTAAGTGTATAATGAGTTGTTAATCGGTTTTGTGGTCCAGCGACCATATTGAAGTGAACGAAGAAAGGAAGCAGGATTCATATTCAAGCCTAACATCTATGTATGGACAAAACCATAGTAGTATGACATCATACACTTCGAATATATGCTTGAATGGCTTCTAAATGACGTGATAGGAGTGACTTTTAATTCTACGAAATGAGTTTTATAATTCCTACGAATGTAAAATTCTACAGTTGTCTTTGTTTCGGTCATTGATTTCTTCTCTTACTAATTAAGCAAAATACAGTATCTTGACAATGGACAGAAAATTGTATCTTTGATTTCATCCTGTAATAGTAATATACTTGCTGCTGATAAGAAATTTTCTTTTGTGTTCGACTTCGCTTCCTACAAAAACTGTATTTTGACTTGAATTTGAATCCTCGTTCATATATAGACTCAGATGCTATGTGGTTTCACACTGTTCGCGTGATGTTTCGTCACAGATTCGTGAATATCTCGGTTATCGAAATTTGTAATCGATTTTGTGATCTTTTTCATGAACGTATTAATGATCGGAAGACCGAGTTCGAGAGCACATGATACGAGAATATGTTGGTGAATACTGAACGGTCCGATTTACTTCGTGACCTGAGGGTTCTAATCTAATTTGCATTTCGAACTATCATGAAACGCATATGATTGATATTGTTGGTTGATTGCTTTTTTATTTATTCAATTAATTATATTTTTATTCACACCTTCAACTTATAATCAATAGACTCTACTTACACGTATATAGTTACGCTTAGATTTCCATTTGGTGAAGTTGATGTTACCAATTGAGCTAAACATTATAAGTGGAAATCCTATATGACGAGATTCTTTTTTCAAAATTACTAATCGACAGCGAAGATGATGAAGAAAAACGAGCCATAACTATCGAATACCAAATCTTGTGGCTTCTTCAACTGATTCGCGTTGCTTTCATAACTACCGGAACAGCCTACAATATAAATACTAACATCTGAATTGAATGTCCATCGGACTACTCGACTATTGCGTTCCTGGCTAATATAAATATTACCACGTGTATCAACAATAACTGAAGAAACACAATTAAGCTGGCTTAAATCACTTCCGGCTGTACCATCACCAGCAACAGTAGTTCCAAATTTTACCCGGTAATTCCATTTTTGAACTCGATGATTGTTACAATCAGCAACATATACTGCTTCAAAGTCGTCGAGAAATATTCCCAACGGGCCATTCAGTTGATTAATTCCGGATCCAATAGTTACATTTCCGCCGACTACTTGAGGAAATGAGTAGCCTGCAGCAAAGCATACTACTTGGTTAGTTTCAAAGTCACTTAGATACAAATTACTGGAACTATCCACAAATAGATAATAACTTTCAAAAACCGACGCTGCACCAGGCATTGTTGTGGGGTTTGTTGCATTTCGTATATCTTTTTATTCGCTAGTTACCAGTATCAATAACATAGATTGATGTTTTAGTGACGGAAATATCAAAAGGTCCGTAAAATTCGGCACGACTAATACCGGGTCTTGATCCAAAAGTGCTCTGCTGACCATCAGCTGTAATTGTCACTATCCGGTCGTTGTTAGTATCAGCAATATACAAAGTATCGTCATCAGATATATCTATTCCATTATTGAAATCAACAAAACTAATTGATGATCCATTTGTATTGTTCATTGGCCCAACAATTGTAAATAGCATCTTCAGCCCAACGTGCCAAGAGTGGCAAATCTACTAAGGCTGAAGAAGAGAAATTATTCACACATAATTAAATATGATAGATTGATGCTTATTGTAAGGAAGTACCATTTTCAGACAACATCGCTTACCTGTGACGTAACTAAATACCATCATTGTCATCATCATTATCGCGAACGTCGATGAATATAAGTATGTGTTCGACCAGAAAAACATTTTTTCACAATCTGCGATCTACAGAGAAAAGAAAAGCCCTAAACATCATTCAAAGCAACACAACAGTGCGTCTTATCGTACGCCGACAATAGAATTTCTCTGTGGAGACACAATGGGGGAAAATGTTTCATATTAATATCACATAAGTAGCAACGAAACTTCGATTAAGTATACAAATAATTATTGAAGAATATAAGAAAGAAAACGTTTTTCTTTTAATTCTTCACATCATTTTATACACCACTTAGTAGAGACATGATAAATAAAAACTATAATAACATAGTTGAATGTGCATAGTCACAAACAAATTTTAAATAAGATTTTTGTTTTACAATGACTTACTGATGCGAGAGGAAGTTGAAATCAACAAGAGAATAACTATATACTCTATGAAGAAAACATCATATAAATATCAATTACCAATGAAGAAGCGTTCTTCTCATTTTTCAATAGTATATATTTCGTAGTAAAGATTGAAATTTTGATCTCGCCTAGGAATAATTAAACTTTTCTTACGCACTAGCAGAGTTTCAAACTGAACTAGTTGCTTCAACTAAATTCTCCTTTGATAAATATCAAATATCTTGCTAATCAATTTTCATTGAATTAGAATATTTCTTTGTATTAAGTATAAGTTGTGACAGACATTCTTATGTAAAATGCTTCATTCAGTGTGTTAAAACGAATGTAAATGTTTCTTGTTCAAATTATTATTTAAGAAGTCAAAACAAAGACCAACGTACATCAAAGTTAAGTCATTAGTTTTATGATGCATAGACATTTCTCTTCGAAAAATTTTAGTCTATCCTACTGGAGATCAAAATATTTCCATCTGTACTATACGACATATACACATAAATCAGAAAGATTCGATGACATGATAATATGATAATCAAAAATATCAGAAAAATACAATGAATAAGAAAATATTATTGAATACATTATGTATATCATATCACAGAACAAACCAATATCTCTTCAATGCACATTCCGTAGACAAGTACATACTATTTTCACCACCCTATGTAATCATATTCAGATCCAACCAGTGAAGTACACTCAACATTTTAATAAATTACATCGTGTTTCTTTCTTATGCACCGATAGAATCCCATGAGAAGATTGAAAATTCAAATTATTATTTGATCTTCTAGCAATACATGTATAATTCAGCAGATACAATAAGTTTTCGTTTAAGTAAATAATAAAAGAAAAAAACAATATTGAAATTGCAACAAACTACACCATCGAACGATCAATAGAGAACGAGAAAGTGTCTTCTCAATCTTTCGCGAGCTTCAACATAAGACTATCCTTTTTCTCTCAACAACATTCATTTCGAGAGTACTTCAGAATGATGGAGGCACGCAGTAATTGGTCAACAGGTGAAACGACTCACCCTAATACTACACGAAATATCTTCTCGAGTAAAACTAATTTTACCGTTTTCTCATATTGTACATAAGACTTTTCTTTAGAATGCGCTCTGAGCAGAGCACGGTTCGTTATAATTGGCGTGGTTATAGGTGCTCTCATTGCTGGCATTGGTCTAGCGTCAGTAATAACAATGTACGTCAGCGATCAATCAAAAACAAGTATTTCGACATGAAAAGTTTGCTTCATAGATAGAGTCGTAAATGATCTTTGACTTGTAGCCGCAAGCACAACGCAAACAACAAGTAGCTCTACTACAAGTATAAGTTCTACGTCAAGTAGTTCTACAAGTACCAGTTCTACGACAAGTAGTTCTACAAGTACAAGTTCTACAACAAGTAGTACAAGTTCAACGTCTGTTAGCACCACAAGTAACGATTATTATAATGACAAAAAGGACTTCAGTGTCGTTTGTGTTTTTGCTTAGCGACAACATCACCTGTACCCTACTCCTACATATTTTGGTCATTTGACTCGAACTGCAATGATATGTATAATGTATACAACGGTGTTTCTATGAACGGCGCAAGTTATACATCACCTGGTTATACTGGTTATGGCTCTGCACTGTCACTTGATGGAAGCAGCTCTCAATATGTTCTTGTGTCAAATTATAAAGATATGACATATACAAGTTTCACTTGGGAAGTATGGTCATACCCGACGAACTTGAGTAAGCAACTACTATTTTCTCTACTGATTATGAGGTCTATTTTGTTTTACTAGCCAATTTTGACAATATGTTGTTGAGTATGTGTGAAACAACAAATAATAGTAGGTGTATGCACTGGACAGTTCGAACTAATCGAACATATTTTGGGTTCTATAGCAACGATTGTCAGGGTACAACAATTCTTGAGACAAACCGCTGGTATCACATTGCATTTGTCTATGATTATCCTACTCTCACACAGTATTTATATCTCGATGGGGTGCTTGATGGTATAAAAAATTCATCAGCTCCATTTCAAGGAGCAAATGGAGTAATGATGATTGGGGCGCTGAATACTACCAGTGGACCACCAGTATCGTTCTGGTCAGGCTATATTGATCAAATGTCATATGTGTCACGAGCAAAAACTGCAACTGAAATTTTCACTGATGCTACTCTGGTAGCTTATTATTCGTTCGATAATGGATCACTCCTTGATTCAGGACCAAACAAAATTAACGGAGTAAGTTCATAAGTAAATATCATGCAAGAAAGATTTTGAATTTTTTTCCTATAGACAGCTGTTGGTGTGAGTGTAACCGCGGGTCGTATCAATGAATCTCTTCTTTTTAATACATCTGGTGCGTATTTCCAAGCAGGTATGTTCACTCTTTTGGGCGTGATTGGTCACGAATATTCTATTTCACTCTGGGTGAACAAACTATCATCCGCCGGTGCAGGTGGAACATTAGCTCATGTCTCCGGAAGGTATTGAATACAAATTCTTACTGATTTTCCTCATCTACATAGTTGTTCATAGTTCAAATGGAACATTATGGTGTATATCGATGTTGGGTCTGACTGCGTCCGATGAGATTGTTGGTCAAAGTTGGAATAATTCCATAGTAGCTGTACAAGGTTCAGCTCTCGTAGCAGGTGTGTGGACACATATAGTGACATCATACAGTTTGACAAACGGCGTTCGCCTTTGGATAAATGGACGTTTGATTGGCTCGACGCCACAATTCACTTACGCAGCGTCGAACTTAGCTAATTGGATAACAATAGGAACGACATTTTCTAATGCAGTACAGTGTGCGCATGGAAATGTCGCGATCGGACAGTTCTATGGTATGATCGATGAGTTGAAGGTTTATTCACGAGAACTTACAAGTAGCGATGTTTATCAATTGGCTAATCCTTAACGAGTTTTTTATTATTAACTTTAAAAAATTTCACAAGAATCATTCGTTTTTTTTCTTATGTCCTGTATCAATTACTCAATAAACGATAGTGATAAAATGCTAACATAGAATCATACAATTCCTAGTTTATTTAGCATGACTTAGGGCAATGAGAAGGAATAAGATAATCACTATCACTTGCACGTGGAGTAAAATTAAAAACTTCAATAGTACGAGTCGATAGTGCTACTAATTGGTTCGTATTGGTTACAGTCTCACGAGTAACAATATCTTCATGCACCAAAGCACACAATGGAACATTTGTATGTTTATCAGCAAAATTTTGAGCGACAAAATTATGAGTCGTTTCAACGGTATTGGAGCCAACAGTTTTGGTACTATTAGATCGATATAATTCAGCTTTGAATCCGACACCGACACTAATATTGTCGATGAATTGTAGTGCATCTGTTACACAAGTAATATGATAGATGCCCGATGGTTTGGTAGTTTTCTTGCACGTACATTGTTTATCATCGTACGTGAGTTCGAAACCCAGGAGTGATGTTTTGTCAGTAATGAAACCAAGAGTAGTGCCTTCGAAGAATGGTCCGGTGCCGTACGGTTCAGCGTGAAAGTCAATACGATATCGATAATTGTCTAAATCCGGATAGTGTGTGTACGACATGATGATGTTGTTCTGAGCACAACTATTTGATGTGCAATTGCTAAGTGTGACTGAAGAATCGCGCACACTTACGCGATGACCGCGTGGCATACAGCAAATATTAGAATCTGCCATAACCACGGATATAAGTAAGAAGCAAATAACACCACTGATATAACTGTTCATGTTTGTCATCGAAAAAGAAACGAATAGAAAGAATCGTATGTTCCCTTGTTACGTAGCTTCTCTGTCATTATAAGAGAAAGAGTAGAGCAGCTATGAGTAAAAAAACAGCTGGTGAAGAAATAATCGCCGTCATCGTTTCTTCATGATGACAGAGAGGTTTTTTTATCAAATTTATTCAGTACAAAAAACCGGTGAAACAAAAAGTAATGAGCCTATGTTCGTATAGAGCGAAGAGTGTAGAAACAGACTTTTTCAAATTATCGACCAAGTTATCATACGAATGTTCATTATTACTGATGTAGCATGCGTAGATTCTCTATTTTAAACAAGAAAGAAATTGAATGTGAAGAAGAACAAAGAAGATTACTCGTTCTACTACACTCACGAGAGTTTTTACTCCTTGATAGATGATTTGATTGCTATTAAGGTATAGTCTCATCAGTGTTTGTGTAGAAATCATAAATAACGATCGTTAGTTGAATGAAATACAAGAAGTATTACTCGATTCTCATACAATAGATTGCCCAGTTGCTCTGTTCTTCATCCTCAACGCCACTCCATGCAAGATTAAAATCGACGCATCGCGTCAGTTATATGTGACGCACCTTAATCGCCGATTCAATTATCCTACAAGTCTAATGTAGTAAGTATGCGTATAAATGTTTGCATGACAAATATGAAGAGGAGGGAAAAAGTAGAGTAACTGTGTTCTGTTTTAACATATGAGCCAACTACTGTTCTCCTCGATCTCCAAAACTATTCTTTTCAACATAGAGTGAAGTAATCCTTTAATACAAATAGAATACTTCAGTGCGGGGAAATCAAGACAAACATTCTGTCCGATTGTTTCGTATCATACCAGCTAGATGTTGACCTCATTTCGCTGTGATCTTATTACTAGAAGAATTGAGCGTCGTAATTGCTTATGCAAGGCAATGCGTAACAATAAAACAAAAGAAATGAAATCTACTGCGCGGTTTCGAAACGCTTTAGTCAATTGTATAGTGCCTGCATCTTCGATTAGACTGTTGTGAAGATTCAATTTACTGACGTGAGCGTCTTTATGAACAGAGGATAGCAGAGATTTTTTGAATGGAAAACGCACCAGTTACCTTATTTTCAAACAGAATATTCGCTATGTAGTATCCGCTGTCAGCAGCCAGTTTCTTGCACCAGAATAGTAGTGATGTTACGGTTCGTATGAGGAAGTATGAACGACGAAGTGAAATAGATGAATGTTAGAAACAACCGTATTCTACCTTCATCCGTTAGCTTATTCTTTCTGCTTTTGACTCGTCAATTGTCTCATATCGGACGGTTAGTTTAGTAAGTTCGGTAAATGTATGAAAACTCTAATTTGCCGGATATCGCGATTATAATTATCCAACGTTGTGTTAATTTATTCATATGAATCTCGGATAGAACATATTAAATCGACACCATCGAGATTATTATGGGTTGTTACTTCTGGTAGAGCAATAAAAGACGTCATGGCATGTGTGCAGCACAAGTAAATATTTATTTTTTGCATCATCTATAACTATATGAATATTTATCACGCTTCATCAATCTTTAATGAAATTCCCATTCGAAAAAATATGGCTGAAGGCGCGTGGTCCAACATGCTCTGAATAAAATCTACCGGCTAGTTACCTTCTGATTTTGTTTGCCATGTAATTAAACGCTCATAAAGCAAAAATCAATTAACGCGATTTTCAATCACTAAAAAAGGTTGAAAATCAATTCTGTTTGATCTACGAACCTCAAATATTAAACTACGAACAAAACAGAAGTCAAGAAATAACATTCAATTGACGATGTGGTGGATAGTAATCGTGTTTTCTTTATTTTCTATCAGTTATACTATCGATATTTACGAAATACAAAGTTATGTGATGATCGGCGCGACGATTGACCAACTGATTTTGAACATAACTCGAAATGAATGTATATGCAAAGTGATGAAATCTCGGAACCCGATAGCTGCAGTAAATTACTTTTCGTCTAATCGATCTTGCCAATTATTTTATTTCAATATCAATAACAAAACTTGAATATTACGGTATGTTCTACAACCAAAGTAGTTATTCTGTTGGATCACAACCGTATATAGTGGCCGTTAGCAATGTCAATAATGACAATTGGTCCGATATCATTGTTTTTAGTTATTATTCAAATAATGTCGAGGTTCGTCTCAATAGTAAGAATGGTACATTTCAGAATCGAACTGTTCATACAATTGGTACGCATTCGTCCTTTGTCGTTGTAGCAGACGTAGACAATAACGATAGCTTTGATATGATTGTCACTAACTGTAACTCGAACAACATTGGAGTTCTTTGCAAATGTGGAAAACGGTATATTCTTGCCTCAGATGACATATTCGACCACTGCTGGGTCATGAGCGATCGTAGCGTAAGATGTGAATATCGACAACAGATTTGATATTATTGTAGCGTATCCACGTTCGACCTGATATTGTCGTGACAAATTCAGATTCAAACAATGTCGGAGTCCTTTTTAATATAGACAACGGTACTTTTCACACTCAAGTGACTTAGAGCATTGGCAGTATTCCAAGTTCCGTTGTCATAGATTATCTGAATAACAATAATCATCTCGATATAATTGTGACCAATCAAAATTCCAAGACGATCAGCCGGAAATTCTTGTCGCAAATTCTGGTTCAGATACTACCGGTATCCTGTTGAATCTTGGATTTCACGAATCAAACATTGTACAAAGTGGGTCATGGGGCTGTTTTCGTTACTGCTGAAGCTCTAAATGCTGATAATAAAACTGATATCGTCACTACCAACATAAATTCAAACACAACTAGTATACTCATGCATCGTTGAGATTTGTTCACTATGGTAATTCTTATTAAACCTTTTTTTTTCTTTTTCTTCTCATGCAAGCGTTCGATTGTATACAGAAAATGATATTTATAACTCAATAAAACAGAACGAAGAAAAAGCACGTGTGCACGCGTAAAACAAATATTGTTTTTTTTTCTGTTCTTTTAACAATGGCGACATTACTTTTTCTTCACATTAATATAAGAATTCCGTCTTTTCATTCAAAAAAGAACAAAATGTCTCAAGAACCATATTGGACAGTCACCCATGGCCATGCGAATCGAACCGGCTGGAGTTGTCGAGAATGCCATGGTGTTATCTATCAAGGTGAACAAATAGTGATACGTGATGGACGAAAGCTTCGTTTAATGTACCACGAGAAATGTTTTAGCGGTAGTTCAGATCCACGTACACAAGCAGGTAGTTCGTATAATGATAAAAAATGGACAAACACCCGACCTATTCAACCAGACGCACCAGCAGTGAAGGGATATGGAAAATGGAGTTGCAGTGAGTATGGTTACAAAGGTGATTTGTATGCAACATCGACATCCAGATCTCCTGTTCGAAAACCTATTACGAATATGAATTCATCAAAAAAATAGCGACTCTCTCCCTCTATGATTTTGTAAATAAACATGGTGTTTTCCTTAACAAGTTTATTTTAAGTTGTATAACGAAAGTTCGAGTATGGGTGAGGGTGCAATCTTGAGGACAAAACTCGATCAAAATGTTTCTTCATCTGCAGTGGGTATCCCAGCTAGTGTTCGTATAATCTCAATTTGTTTGCTTCAAAATAGATGACTCGACGCATAATACATGCGAACGCAATATCTCGCGTACTAAAGCAATTACAAATGCTCAAACGAGTAGTTGCTATTGTATCAGTCTTAAATATACTTGTTATTGCTTACACAATCTCTGTGATTATGAGATTTATTAATCGATCATCAAAATATCATTTTCGTATCGGTTTTGTTTTTTCATTGATATATCATCGCTGTTAATTTTAATCTCTCCATTCAAGATTACGTATTCTATTAGGAATTCGATTATGAAGAAATTAAACGACCGAAAAAACTTGACAGTTGCTCCATCAACGAGATACACGATCCGAACCTCAAGTGCTTATGTAAACTCATGCACTATACGATCGTTTAATGGATTAAATGAAGTTATAGTCTACATAAGAGACACTCATTGATTCATACACTTGTTTCAGATGAGTCAAGATTTGTCGATGAAAGATGAACCATCCGATTCATTTTGAACCAGTCGATACGTTAAAGAAAAAAAAACAACTGTGAAATATTTTGTTACCTTAGGTAACTTTATTTACAGTTCCTACCATAAAACTATATCTAATTACGAAGAAAAAACTGATATATGTACACTAAGAAAAATAAAATGAAAGTTTTACGACCAAGTTAATTTCACGGTATGTAGCGAAAAGTAGGAGCCAGATCAGTAGTTACAGTGGTAGATGGATCGGTTGTCTCTGCACTGTTCGATTCTGCTACTCTGTCACGACGAGCATTTTCGTAACGAAGGAGACAGTAGAGTATAGCAGCAAGAATGGCAGACAAACCATTGAATGCCAAGTTCAGTCCAAATCCCAGCTTCCAGTAAGGACGATCACTCGACGGAAAGATAAATGCGGCAAGGATCGAAAAACATTGACCAATTGCATTGAGCATGCCTAGTTGGACGGCTCGCTGAGATTCGTTAGGTGTGTTCTTTGAGATCCAACTAAGCATCAATGGAACAGCAGTGAAAGCTCCCATGACGACGATGAATGTTGCAAAGTACCGTGCATGTTGATTCGTAGTGACAGTGAGGAGAATAATCCATCCTACACAAGAAAGTAACATCGTACCAGCAACAAACAAACCATGACAACGAAGTCGATCGGAAAGACGACATATGATGATCATGTAGACAGCTGCACATGCATAAGGTGGTACCGAGTACAGTTGAGCCTCTGCATCTGTGTGACCGAGCGACGCGATAATGGTTGGTAAGAAGCCAGAAATGGAACTCAATGTGAGATTAACACCGAGATAAATCACACCATATGTATAACTCCTGTAATCTGTGACAGCACGTCGAAAACCAGACCATTGAAACTTTTTCTTGTGTGATTGATTGTGCTGATCNTTTGGAGTTACTCGCCGAACAAGAAAATCATTTTCAAAGTAAATCAACGCGTTTGCCATTGATTCGATTGAAACATTTTCTTGGATTCAGTTGCGAATTTTTACAAAGCGATCAATCAAGTGCCGAGGATCAAAAATGTGGTTGTAGAATTGATTGAAACGGAGTTTTATCACAGTGGTCGCAGAACTTTTCGATCAGTAGATAAAGATGCCATGGAGGTAAACTGACCTTCATTGTCCATCAAGTCAAAGTACGATCCACGATTTCTTTTTCAGGACCCGAAAGTTTATCTCGACACAATGATAAACATTCGCATGAAATTGGCAAAGTTTATGCAAGATGATTTAAATAATGAACTTGGACTGAAACATATTTTCGATAAAGTAATGAAATTTTCCGAAAATAGTTTGTCTCGTGTAGCCAAACAACTAGGTTTGTCTGCAACTGATGCGTACAAATGTTCTGCAGCCAATAGGAAAGAAATTATCTGAATTGTTATGTGAATATTGGGATGTGCTGTTGAGAAAAGAGTATGTGAGAGTAACTTCCGTATTTGAAGAGCAATACGCATGTTTTTTTTCGAAGCATTCGAACGCTAGAAAAAGTGAATTTGACAGAAAAACTGAACGAATCAACGGTAATCGCGTATTTATGATAAATACAGCAATAATATGGTTGATAATTGCTAGATATTTTATGATTACATCGAAGACATCGATACATTTGAAAACCTATATCAAAAGCGATTGATGAAACGCTTGTTTCAACATCTGAGCATCTCACTTGATCTTGAATTACTTCTAATAACAAATTTACAGGTACAAACTCCAGTTGTTACTCTCGTCATTATCTTGTGTTTCTTTTCCAAAGGAAATCTGCGAACATGAATCAACGAAGAAATTCAGACAAATGTGCGAAGATATTTCCAACAGCGACAGACTGAATATTTACTATGGAAAGTATCCCGAATCTGGTATGAACTATTGGAAAACAAAAGCGCATTTCTAAGATGATTTTTCGTTTTAGAAAAGATTTTCGTAACGATTCTCAGTGCAACAGTCTGGCCATTTTCACCTCCAGATGAAATTCTTCTCCCACACGAAGTGAAACTGTTCACATGAAATGTATTCCGATGACATTCCTTGTTTCTTTTCTAGTTAAAAATCAGCTACGATCACTTTTCCAAGTGTTTTATCAACTATTCCAAACGAAAAGTTCTCATTTTACTTCCTCAATATTCACATGGCGAATTGGAAGTTTGTTTTAACTCACTCAAATACATTTTCCAAGTTTCTCTCTATCAAATGCTTGTTCTATTGTTATTCAACAGCAACGCGACTATCACGATCAAACAAATACAAACTGAAACAGAAATGTCGCTTGAAATTATACACGACGTGCTCTGCGATTTATCGGAAAAGAAAATCATTGTTTGTGATGAATTCGAGAACTTAAACCGACGGAAATCGTCCATTCGTTTAACCAAAGATTTTCAAAGCACGAAGATGCACGTGAAATTATGCGTGCCGTTTAATTGTTCTGAAGGAACGAAGAACAACGATAAGAAATTTGCGATTCAGGCACTCATCATCCGAATCATGAAAACGAAAGGAACGTTATTTATTGAGTCATTAATTGATGAAGTAATGACCGAAATGAATCAACCGAATGAAAATATTATTCGAGTATACCTTCGAAGTGAAAAATTGGTAAATTGTTCTGAATGTATTTTTTTTTCATTTAGAATTGTATTGATCGATTGATCGAACAGGAATATTTAGAACGCGATTCAAGACGAAGTAACCTTCTACATTATTTATTGTGAAAAAAAAAACACCACAAAGTTTATACTCTTTCAACTTCACTCGAAATATATCCATTGTTGTTTTGTTTTGAACTGAGATTGTTCTTTTTGTTGAACATTTCTGTGACTAATGCCCGGTACGTCACATCTTTTTCCTCCATCTTTTTGCGATGTCGCATCGGTACACAAAAGAACCACGTGACAATAAAAACATGCAAGAAGATAAACAAACCGATTAACACATAGAATGCTCCATGATCTAAATAAGCCAGTGACATATCACTTGTCACACGGTAATCAGGCGTACGTGTCCATGCGAGTAAACTGATAATGGCGTGCCAAAACGAATGAAGAACTAGGTTGGATATACATATAATTGCATATTTATCCAAGGATGTTAAATATGACACAGTTGGCTAAAAGACAAAGTTGATCATGAGGATTTTTGTGTTCGAAGAAAGACTTACAAGTGATCGATTGACAGTCCAACGGAAGGTGATTGAGGTGAGAAGAAGTGTACAGGATACCTGAAGTCGATTGATAGCAACTCTAAAACGAACAGTGAACTTCTTCAGGACAGAGTGAACGTACAGAAACCTACTGCATGGGCATTCCAAATGTGCAGAAAGATACAGAAGTAATTAACAAAATAAGAAAATAGCCATTCCAATAGAAATATTCAGATTGACGTGCTGAAACAGAATTCGATATGATTTAGATGGAGAAAGTGTACTCTACATACCAGCATGGCACGTGACTGTCAAAGTTGAACGTTTTGGTTCTTCTTTGTTCATTTGATATTTCATTTGTTGTTCATCATCGTCATTCGCATCGGTAAGAAAAAGAAAATCTTTTACAAACCGCTCTTCGGCATCGACATGTTCGTACAAAGACCATTCTTGTTGATCAACAAATGCCTCGCGATTCACTCCACTTAGATTATATGGATCGGGATGTAGCATAACTTTATCTTGATACAACATCGAAGTAACTGAGATGGATAAATCTTGAACATCATTTGGAAAATGATGTAATTCTAATTTCTCCCAGAATAAACCTTTGATAATTCGATGTTCACATACATAAATATGATTATCGTGAGTGTTTCGTTTCGCACTGTATTTGATTTGTTCTTTTAAATCGCCGAGACTATTTTCAATGAAGAGTTGTGGATGCCAATGAGAATCGGAATATTTCTCAAGGATGATTGTTTTGCCATTCATTAGACGATTTTGATCGTCGACCGAAAGAATCGAGAGTAATTCATTTGATGCAACTGCCCAACGAGATTCAATCGAAGCATGTGCTTGATATTTTTCATTTAATGTATCGATTTCACCTATAGACAAATGGTAATAGATTGAAAAGCTTTTTTCAACCAATTACCTATCCGAAGAAACACTAGACGAATGAAAACAGGAATGGCTTTCTCATGTTGCATTCCCGATGACAACGGATTGATATCAATAGCTGTTTGTTCCATAACTATAGAAAGAAAATCGAAATCATTGATTATCAGTCAAATACGAGAGCGTTTTGCGTATGATACCTGCTGAAGACATAATTTCAAATTATTCGTACAAACTGAAATAGACAACTTTTTCTTATATATGACAAGAAAAAACAAGTAGTTATATTCACGTTGTTTATGCAAGAAAGGCGTGACAATTGCACGGAAAAATGATCGAAGCAAATCAATTTTTTTCACAATTTCAATAAGTGTATCAGGGCAATGTATTCCAACAGGTAATCGAAAACAAACCAAAAATCAGTTATTACGTGTCTATGGTGAAATGAAGTGGGCTGACGGTAAAATGTCATCCGGACTTCTTTTCTCTCCAATCATCGTATCTCTCATGACTTACACTCGGTATAATTGAAGATGTCGATTCATCTCAGTTTAATTAACGACTACCCTCCTCCTCCGTATTTGTTTTTCTTCAATCGCGTAAACAAGAAAATTAACTTGAGCCGTCATGTCTTTTCGAATATCTGATTTTACAAAGAAACATATCCGCCTGTCAGCTTTAATATGTATCTTTTCTCCACTCTCATCACAAACAGACAAAGTAGAAAATTTTCTATACCTGTCAAGTATTTCTTTCGTCGTTAGAAATCACAATTATAAGACGAAAAAGTCAAACTTCGAATATTTGTCCAAACTTCGCCATCGGAATCACTGTTTGGTGTTAGCATAAAAGAAAGTATATAAGCAAATTACAGGCGATTATTTTAATGACGACCTGCGTGTCAGCACGATTTTTTTGCGTTCTAGCAGAACGGCGAAAGAAACGAAAAAAAGATTCTCTCTCAAACACAGTCGTGTCGCATTTGAAAACAAATCGAAAATTTCTTATCGTTAATTTGACGATGCAATCAACAGTTCAAATCGGAATTCTATGTCATGCTACACAGCGACTATATACTTTGAGTTTCGGCGATTTCGAAACGACGTTTTATCGGTGCTTCACGTGGAGGCAGCTGTTAATATTTGTTTTTTGATTCATAATTATGAGTGAGTAACGCTCGACATACTGTGTTACTGAAAAATTTCTTTTTGTTTTTTTTTTCTTCTAGAGCGAGTTTAAATGCATCATTTAGGATTTCTAACGCCAGGGTGTACTCGCACAGTATAAGAAGTTTGTTGGGTACCTGCGACCTTGAAGAAATACTCTGATCTCTGTACTTTATTCAAAATGCTAGAAATCGATAGAAAAAAAGGACATCTCCACAGGAACAATTAGGTATTTATTGTAGGTGCAAGTCGACGTTCGCCTTCAAGCCTCAGGTACGGTCCTTGATAAGTCATTAACACCACAGCACTAATGATACAACAGCAAAGGATAAACACTGAGGCGGGTGTGAAGATTAGCGGTGACGTCGACAGCGGATCTAATTTAAGTAAAGCATCGAGAACGAAAATAAACACTCCACCAAAAAGATTCCCTAGACACATCAATATGCCAGTTGACCACTCAGCAGAAATCGGATATGTACATTCGACAGCACATTCAAATGCAACGGGTAACAATGGAAGTAAAAAGAAGCCCATTAAACCGATAGAGACAGCTAAAGGGTAATATTGATTCGGTTGAAGGATCAAAACAAAGTAGATACTCGATGCACATACACCGATCAATAAACTTTTCAATATAAAACGGTAAGCATGTGTTCGGTCCATGATGATCCCGACTAAGAATGCGCTGGTTAAACCAGCGAGAATAATTACCGCCCCGAAGATTCCGGCATCATCACTTGTATATCCAACTGGTTGAATAAGTTGAAAGAGCAATGCGACGAGTGCACTGAAAAGTGCTAAACCAAGGGAAAAACTAAAGAGAAGTACTAAATAATGACGATTCTTCAACAGATTGATAAAATCTGTTCGGAGATTGACCTTGATATGATGTTCTACGGACGAAGATGGCGGTGTGGGCGGCTCCGATCGAAATAAGAATATAACGATTAATGCCACTAATGCACTGAAACCAGCTTCAACGATTAAAAGAGTGAAAAAATCTATCGATGAGTATCCATCCGATACAATTAATGACGGTAGAAGTGATCCAACTGCCAAGCCTACAAGTATTTGTTCTCGTAAAATTCAAAGGAGAAGCTTGTTTTGTGTTTACCTAATGGATTTGACATGGAAGAAATAGCTGTAGCTATATCGCGTTGTTTAGGTGGAAACCACCGTGCAGCAAATAAAGGAGTGATGTTGATAAATAAGGGTGTAGCAATTGCAGGAAATATTTGGCCGATAATTAGTGCAGGATAGCCATTGGATGGTGAAATTAAGGAAAAGAGGCGAATAAATGTACCGAGATTTAACAAACTGCCGATGAGAATAACCGTACGTACGGAGAGTACACGATATAACCAGAACGATAAAATTGTGCCAACGACGTAAAGAAACTGAAAGACGATTGCTAACACATTGACCTGAAGAGTTGAGAGACCATAGAACGTTGATGTTTGAGACTGTATTGGAGCAAATGTCATGTTGTGTATAGCATTGCTAAATGTTGCTAAAACAAATATGAACAGTTGAAACCATCGTGCACGATAAACACGATAGTTTGCTGCTTCGGGTTCAGCCATCCTTTTCTTGTTACGTGTAGAAAAAAAAAGAGAGTCGACTCATGTGTTTTACTATTTTTCTTTTTTTCGTTCTTTTCATTTTTGTGACATGTAATTATCGGCACCGTGGTGCATGTTTTTGCATTTCTAAAAGTGCACTCTGGTGGCAAAATGTAATCAGATAAATAGACCAATCTAATATTTATCCAGAATAATATCCTTCTACGCTTGTGTAATTTTAATTAGAAAGAAGACATTTTTTAAAATTTTCTGTCATTTTCTTTTCCACCGAATCACACACAGTAGGCACATATTCGATTTGATGATAACTCAAATAGACTTATAAATTGAAAACTTTACACATTATCCTTGAAAGTCAGTCCAAACGACGTTACATCAAATTTTCTTCCTGCCATCGGCTTCTTTTTGAATCTGAGGAAATATATACTATGAAAAGTTTGGCAATGGGATCTAAGAGATTGAATTTAATCAAGATCTGAAACATACACAAGTCGATGAGAGAGAAAAATGTTTTCTACTTCCATCTATCATCGCATCACATCACAAAATTCTTCCTTCACTTTCAGATCGAACTCATGACATACTAATAGTAATGTAACAAAGTAGATCATCCTTTTATTTGTTACATGAACACGGACGTGTAGTCGACTAGGAAATTAAATTATTTCTTTCTGTAGAACATTAGTTAGCTGACTGAGAATAGAAATGTTCTTTGCAATTTTCGATAACAACCATTGCATGTTCACTATGGCAGCATATATAGTGGATGGCTCAGACACGAAACTCTTGAATTCAATACGACAGCAGATATTTCTTTCCGCGATTGTTAGTATTAGTGTAGCAACAACAGACGGTCAGAGATCTCATCTAGGAAAACTATATCACGACTCAAACCACTTTTAGCACATATCATTACTTATCACACAATATGTAATCAGTAACACTTCGAATTGTATAACTTCCTATTTACTTCATTGAGAAATGATAACATCGACTGTTCGAGCTCTGATTTTAGAGCGAAGCAAGCACGCACAGAGAAGACAACACCATAAACATGGTACGTCTCGCAATGCTCAAACAAACTGAATACTTTCTCGTCATGATCAATTCATGGGTCCTGCTGAAAACTATCATAACTCACCACTGCATTTCACCGAACCAAAGTAAGACGGAAAACATCCAGTAATCGACCACTATCGACCGTATTCCCATCAACAGAAGCAATATGAGCACGCGTTCTGCATCTAAACTATTGTGCGCGTATCCCAAAAACCAGACACTCTTTTTTCTAACTATAAAAAATCTAGTTTATGTTGTCCATTAAAACGCAATAACACATAATTCAACCAATTGTTACTAAGTAGTAACCTCATTGTCGTCATTGAGAAATTACCTAAAATAGAAATTGTTTGAATGACTGAAATAAGTTTGTACCTGCTTATTGTTTATACAATCAATCGACAACGTAATGATTAATCTTTCCGTTTGACTTTCTGGTATCTTTCTATTTCATGAGTGAACATCTATTTGATTTGTTCGATTATTGCGTATAACCATGTTCACTTTGCAACAAGCAACACGTTCATCATACAAGATTGGTTTTGTAGTCCAACGACCACAGTGAAGTGAACCAAGAAAGGAAGCGTCGAGGTTCATATGCAAGCCTTGTATGAATAAAACCATAGTAGTATGACATTATTCACTTCGAATATATGCGCGAATGACGGCTAGAGAACGTGATAGGAGTGACTTTTAACTCTACGAAATAAGTTTTATAATCCCTACTGGTATAAAATTCTTCAATTGTTTTCGTTTCGGTCATTGACTTCCTCTCTTACTAATTAAGCAAGATATAGTATCTTGACAATGGATACAAAATTGTGTCTTTGATTTCATCCTGTAATAATAATATACTTGCTGTTCATAAGAAATTTTCTTTTGCATTCGACTTCGCTTCCGACAAAAACTGTATTTTGACCTGAACTTGAATCATTTTATATATAGATTCAGCGATTTTGTGATCTTTTTGATGAACGTATCAATGGTACGAAGACCGAGTTCAAGAGCAGATGATACGAGAATATGTTGGTGAATACTGAACGGTCCGATTTACTTCGTGACCTGAATGTTCTAATCTAATTTTCATTTCAAACGATCATGAAACGAATGTGATTGATATTGTTGGTTGATTGCTTTTTTTAATTTATCCAATTAATTATTTTTCTACACACCTTCAAAAGCAATTGGTAATTGAAAAGGTTAAGAATAGGGTTGTTGTTTGTACGGATATTACTGAAATCATCGTTGATACAGGTGATGCCGATACCATTGCTTTAAAAACAATTGTTCTTCGCGATTATTTCAACTTAAAATCAATAGACTCTACTCACATGTGCTTACGCTTAGATTTCCATTTGGTGAAGTTGATGATACCAATTGGACTAGACATTATAAGCGGAAGTTTTATGCGACGAGTTTTTTTTTCAAAATTACTAATCGACAACGAAGATGACGAAAACAATGAGCTTGACGACGTTGTCAAAGTCTGATTTGTGGTCGTACTTGGATCTTGAATAGTATACTACTCATGAGAGAAACTGCTCATGTATGTAATACTCACTATTACCGTTGAGGATCTGAAATTTTTGTACACGATTATTGTACGTGTCGCTAACGTACAACGAGCCATCACTATCGAATGCCAAATCTTGTGGTCCCTTCAACTGATTTGGGTTGTTTTCATAACGACCAGAACAGTCTGCAATACAAATACTAACATCTGAATCGAATGTCCATCGAACTACTCGAATATTGCGTTCCTCGCTAAAATAAATATTTCCATGTGTATCAACAATAACTGAAGAAGGACAGTTAAGCTGGCTTAAATCACTTCCAGCTGTATCATCACCAGCAACAGTAGTTCCAAACCTAGCCTGGTAATTCCATTTTTGAACTCGATGATTGTTACAATCAGCGGCATATGCTGCTCCAGGGTCGTCGATAAATATTCCAAACGGGCCATTCAGTTAATTAATTCCGGATCCGATAGTTTCATTTCCGGCGACTACTTGAGGAAATGAGTGGCCTGCAGCAAAGCATACTACTTGGTTATTTTCGAAGTCACTTAGATACAAGCTACTGGAACTATCCACAAATAGATAATAACTTTCAAAAAACGACGCTGCACAAGGCATCGTTGTGGGATTTGTTGCATTTTTCGTATATCTTTTTATTCGATAGTTACGAGTATCTATAACATAGATTGATGTTTTACTGACGGAAATATCAAAAGGGCCGTAAAATTCGGCACGACTAATACCAGGTCCTGATTCAAAAATGCTCCGGTGACCATCAGCCGTAATTGTCACTATCCAGTTGTTGTTAGTATCAGCAATATACAAAGTATCGTCATCAGATATATCTATTCCATTATTGAAATTAACAAAACTAATTGATGATCCATTTGTATAGTTCATTGGCCCAACAACCATCGTCATCATTATCGCGAACGTCGATGAATATAAGTTTGTTTTCGATCTACAGAGAAAAGAAAAGTTCTAGCCATCTCTTAAAACAACACAACAGTGCGTCTTATCGTACACCGACAATAGAATTTCTCTGTCGAGACGCAATGGGAAAAATGGTTCATATTAATATCACAGAAGTAGCAACGAAACGTCGATTAAGTATATAAATAATTACTGGAGAATGACTTACTGATGCAAGAAGAAATTGAAATCAACAAGAGAATAACTATATAGTCTATGAAGAAAACATCATATAAATATTAATTACCAATGAACTATTTCTATTCTATGTTCAAAGAAGAAGCGTTCTTCTCATTTTTCAATAGTATATACATTGTAACAATGGATACAGATACACATAAACCAGAAAGATTCGATGACATGATAATATTATAATCAAACATATCAGAAAAATCCAACGAATAAGAAAACATTATTCAATATATTATGTATATCATATTACAGAACAAGCCAATCTCTCTTCAATGCACATTCTGTAGACAAGTGAACACTGTTTTCACCATCCTACGTGATCATCTTTAGATCCACTCGGCGCGATGAACGCTCAACATTTCAATAAAGTACATCGTGTTTCGTTCTTATGCGCCCATAGAATCCCATGTGAAGATTGAAAATTCAAATTATTGTTTGGTCTTCTAGCAATACATGTATAATTCAACAGACATAATAAGTTTTCGTTTAAGTAAATAATAAAAGAAAAAATAAGATTGAAATCGCAACAAACTACACCATCGAACGATCAGTAGAAAACGGAAAAGTGTCTTCTCGATATTTCGTGAGCTTCAACATAAGACTATCCTTTTTCCCTCAACGGCATTCATTTCGAGAATACTTCAGAATAATGGAGACACGCAGTAATTGGCCAACAGGTGAAACGACTCATCCTAATACTACACGAAATACCTACTCGAGTAAAACTAATTTTACCGTTTTTTTCATATTGTACATACTACTCTTCTTTAGAATGCGCTCTGAGCAGAGCACGGTTCGTTATAATTGGCGTGGTTATAGGTGCTCTCATTGCTGGCATTGGTCTGGGGACAGTAGTAACAATGTACGTCAGTGATCAGTCAAAAACAAGTATTTCGATATGAAGAGTTTGCTTCATAGATAAAGTCATAGCTGATCTTTGACTTGTAGTCGCAAGCACAACGCAAACAACAAGTAGCTCTATTACAAGTACAAGTTCAACATCAAGTAGTACTAGTAGTACAAGTTCAACATCAAGCAGTACTAGCAGTACCAGTTCTACAACAAGTAGTACAAGTTCAACGTCTGTTACCACCACAAGTAACGATTATTATAATGACAAAAGGTACTTCAGTATCGTTTGTGTTTTTGCTTAGCGACAACGTCACCTATACCCTACTCCTACATATTTTGGTCATTTGACTCGAACTGCAATGATATGTATAATGTATACAACGGTGTTCCTATGAACGGCGCAAGTTATACGTCACCTGGTTATACTGGTTATGGCTCTGCGCTGTCACTTGATGGAAGCAGCTCTCAGTATGTTCTTGTGTCAAATTATAAAGATATGAGATATACAAGTTTCACTTGGGAAGTATGGTCATACCCGACGAACTTGAGTAAGCAACTACTATTTTCTCTATTGGTTATTAGGTCCATTTTGTTTTACTAGCCAATTTCGACAATATGATGTTAGGTATGTGCGAAACACCAAATAATAGTAGGTGTATGCACTGGACAATTCGAACTAATCGAACTTATTTTGGATTCTATGCCAATGATTGTCAGGGTTCAACAATTCTTCAGACAAATCGCTGGTATCACATTGCATTTGTCTATGATTATCCTACTCTCACACAGTATATATATCTCGATGGGGTGCTTGATGGCATAAACAATTCATCAGCTCCATTTCAAGGAGCAAATGGAGTAATGACGATTGGGGCGCTGAATACTACCAGTGGACCGCCAGCATCGTTCTGGTCAGGCTATATTGATCAAATGTCATATGTATCACGAGCAAAAACTGCAGCTGAAATTCTCACTGATGCCACTCTGGTAGCTTATTATTCGTTCGATAATGGATCACTCCTTGATTCAGGACCCAACAAAATTAATGGAGTAGGTTTATAAGTAAACATCATGCGAGAAAGATTTTGAATTTTTTCCCTATAGACAGCTGTTGGTGCGAGTAGAACCGCGGGTCGTGTCAATGACTCTCTTCTCTTTAATACATCTGGTGCGTATTTCCAAGCAGGTGGGTTCACTCTTTTGGGCGTGGTTGGTCACGAATATTCTATTTCACTCTGGGTGAACAAACTATCATCTGCCAGTGCAGGTGGAACATTAGCTCATGTCTCCGGAAGGTACTGAATACACATTTTTACTGATTTTCCCCATCTACGTAGTTGTTCATAGTTCGAATGGAACATTATGGTGCATATCGATGTTGGGTCTGACCACGTCCGATGAGATTATTGGTGAAAGTTGGAATAATTCCATAGTAGCTGTACAAGGTCCAGCTCTCGTAGCAGGTGTGTGGACACATATAGTGACATCATACAGCTTGACAAACGGCGTTCGTCTTTGGATAAATGGAAGTTTGATTGGCTCGTCGCCACAATTCACTTACGCAGCGTCGAACTTAGCTAACTGGATAACAATAGGAACGACATTTTCCGATGCAGTACAGTGTGCGCATGGCAATGTCTCGATCGGACAGTTCTATGGTATGATCGATGAGATGAAGGTTTATTCACGAGAACTTACAAGTAGCGATGTTTATCAATTGGCTAATCCTTAACGAGTATTTTACTAGTAGCTTTGTGAAGAACTTCACGAGAAACATTCGTTTTTTTCCTTACGTCTTGTATGAATTACTGAATAAACGACACTGGTAAAATGTTAACATAGAACCGTACAATTCCTAGTTTATTTAACATGACTTAGGACAATGAGAAGGAATAAGATAATCATTATCATTTGCATGTGGAGTAAAATTAAAAACTTCAATAGTACGAGTCGATAGTGCTACTAATTGGTTCGTATTGGTTACAGTCTCACGAGTAACAATATCTTCGTGCACCAAGGCACACAATGGAACGTTTGTATGTTTATCAGCAAAATTTTGAGCGATAAAATTATGAGTCGTTTCGACGGTATTGGAGCCAACAGTTTTAGTACTATTAGATCGATATAATTCAGCTTTGAATCCGACACCGACACTAATATTGTCGATGAATTGTAGTGCATCTGTTACACAAGTAATATGGTAGATGCCCGATGGTTTGGTAGTTTTCTTGCACGTACATTGTTTATCATCGTACGTGAGTTCAAAGCCCAGGAGAGATGTTTTGTCAGTAATGAAACCAAGAGTAGTGCCTTCGAAGAATGGTCCAGTGCCGTATGGTTCAGCGTGAAAGTCAATACGGTATCGATAATTGTCTAAATCCGGATAGTGTATGTACGACATGATGATGTTGTTTTGAGCACAACTATTTGATGTGCAATTGCTAAGTGTGACTGAAGAATCGCGCACACTTACACGATGACCACGTGGCATACAGCAAATATTAGAATCTGCCATAACTACGGATATAAGTAAGAAGCAAATAACAGCACTGACACAACTATTCATGTTTGTCATCGAAAAAGAAACGAATAGAAAGAATCGTATGTTTCCTTGTTAGGTAGTTTCTCTGTCATTATAAGAGAAAGAGTAGAGTAACTATGAGTAAAACGACAGCTGGGGAAGAAAAATTCGTCGTCATCATTCCTTTATCATGACAGAGAGGTTTTTCTTTATCAAATTTATTCAGTGCAAAAAACTGGTGAAACAAAATGTGATGAGTCTATGTTCGTATGTAGTGAAGACTGTTGAAATAAACAAAAAGAAATTGAATGTGAAGAAGAACAAAGAAGTATTACTCGATTCCTGTGCAATAGATTTGCCAGTTGCTCTGCTCTTTCATCCCCAACGCCATTCCATGCAAGATTAAGATCGACGGAATGCATCAGTTAGATGTAACGCATCTTAATCGCCGATCCCATTATCCTACAAGTCTAATGTAGTAAGCGTCTGTATAAATGTTTGCATTGTAAATATGGAGAGGAAGAAAAAAAGCAGAGCTGTTGTGTGGTGTTTTAACATATGAGCTAACTATTGCGCTTCTCGATCTCCAAAACTATTCTTTTCAACATTGAGTGAAGCAATTCTCTAATACAAATAGCATACTTCAATGCAGGAAATCAAAACAAAAGAAATGAAATCTACTGCGCGGTTTCGAAACGCTTCAGCCAATGGTATAATGCCTGCATCTTCGATTAGACTGTTGTGAAGATTCAATTTACTGACGTGGGTGTCTTTATGAACAGAAGATAGCAGAGATTCTTTGAATGGAAAACGCAGCAGTTACCTTATTTCTTTTTAGTAATTTTGCTAAAGTTTTGCGCCTTCCGCAATGATGTAATTGCGGTCGAGGTAAGTGTCTAAATAAGAAAGCAGGGATCATTTAATGAAGAGTATGTTACCTTATTTTCATACAGAACATTCGCTGTATAGTATGCAATGTCAGAAGCCATTTATTGCACCAGAATAGTAATGATGTTACGGCTCGTATGAGGAAGTACGAACGACGACGTGAAATAGATGAATGTTAGAACTACCCTCATTCGTCAGCTTATTCTTTCTGCTTTTGACTCGTCAACTGTCTCATACCGGGCGGCTAGTTTAGTAAGTTCGGTAAATGTATGAAAACTCTAATTTGCTTGGCATCGATTGTAATCATCCAGAGTTGTGTTAATTCCTTCACATACATCTCGGGTAGAACATTGATTGTGCTCTTAATAAAATCTGTCGGCTAGTTACATTCTGATTTTGTTTGTCATGCAATCAAACGCTCATGAAGCAAAAATCGATTAACGCTATTTTCAATCACTAAAAAGCGTTGAAAAGTAATTCTGTTTTATCTATGAACTGTCTCCCTCTTCGATATTAACGAAGTTATACGAAGTCAAATGAGAAGGAGTTTTCTTTCTTGACATCTCTCATGCCGCTTTGATGCACAGTACTGAAAGAATTCGCTTTCCTATTATCAAATATTAAACTACGAACAAAACAGAAGTCAAGAAATTGTATTCGATTGACAATGTGGTGGGTAGTAAGCGTGTTTTCTTTACTTTCTACTAGTTATACTATCGATATTTACGAAATACAAAGTTATGTAATGATCAGCGCGACGATTGACCAACTGATTCTGAACATAACTCGAAATGAATGTATATGCAAAGTAATGAAATCTGGGAACTTGATAGCTGCACTAAATTACTTTTCGTTTAATCGATCTTGCCAATTATTTTATTTCAATGTCAATAACAAAACCTGAATATAACAATATGTTTTACAACCAAAGTTAGTTATTCTGTTGCATCACGACCCTGTGCAGTGGCCATTAGCGATGTCAATAATGATAATTGGTCCGATATCATTGATGTTCTTTGTAATGTGGAAAACGGTGTATTCCTGCCTCAAATGGCATATTCAACCGCTGCTGGATAATGGACGATCGTAGCGTTCGATGTGAATATCACGACAACAGATTCGGTATCATTGTAACGCATCCACGTTCGCCCTGATATAGTCGCGGCAGACTCAGGTTCAAACAATGTCAGAGTCCTTTTTAATATAGGCAACGGTACTTTTCACACTCAAGTGACTTACAGTGTTGGCAGTATTCCAAGTTCCGTTGTCATAGATTATCTGAATAAATCATCTCGATATAATTGTGACCAATAAAAAGTCCAAGATGATCAGTATCCTGTTGAATCTAGGAAACGGTAGTTTTACGAATCAAACAACGTACATAGTGGGTGATGGAGCTGTTTTCCTTGCTGCTGAAGATCTAAATGCTGATAATAAAACTGATATCGTCACTGCTAACATAAATTCAAATATAATTAGTATACTCATACATCGTTGAGATTTGTTCACTATGGTAATTCTTATTAAACTTTTTTCTCGTTTTCTTCTCATGCAAGCGTTCGATTGTATACAGAAAATTATATTTATAACTCGATAAAACAGAACGAAGGAAAAGCACGTGTGCACGCGTAAAATAAATGTTGTTTTTTTCCTGTTCTCTTAACAATGACGACGTTACTTTTTCTTCATATCAATATAAGAATTCCGTCTTTCAATTCAAAAACAGAGCAAAATGTCTCAAGATCCATACTGGACAGTCACCCATGGCCATGCGAATCGCACCGGTTGGAGTTGTCGAGAATGTCATGGTGTTATCTATCAAGGTGAACAAATAGTGATACGTGATGGACGAAAGCTACGTTTAATGTACCACGAGAAATGTTTTAGCGGTAGTTCAGATCCACGTACACAAGCAGGTAGTTCGTATAATGATCAAAAATGGACAAACACTCGAGCTATTCAACCAGACGCACCAGCAGTGAAGGGATATGGAAAATGGAGTTGCAGTGAATATGGTTACAAAGGTGATTTGTATGCAACATCGACATCCAGATCTCCTGTTCGAAAACCTATTACGAATATGAATTCATCAAAAAAATAGCGACTCTTTCCCTCTATGATTTTGTAAATAAACCATCTTGAGGGTGAGGGCGTGGATGCAATCTTGAGGGTAAAACTCGATCAAAGTGTTTGTTCATCTGCAGTGGGTATCCCAGCTAGTGTTCATATAATCTCAATTTGTTTGCTTCAAAATAGATGAATCGATGCATAATATATGCGAACGCAATATCTCGCGCACAAAGGCAATTACAAATGTTCAAACGAGTAGTTGCTATTATATCAGTCTTAAATATACTTGTTATTAGTTACACAACCCCTATGATTATGAGATTTATTAATCGATCACTAAAATATCATTTTCGTATCGCTTTTAATTTTAATCTCTCCTTTCAAGATTACGTATTCTATTAGGAGTTCGATTACGAAGAAATTAAACGACCGAAAAAACTTGTCAGCTGCTCCATCAACGAGATAAACGATCGGTACCTCAAGTACTGATGTAAACTCATGCACTATACGATCGTTTAATGGATTAAATGAAGTTATAATCTACATAAGAGACACTCATTGATTCATACACTTGTTTCAAATGAGTCAAAATTTGTCGATAAAAGATGAACCACCCGATTTATTTTGAAGCAGTCGATACGTTAAAGAAAAAAAACAACTGTGAAATATTTTGTTACCTTAGGTAACTTTCTTTACAGTTTCTCTCATAAAACTATTTCTAATTATGGAGAAAAAAGTGATATATGTACACTAAGAAAAATAAAACGAAAGTTTTATGACCAAGTCAATTTCACGGTATGTAGCGAAAAGTAGGAGCCAGATCAGTAGTTACAGTGGTAGATGGATCAGTTGTCTCTGCATTGTTCGATTCTGCTAGTCTGTCACGGCGAGCATTTTCGTAACGAAGGAGACAGTAGAGTATAGCAGCAAGAATGGCAGACAAACCATTGAATGCCAAGTTCAGTCCAAATCCCAGCTTCCAGTATGGACGATCACTCGTCGGAAAGATAAATGCGGCAAGGATCGAAAAACATTGACCAATTGCATTGAGTATGCCTAGTTGGACAGCTCGCTGAGATTCGTTAGGTGTGTTCTTTGAGATCCAACTAAGCATCAATGGAACAGCAGTGAAAGCTCCCATGACGACGATGAATGTTGCAAAGTACCGTGCATGTTGATTCGTGGTGACAGTGAGGAGAATGATCCATCCTACACAAGAAAGTAACATCGTACCAGCAACAAACAAACCATGACAACGAAGTCGATCGGAAAGACGACATATGATGATCATGTAGACAGCTGCACATGCATAGGGTGGTACCGAGTACAGTTGAGCCTCTGCATCTGTGTGACCGAGCGATACAATAATGGTTGGTAAGAAGCCAGAAATGGAACTCAATGTGAGATTAACACCGAGATAAATCACACCATATGTATAACTCCTGTAATCTGTGACAGCACGTCGAAAACCAGACCATTGAAACTTTTTCTTGTGTGATTGATTGTGCTGATCGGCAGCAAGACGTGCAACGGCGATTTCTCGTTCTTCTTCTGTCAAATATTTGCTTGTTTCAGGTCGACTGGGCAAGAAGAAAAAGATGAGTACGGATAGTGCGATAGTAGGTAAGCCTTCTACCAGAAAGAGAATTCTCCACGATGCCCCGATACTTGAGCCTTTTGCAAATGACACTCCATAAGCAATGAGTCCACCGAATGCTCCGGCTAGTGCACCGCATCCGATGAAAAGAGCATTACGAAGAGCAATTTCGTCTCGTTTGTACCAGATAGAGTAGTATAGGGGTACAACTGGGCCAAAACACGCTTCACCAATGCCAATAAAGATACGACAAACAACAATGCCAGCAAAATTGAAGACGGCTGCTTGAAGAGAGGAAGCAACTCCCCAAATCAAAGCAGCTATACCTATAGCAATCGATGGTTGCAGTATCTTGGCCATGATGTTGCCAGGAACATTGAATGTAATGTACGCAATATAAAAGCAAGTGAGAGCAATGGAATACTTTGTATCCGAGTCGTCCATGATGTCGGACTTTAGTCCTTGGAGTTTGACATTGCCCATATTGCCACGGTCAAGATGAGCGCACAGGTAGAGAAATGTTGTGAGGGGAAGGATGAGTATATCCAGTTTTCGCTTTAGCTTCCGTTCCAAAATCTTCTGGCTATCACCCTGCTTTATAGTAGGGTCCACTACTTCAACACTGATATGTGATGTATGTGGAGATGCAGGCGTTGAGGAAGAATCTTTTTTTTCAGTAGTCATGATATCTGAAATTGAAGAGGAGGAACAATTAGATCTGTATGTGAGTGAACATTATTCACATCATCGATTTTCTAGTTCATTATGCGCAAGCATGCGCAGTCAGTATTTTCCATCCTGCATACGTCGATGTCGGTCGAAATACTTGCATTACTCCTGCCGATAATTTATTTATTGACTTGTATCACATTTCCATTTTAATTTTAGATACATGTTTTTTTAAATGTAGTCATTCGTCTTTTATCATTTTAATACACAGAATCCGAGAGACACATGTTCTATTTGATTAACATATAATTGTATGGAAGGATATTCTTGACACGAATGATAATCAATTATGTTTATTTATGATTAAAGCCCATAGCTAAGCAAATAAAACCTAGAAATAGTAAAGTCTTCATCTATGCAAATTTCATATTTATTTCTATTGTTCAATCACGAAAACAATGTCAAAAATGTCCTTTTTAAAATATGTGTAGTTTATTGAGATATCGTTGAAAAAGAGCTTTATAGATTGACCCTGCATCGTTGACGTTGAGGAACGCACTGTCTGATATACAATCAGTGTTATCATGCACAGTGGACAAGCATGCTTGGAACGATCTTGAGGGTGGGTGAGGGTATGAGGGAGTGCTACTTTCCTTTTAGAGACACATCCACCGCACGCTATCTCTGAAACATGAAATAAATCATAGTGCTACTTGCCGGCGCCTACAATATATAAATAGTGCGGGTCCAACCGATTTTTAACGTTTTTACAAATACATTTGTTTCTCTCAACATTAAGGTCGCTTGGCGCGCAAATATGCAGACGAAGTTCTACGGATGAATGCCATGAAACATAGTTTCAATGTTGAAAAAATTGATTTTGTTCGTTGAATTTATACCGCGTGATGTGTCAGTTGCGGAGCAAAAATATAAACAAAAAATGACTTGCTCTCCCTTATCTGAAAATCAAAATGGATTTCTCGAAGCGATCAAAGTTAAAAAAAAGCAGTGAAACAAACTTTATCAGGTCTAAATATTACGCCCTTACCTGCATGTGCTGTGTGGTATACTTTTGTCCGTTCGGTTGTTGACATTTAATGTGTTTGGCTTGCATATTTATAGTACCTAACGGTGTACTTTCGATTCAGTTCAGATGTACCTTCGATTCAGTTCAAGTGTACTTTCATATTATTTATTCTTTCGTCTGTCTTACTTAACGAATACGTAAACATGCGTTTTATTTTGGTAGAGTGAGATTTGAGAGAAAGGCGTAAAAGCGCGACGTAATTTTGTCGGTACATACCTCTTTCTGATGGGAAAATGATCACACCCATTCAAATTACTCGATAATAACGTTTCTGTATTTTGGCTCACGCGACAAGATGATGGATTACAAACAATAGGTCCAAAGGTGTGCTTGGTACGAAATGTGTGCAACAAATTAATGCAAACAACGATGCCACTTGCTACTTAGTACGCGCAAAATAAGTATATTAAACGACCAATCGATGCGTCCGATCGTTCGCCAAAATAACTATTGACAAGTTAACCCAGTTGTGATAGATACTATTTTCAGCAACGCATCTCATCAACATGTTACTCGAGCAGTAGAGTCGATGGCTCCTCAAAACAATCTTCTATAGTTTTTATCTCAAAAAGAAATATGTACTTGTGTTTTCTTTACGTATTCTGTCTCTGAAACAGGTATGACGTAAAATTTGCCTGAAATATTCTCAGGGTAGATTCTGAAATAACTTCATACGAATCCATGATCGTCTTATACCAATAGCCTTGAAGCACAATTACTGGTAATCTGTGATCGAATAAAAGACCGTTATTTCTGTAGAAATTTTCTTTGTTAAAGGCAACCTCATCTTCTCACACCCACACCCTCACCCTCACCCACCCTTCGAGTGAATGGCTATGCATATTTATAAAAAGACTGATCTTTGTTTCCTTTGTATTACAAATTACATTCCACGGCACTTCGTCATTCCGAAGTCTTCGAAAACGAAAAATTCTAAAAAGTACGCTGGATTATAACTGAAACATGAAGTTATAATCATAGACGATCTGATTGAAGTGTGATTATTGGTCAAGCGAGCACACACTCCTTCGCCGGATCCTTTAAGATATGAGTAATTAATTTGAATTGGATCGTAATAGAGTTTCCATTAGTAAATGTTGTGAAGCGATGACCTTGAAAAACGAAAACTTTGGTAAGATATTTAATTAAAATAGCAATATTCTCACTTTATTCACATCTTGCTGTATTCCGCTGACTGTTCTTTTCAATATAATTCCGTCGTCGGGTTCCATTGACGTCGAATGTTCACCGATGCTATTTGAGGTATTGCTCTTTTTACTCTGCTCCGAGATTAATCGAGCATAAGTATACGTAACAGTGCTTTCAAAGATGTCCCAATGTCGATCAATGGCACTATTGACATTTGGAATCATTTCTAGTGAAAAGTTGGTCAGTACTCTTCAAGCAAAAACGAAAAATAACTCACTACTTACTAAAAACGGGAATCCAGCACGTTGACCGACTTTGATTCTGAGTGAAAATCAAACAGCATTTGCTTATCATGTCACAAGTGAATCGAATAGTATATGAAATTAAACTGAATGGTGGATAGGCAAGAACTGGACGTGAAAAATATTCTTGAACAGTTATATATCGGTAATAATGCCATTTTAACTCTGTAGTTTGCTTATCTTTGTCACTACAGTTAACAAACAATACAAATTTCCTCAAGAAAGTTGATACTCACTCGAAAGCTTGAATAAATGAATACGCCAACCAAACAATTATGAATAATAGATGAAAATAAAGGAGAACTTGACTCGTTCTTGCTTCTATAAGAACTCTATCATGAGAAATTTTTGTAGAAATAGACCAAGATGGAATATAGAAAATACATTTGGCAATGTTATGAACAGTGCTGTAAACCGCTCTGTCGAAAACTAACGGACGAGAAGCACCAACAGTTATGAATATCAGAAATACGAAGGCAAAGACATGACGAAGCTGTAAACAGATCACCAACCGTTATAAAATGGTTTGAAAATGACATTTGAGACTAACCCTATTTTCAAGCATGAACAGTTTCGGTGTAAAGGCAAATTTTAGCAAATGAAGATACCAAAGTTCCAGATCAAGAATTAAAATAAATCTATAGCAAACAGCGCTCACAATAAGTCAAAAACAAAATATCCATAAACCTAGCTGATTGAAGAATGATATCATCGTTTTCCGAAGCGAATCGAAGACCAACTCCGACATAATAGAGAATATAAGGTAACACGGCTGCGAATCCTGTAAACCATGTTTGAAACATTTGCGTCCGCTGCATCTTTAGACGAACTCAAGATCATCTCAACTAAAACTGCAAACATTTTCTCTTACTTCTATGACACTTTCGCATAACATAGTCGTAACTGTAAGAGTAACATAGATTTCCATCCAGTGAATTTTCGATGCTGTGCATTTCTCACCCATATGGGTGAACATGAATAAAAATACAAGATAGCTGATCTACATACAAATGAAATCAAGTTTGTATGTTTGAGAAACTTGAGAGGAATATTTACGAAATGGTAAAACATTTTTACCACAGGACTCGCATGAAAATATCGCAGGCGCGTCGAATATTTGCAGCATAAACAAAACTTTGAAATTGGTTCATTATTGTAATAATTAATTCCTTTCGAAGACAAATTACAACTGATATGTTTCGAATGTCTTTCCGGTTTGCGATACTCCATCAATATCGGTGCTGGAAGACCAGCAAATATTGCAGATAAAGTTAGAAAACGTGGTGTCTTCAATTGACTATACCATACTAATTTCAAAGCTTGATCAAAACAAGCCGTTTGGAGCATTTGTTCACATTTACTAAAGATTGCTATCTACAAAGAGCATATCTTCTTCTTTTGAATTATCACACTGTTCAAATCATTGGAGTTACCTGCGCACACGTCACATCACCAAAGAGTGGTACTTTTCGAAACAGTAGTTCACAGGCTGTTCTTTCATTCAATTCATAGCATTTATTGATACAAGTTACCGCATAGGATTCGAAATCGACTGCTTGAGCGCGTAATTTCTCTTCCAAACAGGCCACATCAGCGAATTGAGCATAATTTTTGAACACAGCTGAAGCGATCAGCGAGGCACAGATGCGAGATTGAAGATGGACGAGAAGTATCTTAGCCATGTCTGGCATATTCATAAAAACGGACCATAAGAAAAGATCTCGGAGTATTTCATCCTTTCCATACGTTTTCGTCTTACAATGAAAGCGAATATCCATTCGACGAAGAAATGGTTCAGTAAACTCGCAATAGATATGCTCTGTAAGATTGAACATCTCTGTGACATTTACTTCACATTGGTTATATAATTCTTTGATAATTTGTTCCCATTCTGAATGACTTCTTGTCTTTGTTAAGTTACGCGGATCGAAACCAGCAGTTAAGAAAACATCAACAAATGTCAACCGATTATGTTCAAGACATTTCTTGAATAAATCATTCTCACGCACCCTATACGTCTAAAAATCAAAATTCGACGAGTGAATTTTAGAATCCAGTCTACCTCGATCATATTCGATTGCGTGTTGTGTATTTCGTCTTGCCATCTTTGTAAGATTGGTATTACTCCATCGATATAATCCCATTTGAATGCTAAATCAAGTAGTTTATTTTCATGTCGAGAACGGCGAACTTCCGGCGAGTCATTACTAGCATTATTCGCTTCAGGTTTACCGATTTTCTTGGCTATAAAAGTCGAAGAAAGTAGAATAGAAACATGTTTTTTTTTCGCCAATACCTGATAAAATCGCATTGAAAATTGTTTTTCTCAATGAGTCACCACGTTCGAAGCAAAATATACGGAATAAATGTCGATATCGGTTATCGAGTATCTCATCAATTCGATCAAGCACATCAATTAATTCTCGATCGGTATAATTAGAAAAGTAAGAATCGAAAAATGTTCGAGTTTCCTCTGCAGTTGGATTCCAATGTTTATTCCATGTAGCATCCGAAGTCAGTTCAAGTAATGAAACTAACATATCTGTTAATCGGCCACTTCCCTACACAAATAAACATGAAATTAATCAACATGTGTACTGGGATTGAACATTTACCCGAATAAGTATGATTGAACGCTGGTCTTTGATACTGTTCTCCAGAACTTCAAGTTCAGTTAGATCGCCTCCAAACATAATCGTGATCGCATAACCTTCAAAACAATTCTCATTCATGTAGGAATTTTCAAAAGAAGAATGACGATATACATGTGGGATCGTTACAAATCGCACTAATGAACGCATCTCGATTAGCATCGGAGGAATGTCCAATGAGTCGTCCATCGTCGAATAGAATGCAATGTGAATGTCTGTCTTCGATTCTATTTTCGTTCTTTTGGTTCCGCGAAGGAATTTGTTGTCGAAGGAGTTGTTCTGGATAGCCCTGGAGAGAAAAATCGGAATTTTTCAAACATACAAATATTTCTCAATTCACATCTGTCGCCTTTTTAAGATTCTGTCGAGCTTCTTCGCTCAACAAACCCCACATAGTCAATCCAATACATATGATTCTCTTGGAATAATTGTGAACTATGCGGTAATGTGAGATTCCTTCGCCAATATGTTTGGATATACCGGTATCGGTACCATCAGTGAGAATCCATGCATCTATGAAAATCTATAAAATGACGAATAACATTGATCACTAGAAATTTTACTAGTTTTAACGGCAATATCGATAATATCTTTGACGATCTCAGTTTTCAATTGTTCTTTCAAAAGAAAGTATCTTCGTCCGCCGGAGATGCTAAGAATCAAATCAGGTTTCTTTCCACCACAATCGTCCAAAATCAATTGATACAATCCATAACTATTATCACTGTTAATTTGATGGTCAAGACGAAGAAAATGACAATCATATGGTTTCAATACACCACAAACATTAATTGGAACTTGACACGAATGATTATTGTAAAATGTGGTTGGCGGAGTCCATGCTTCTCCTTTCTCTAATGTCTTCGACTGTAAACAAGCATCAGTAAGACTATGACGACCGATCAAACGACCACAAGGGCATGTTTGCTCGGGACGATCAGCCGGCTGTTTCGATCGGTGATTGTAGATATGACACGTTCGTGAACGACAAAACGGATCATTTTGATAATGTGCAATAACTTCTAACCATGTCAAAAGACGAGTTTTTTTATTCATTGCGTCAAAATTAATCAGTGACACTATAATTGACTATACAAGTTATCGTCGATACTTACTTGATCGTCAAGTTGATATTATATCCAGTTAATACATACAACCGATCATGCATATCCATGTGAAGAAACAAGAAGAGAAAGTATTTAATTGACAACCAATAACAGTCATTAATTTGAAGGTAGCATACTTTGATAAACATACAGAATTGCAAAGAAACGTGTCAAGACCATTCGAACACAGGAGAGGTGTTGAATGAGTCATGATTATAACCTTGTCGTGTTTCTTTCTCTTTCATCTTATCGACATAAATGCACAATGCGAGCACGTTGCTGCCGGTTATTTTCGATGGCAAATACTATTGAAGACGATGGAATTTATTCATACGAAGTTCTAACCGAGAAAGATTTGGAGGAAGTAGCTCGACTGCTTGCGCGTACGTTCACGGAAGGAAATCCACTCGAGATTTACTTGAAAACAGCCTACGAACGGTTCTATCCTTATGCACTAGCAGTTTCAAAGGCTATTCTACAAGATCAACTTTCCATCATCGCAGTGCATAAACAAACAAGAGAAATCCATGGTATTGTGCAAGCAGTCGACGCTAAGACGATGGCAAAGCAGAATTTCGAAGATGTTGATCCTTCCATAGATACATTGAGAGTCTTGCAAGAAATAGAAGAACATTTTATGAACCAATACGGTGAATTCAACGAGCGTGATTTATTACAAATCCTAATGGTAGGAATTCGACAAGATTGTAGTGGAAAAGGTGAGATTAAGAAAGATTTTTCGATTGGAATTACTTTCCTGAGACTTCATAGGACTTGCGACGAAACTTCATGAGATTCTGTTCGCTCGTTGTCGTCAACATGCTTTTCGACATGCTTTTGTTGAAGTTTCAAATCCAGCGACACATTATATTTATACAAAGAAACTCAACGGAAAAGAATTTGCATCGACTTCTTTAGCAACATTCGTCTCGAATGACGGTCGAAGACCATTTGAACATTATGATGGCAGGATACAGTTAATCGTTTTTGATCTCTAGACGAATAAGAGAATTTTGTTTACCAGGCTCATTCTAACCGTGTTAAGATTAATTTCATCTTTGTAATTACATTATCATCCGTTTATTTAAAATACTAAATCTCTCATTTGAAATCAATATAAATGGAAACTATTCGAGAATCATAAATACAATGAGAATATGAAATCAGACGCTGTAAACTTGAAAAAATTCGTGATCGATCTTACCGATGAATTTGCTTCGTCAAGAATCTTCTCGGTGTATGCAACAGATGTGTTGGATACACTTGTTCAAATCTACCTTTTTGCCCGTTCTGTTATTATATTAACTTACATCTGAATACGTTTTTAACATCGTTCGCTTCGGTTGCATCACTATAACACTTACTCTGTCTTCAATTTCATCGATGTTTGTTCGACAATTCTATTCAAGATTTCACATTAAAGGCGATGAATTCTTCGAATGCTGTTGTTTACCTGAACTTGTCCAATATTTTGAAAATTTCATTGATCTCAATATAATGGCGATGCACACAATAGTAAAATATTTTGCGTTCTATAAGTTTTCTTGTCTGTTCAAGGTTATCATAACAAACCGCCGGATGCTAGGCAGAGAACGACACGGATATAAAAAATGGGAGGTAGTATAGTCTGAAATGATGAATGCACGAATTGATCGCTCATTATCCTTGGTAAAGAGTGGAACTAATACAATGTTCTACGGTATGAAAAATGTCAATTCTAATAAAGATCGACGATATATCGAAATGTGAGAAGGTAAGATTCTTCCAAAGAACGATGCGTATTAAATGAACTTTATTTTTCCATCACGTTAAAAGTGTGACTATTTTTATCGTCCATTACTTATTCACATTAGTGGAAAAAACCTAACATGCGCATATCGAAAGGTATGTGCCGATAGTTCTTCATAAAAGACGTGTTCCAAATGATGATTTTCAAGAGCGTATGCAAGGAAATGAATTTCGAGATGCATTTCAAAAAAGAACTGACCGTCAAAATGCAGCTTTTCTAAAAGAGTCTTGATATCATGTTTTCTGCCTAGGACCTCCGGAGACATCGTTGTCGAATGGTTCAAGGTAAACGAAGTCTTCTTTTAACAATAGAGTTCGGATGGCAAATATTGATTCACTAATCGACATGTTCTTCTTACACAAAAATAAAAATCCTAGTGTAGTTTAATGCATTCTCTCGCGTCATATTTGTTTGTCTGATCTATGGAGGGCTTACTATGAATTACTACGTATCGTGCCGTGATCTGGCCTATCTCCTAACACGAACCATACAGTATGAAGAGAAAGACATATGGATATCAAACAACAAAGTTTTCTTGATTAGAAGACGTGAAATTGCTTTTTTTGTGGAAACGTTTGATTCTGTTACGCGGAGCCAATATAACAAAAAAAAACGTTTCTTTCTCCTCTCTACAACACTCGTTTTCACAAAAGATCGATCATGAGCGAATGCAAAGCAGTTTATTTTTCCTTTGACATTGTAAAAAGCGCATTGATTCGTTGTTTCTTTTGTCTTTACTGAACATAATTGAACATTTTTGAAAACTCTCACAAATCACGTACAGTTTCCTCTCTGTCATATCTATGGAACTTCTAATAATAATTATGATTCCTAACAACCTTTGTTGACATTTTAATATTTTAAATTTACAATTAGTTTCCAAACAAACATGACATAGAAGAACTTTTTTTTCTTTTCGGTTGACCGTTCCACGAAAGACTGATCATGTAGAAACTACAGAACTTTCTCGAATGTCATTCTGTTGATTTATTATTCAGTCACAATATTTTTAGAAGCTTCTTTTTTGTCTGAAAAGAACATGTCAAAGAAATACTGTTGGAGTTCATTGTAGGTCCCTATCTGGAAGTAATTTCCTGAATAACAGTTTTTCTCTTCGCTCTAGCGCATATAAGTATGTATATATTCGACGATTTTCACCATTTGTATTCACAACAATCTACGACTTTTCTTCATATTACTATTAGCAATTTGAGATCGACGGAAGTAAGTTTTAATATAGAAAGTCAAGTATTTCTATACGAATGACCATCTCTGACTTGAAGAGAATTAACTACCGAATTACTATGAGATATTACGATGTAAACAGTTTAGATCGAGTAATGAGCAGACATCTAATTCTTACTGGGTAGATCCATGGGGTCCTCACCACTTCTCTGGAAAAGAAGCTTTTTTCCATTTTTTTTCGCTCAATATGCAGAAGTGGTCTAGAAAACACTTTTGTTGAAAAAAATGGGCCCCTTCCTATTGAAAATTTCGAGTTCTAGGTCGTTTTTTCGGAACTTGTCTTGGTATATCATCGTATATACAGAAAATGTCAGAAAAAACGCGAAACGTCTCCAAAGACAACTTCTTAGGCAGTTTTTTATGCTGAGAAATATGGAAATATTCTAGAAAAAAAAATTCACGAAAAAAAACAGATCCCCCATACCGAAAATATCGGATTTTGGGTAATTTTTCTCGGAATATGACAACTAGCAGATTCGCAAATCGAATAACAACCATTTGATTCAAGGAAATTATTCTTTTGTTTGGCGACGGTGCTAGTGGACACTTCAAGAACAACGCTAACATTTTCAACTTAATTCATTACAAGATCAACTCTGAATTAGAAGCTTNTCCAGCACCTTCACTCGTTCAATATTCCCGAGCTTATTCCAAATATCAAGAAACATTAACATGCCCATGCACGAAAATCACCATCGGCTACTCGAAATTTCTTCAAATTGATTACAAACTTCATCAAGTATGTTCAAGTGTACTAGTCACCCAAGATTGGTTCAACTACCTAACAGCATATCGTCTTACCGGTCAATTATATCTGTACGATTATCGATCAGTTATAAATAAAATCTTTCAAGGTTTGAGCACATTCTGTAATTTAACAACAGAAAGACTTGCGAATGACTTGGGTCAGTTTTATTCGACGCAATTCATCAGCTCATCATTGATATCCAATCAGACATTTCAAATCCAAGTGCAATCATTAATCCAGCAATTTCTTTCGCAAACAATTCAAGATTTCCTTTTCTCAATTTCATTAACTCGACAAACAACTCACACAAACAAACTTTTCACCGGTCTCCGAACCAACGCAAACTTCTCAACAACACCAGAACTTCGTTTGATTACGACACCGACGACATACAACAATTGTTCGTGCGACCTTTCACCAAAATGTACTAATCCAGCTCGAATCTACGACTCTCAAGGTAATGCAACACTATGGACCATTCCAGGATTCTACATCGGATGTTTTGTGATCGAATCTTTACTTCAATCCAATTTACAATGCTTCTTCAACCAATCCTGTATTGATCAGTTACAAGTTTACTTAAATATAACATCAACAATGAACATCACTCAACTCAATCGATCTTTACTGAAAAACTTTCAAGTGAATTCGACCGTCGAAGAATTGGTGAACAATCTCATGGTTGAACAATGGAATTCATCGATTTTATTCGATAATTATTATTCGGAATGTCAACCAGTCCAATGCATCTACACAGACAAGATGAAAAACAGTGCGATTTACATAGTCACAACGATCATTGGTCTGATCGGTGGTTTAGTCGCAGCATTGAAATTAGTTGTACCACGATTAGTCATCATTATGAGCAAACGAAAATCAGCGGCACAGAACGAAGATCACAAATCAATGAAACAAAAGCTCATGGAATGGAATTTATTCCCATCGCTTCCTCCATCGACTGACGAACGCGAGATTCGCAACCAAAGATTAGCAACCAAATGCTTTGTCATTTTATTGACACTCTTATTATTTGTTCTTCTTCTCTACACATCACTGATAGACAAAACAGTAACGATTCAAGTTCAAAAACCAACATTGACAAAGTACGTACAATTATACTCGAAATTTTCCGATCAATTGTCTTGTCCATGCAAAGCAATCTCGATTAATTATGAAAAATTGTTTTCATTGAAATATGAATTCCATCAAGTGTGTTCAAGCATTTTTCTAACTGATCAATGGTTCGAATACCTCTCCGAATATTCCGCCAGCTTCTTCATCGATGATTTCCGCTTAACAGACACGTCGATGTTTCAATCGCTCAACGTTCTATGTGGCCTTATATCTGAAACTATATCCTACCGTTTAACTCAATTCTACTCCAATCAATTCATCAGCTCATCGGTCATATCCAATCAAATATTTCAAATTCGAATTCAGTCGTTAATTGAGGAGTTTATCTCATCAACAACAAATTATTTTCTCTTAGCCCTGTCAACAATTCGAAGTACAACCCAAAGCAATGGCTTACTCTCGTCACATTTGACCAACTATCATTATGTTTACAATCAATCTGGTTTTGTTAATGTAACATCGATTAAATGGAAAGATTGTGATTGTATTTACTCATCGACATGCTCTTCACAATCTGCGATATATAATTATTCGAATAATGCGACGCTATGGACTGTTCCAGGGTTTTACGTTAGCTGTTACGTAATGGATTCTCTACTTCAATCCAATTTACAATGCTTCTTCAACCAATCCTGTATTGATCAGTTACAAGTTTACTTAGATATATCACCAACAATGAATATTACTCAACTCAATCGATCTTTACTGAAAAACTTTCAAGTGAATTCGACCGTCGAAGAATTGGTGAACAATCTCATGGTCGAACAATGGAATTCATCGATTTCATTCGATAATTATTATTCGGAATGTCAACCAGTCCAATGCATCTACACAGACAAGATGAAAAACAGTGCGATTTACATAGTCACAACGATCATTGGTCTGATCGGTGGATTAGTCACAGCATTGAAGTTGATCGTGCCACGAGTGGTCATGTTCTTCGGAAAGACTAGAAACAATGTTGAACGTAAGAAAAATTGAATGTCTAAACTAATACGTAATTATACTTTCATAGGTATGAAAATGACCGAACATATTCGAGATAATCTCAAGAAATCTCGTGATTATTTCAAAAATCTCAATGTCTTTCGTTCATTGAGTGAGAATGAAAACGAACGCCACGATGAAATTATTTCCACTCGTCTATTTCTCTTTCTCTTAATCTTATCTCTTGCCGTTCTTCTTCTCTACACATCGTTAATCGACACTACGCAAATCATTACAATTGAAAAGCCAACATTAACCCAATATCTGCAACTCTATTCAGACCACTCGGATGCATTAAAATGTCCATGCACGAAAATCTCTGTCAACTACAAACAAATTCTATCGGTTGAATATCAATTTCACGAAATATGTTCAAGTACATTCCTGAATCACGATTGGATCGTTCATATATCTCAGTGTGATGTCCAATACCCAATGTACTGTAATGACTTTCGTTGCAGTGGCCCGTACTATTTCCAAACCATGCTGAGTTACTGTCAAATGGTTAAGAAGACCATTTCCGATAGTTTAACACAATTTTATTCCAATCAATATATAAGTTCATCGGTCATTGCATATAATGTCTTTGAAAGTCAAGTGGGCGAATTCATTGCACAGTTCGTCTCCTCGACAACAAATAGCTTTCTCCTCTCGATATCAACCATACGAGGAACCACGTATTCGAATGGCCTACTCGTTGGTCTCTTATACAATTTCATGTT